GCTGGAATCATAGTGGCTATGAAAAAACCAACACAAGAGGAAATAGAAAAAGCTTTAAAAATCAATCCTAATTATAACCAATCCGATTTGATTCATGGTGTTATAAGAATTGAAATAAAATCAGCAAGAGAAGCCTTTAAATTCTTGGGAAAGACGGGGACCCCCAAAGAAACAAAAGAACTTAAACGTATTTCTCTTGAAAACACTCAAATAAAAAAGCGCCGTCTTGAAAAAGAGCGACTCGATAGAGTCTCAAAGGAAACCAAAAAGAAAGTCAACAAAGGGAAGAAACCACTCAAGTCGACAATGAGAATGATTCTTAAACAATTTTAATTTAAGATGGTATTGATTTAATTAATTTTAACTATAAATTTATTTTCTTTGGAGTTTTTTATAATTTGTTTTTTATAAATATTTTATAAAAAACTTTGCGAAAAAATTAAACAAAAATAATTGAAATGTAAAAAATAGAAGCGATATTAATAGAGATATAATTTATTTTATCGACAAAATGATTTGTTTTTATAACATCTAGTTTATTTTAGTTATTTAATTAAAAATATAATATTATTGAGATCTGTATTTTCGTCTTTTGTCTTTCAATAATAAATATAAATAATGAAAATTATTATAACAAATAAGTATAAAAACAATTATCAATTCTATCGCAATTCACAAATTGTTTCCTTTTAAACAATTTGTTGTTTTTAATTTTAGAAAAAATGGTTGTTTACAATTTTAAATTCTGTTTTGGAAACATCAATAACACAAACTTTAAAAAATGAGCCTTTCTTTAATACAAAAATTTGGAATTTTTGATAAAAAATATTCAAAACTACTTTGATTGGAAAATAATTCGTCTTTTCAAAAAGAGTATTTAAACTTATAGAACTGGTATTTATATATGTGTGAACAAATGAGGAGGTGATATAAATAATGGCGAAAGAGTGTGGATTTGACATGGTGAGGAGAGAAAAGAGTGCGTAGATGGTTTTGACAATAACAAATAAAAATGTGTTTTAATTTTTTGTGCCATAAACGTGTTGTGTTTGATACGTTACAACTTCAAAACAAATCAAGACTAAAGCGACTTTTATTATTTAATTTAATCTAACTGGGCAGTTTATGTGCATTATATCAACGCGGTGAAAGCTGCGTTAGACTTATTCAATTAATTTGTTTTAATTGTTTTTATTATATTTAAATAATTTGTAATAAAGTCAAAAATAACTTGAAAACGTTTTGTAATCGTAGTCTATTTATGATTTGTTTTTCGTCATTGTTTTCGTAACATTCCTGAAAGAATACATAACCTGTGGCTAAACTATGATGTTTTTTCCCAATAACATAAGAAATAATTGATTTTCCTTCTAAAATATTCTTAAAGAGCTTTGGCAATGTTGTTGTTGTTGTTATTTTTTCTTTTTGTAAACGAAAAAACAATAACAAAAAAGACAAAATTAATAACATTTTTATTATTTTTACCATTAAAAAGCGATTTTCACAAAAGAAGCGGTTTTTAGCCCCCCTTTAACTATATATATACCACAAATCAAAAACCGGACTTTTTCTTTGGTCTGATTTTTTAAAAATGAAATAATGTTTCAAAAGTACTTTTTTATTTATTATTATTATTTATTTATTTTACCAAAATACTTTTTTGAGACACTTTTTAAATTTTAACTTCCCAAAAATGATTTCGATTGTTAATTTTTTTTGTAAAAGTTAAAATAAATAACAAACTATTATTTACAACATAAATTATAAAAAACAACAAAAAAACATATAATATTATATATTTTTTATATGAAAACTTAATTATAATCATCTTTTTAATTTCACCACTGTTTGATCGATTGAAAGTGATTAATTTTACAAATTTCAAGTCTCCTTTTATAAGATTCAATAAGTGTGTTTATTTCTTTGCGTCCTATTTTATTCCACATTTTTTCAACGTTTTGAAAAATTTCCATTTCATTCATTCCAGCTGTAATCTCAATTCGTCTTTTGATTATTGACCAGACATTTTCAATTGGATTGAGGTCTGGGGAATTTCCTGGCCATCCCTGAAGTAATGTAAATTTATTGTCATTGAAATATTTTAGTGTTTTTTTTCGATTTGTGTGGAGGGGCGTTGTCTTGCATAAAAATGGATTTTTCCCACACTTCTTTTGAATAGAATTGATTAAATCATTTTCTTTGAACATTTGTATGTATTTGTCTGCATTAATTTTTCCGTGCAGCCGAATTAACTTACTTTTATAATTAGGACCTATGGCTCCAAAAACCATCACAGATGCAGTGTGTTTTGGAAGAAAAGTGTAATATTTATAATTTTCAGAATGTGGTTGAATCCACATTTTGGATCGACAATCTTTCACAAGACAAAATCTACATTCATCTGCATACACGATTTTGCGAGGTTTTTTCCCACTTTTTTCTATATTTTGAATCATTTTCAATTCAGCAGTTACAAAGCGTTTTCTATCCGATATATTTTTTAAAGAAAGGAGTGGTTTTTTCGGTGAAATTTTATATGTAAAGTTATTTTTTCGTATTCTGTTGACTGTTGTAGCTGAAACATTTGTTTTATGGAATTTTGACAATTTTTTGGCACATTGAATACCACTTTCTTTGGGATATTTTTTAGTTCGTTTTATCACCAACCTTTTTATTCTATCTCGTTGTTGTTGAATTTTTTTAACAAAAGAAGACCGTTTTAAATCAAAGTATTTGTATATTCGAGCATTTCCAGGTGCTACTATACCATTTTCTCTAAAAGCACGGATGATATTATTGGGAGTGTAAATTCCACTTTTAATACATTTTTCTATATTTACTTCTTTTGACATTTCTTTATCAAGTATTATGATAGCTGAATTCAACAATTGATTTTTTGACTTAACTGAAATGATATCTAATTTTGAGGTTGTTTGTTTCATATACATTCTTACCTCTTTCATGAATACATCAATTTTATCCTTCTCAACATAATCAATTGGTAATAAAAATGTTTGTTTTGTTGAAATTCCACTTCTAATTAACACATCACAAGTCTTCTCAGTTAATCCAAATGGTCCTTTGGATGCTTCTTCCAAATTTTTAAGTTGATATTCATTACAATAATCAAGAAGAATACTTTCGTATATTTCTTCGTTATAATTTTGACATAAATAATAGTTGTGTAATTGTGCAAACCATATTTCACCCGACAGAATTTTCTCTGTACAATCTTTTAAAGGTAATTGTTGCATATTTTTTTGAGTATTTGTGGTTTTATTTTGATTGTTACACCTCACTTGTGTTTGAAGTTATTGTTTTACTTTTATTGCAAAAAAATAACTTTAAATGCACTTTTGATTTGTTAATACAAAAAAATGAAGACCAAAAAAGGTCTGTTGGTGGTCTAGTAAAAATAGAAAAAAAAACATGGGTTTACTCAGAAGTTGAGGATATTTATGGCAATATTTTCAAGGCTTTTTCTTTTGCTGATCAATAGTAAAAAACACTATGTCAATTATTTTCTTTGGTCTGTTCATGGTACGGTTTTTGGTTTATGGTATATATATATAGTTAACTTACTATTAAGTATTTAAATTAACTTAATTTTATCAACGATTGTGTTTTTTTTAAAACAAAACAATTTGTAGAAAAATCTTTTTAAGTAGACGTTATTAATTCTAGATCTTGTCAAAAGATTTTATATTTTGACCAATATTTATTTGTTTTTTTATTACAAATGTTATTATCCAAAAATATAAAAAAAATTTATTGGGAGCAATTGCAATTCATTTTTAATTGATTTATTGATTACATTATATATTTTAATTATAAAATATAACACATTTTGTACTTTATTAATTTAAGTAAAAAACTTGTAAATCATCTGTTTGTAATGATAAGATTAATTTTTGTATTTGTTTCGATTAAATTTGCGTTATCAACATGTCCGCCAAATGTAATAGAAGAAATTGACAGTGTTTTGTCTGCTAATGATGTGTGTGAATATTCAGAGTCGGTAACAATTTTAACCATAAAGTTACAAATGACAACTGGCTTAACTTTGAAAACAGAAAAAAATTTGGAACTTGTAGGAGGAAATATCACACTTGAATCAAATTGCAATTTGATTGTTTTTGAATTATTTAAATTGGACTATATAAGTATGTTAAATGCGACTGGCAATTAAATTATAAATACCAATCAATTAGAAATAAGTTCTTCTATTTTGATTTTTTCTGACAATTCAAGAATTTCAGTGGAAGGTAATGTATCTATGACAGGTGGTACAGTCTCAAATACACTTTTAGGAAAGTCAAGACTTACTTGTTCAGATATGTTTTCAAAGACAATTGAAAGTCAAATTTCCATCAATGATAATTCACATGTTGATTTGCAAGGCTCTTTTATTTTTAAATTATCTAGAGATTCTTTTCAAATATCGAGTTCAACACAACGAATTAATTTTGTATCAAAATCGTTTGAATTAACAAGAGAATTTGATGCTGATAATCGAAGTACCATTCAAACCAAAAATCTCATTTTAATATTGACAAGCACATTTAAAGTCTCCACAGATAGAACAATCAAAGATCTTCCACTTTTTTGTATCGAACACAGTTACAATAACTGCCTTCTCTGATTTTCAACATGATGGTGAATTCGACTTTTTATATTCAAACAACACTCTTGACACGTCATTCTACACAACACCATTTAAAGTACTTTTAGAAAGTCACCTATTACGGTATGGTACTTCAGATAAGATATATTGTCATGTGAACCACACTGAAGACACACGTAATCCATATTACATCGAAAATTATTGCCCACTCACCGATGCATACATCACACCAATTGACACGTTTCATCAAATGAAAGTCAAAGTAGATGTGCCAAAACAGAATTTAAATGTAAAAAGAGCAGAAAACGAAGAAAATGTGATTGTAATTGGAAACGAAAAATACTTTTTGTCACTCACCGATTTTATTGAGATTGAAATGGTATCTGACAACCAAGTGGTTTTAGATAATTTTACAATCACAAAAAACGTTTTTCTTGTTGCAGCGAATGGGTTTGTATACAACAACATGTCGTGCAAGTCGGGGCACTTCCAAAACGGCATATTCACCTGTCAAAATCATTTACCATGTTATGAGGGTGGCAAGACTGCTGATGGGAGATGTGCAGCATGTCAAGTCACTTATTGTCTGATGTGTAATGGTGACAAATATAAATGCATAAAATGCAAAGAGAATTTGACATACAATACCATATCAAACACATGTGAAGAATACATAAACTGTCTTTCATTAATAAAAGATAAGTGTCTTCGATGTAGAGATGGCTTTGTATTTGAAGGTAACAATTGTGTTGATATCACCAAAGATAATGGAAATTGCCAGATTAAAGTCGGCGTTCCATCAGAGTGTATAATGTGTGATTTAACAAACATGACATTAATCAACACTTATGGCGTTTGCAGTGTTGTCGACAGCAATGTTGTTGTTCACAGTCTTTCAAATGTTGTTGAATGCAAAGACGGGTTTTATGTACAAAACAACGTGTGTAACAACTGCACAACCAATAACGAAGGAAGTCTGTTGTGTTCATTTAAAACCACCGAGAAGTGTGATAAGACGTATTATGTGAAAGAAGATGGCAGTGTTTGTGTCAAAAACGTGTGTTCAGATGGAATAAACAATAAAGAGAATGGAAAGTGCGCACCACAAATAGACAACTGCATAAAGTATGTGAATGGCATGTGTGTCGAATGTTCTTCAAAGTACTCATATGATGGCAATGCGAGTTGTGTTGAATCATCAGCAATTGATGTGAATTGTGGAACAGCAACTCCGATTGGGTGTATCAGATGTGATGGAAATACCTTTTTGAATGTATCGACACACAAATGTGACACGTGCAACTCAAATTGTGAAAGTTGTTTTGATTTGACAATGTGCATGTCATGTGTAGATGGATACTTTTTGAGTGACTACACCTGCAAATCCAATGACGCGTTGAATGACAGTTGTGCAAGAAAAGTGCCAAATGGGAATGGTTGTTTGGTTTGCAAAGTTGGGTATTACAAGAAGGGAGCAGATTGTGTGCTGTGTGATGTCAAGTGTGGTGAGTGTCTGACAGAGAACTCGTGTATTAAATGCAATGCAACAAACTACAAAACAAGTAATGGCGATTGTCTTTCACGCTCTTCGATAACGACGTGTGCCGTTGAAGTGACTGAAAGTGGCTGTTCAATGTGTAAAAATGGGTATTACACAGTCAATGGAAATGAGTGTCAGAAGTGTGTTTTGAAAAGTGTGCAAAGTGTTCAGAACAAAATCGGTGCACATCATGTGATGACACCTTTGTACTCAAAAGCACCATGTGTGTAAGTTATGTCAACATTACAAAGTGCACAAATACAAAAGACTCAAAATGTTCATCATGTACATTTTGGTATTCACCAAGTGACGATGGCACACATTGTTCGAAAACGGCGGTGTAATGGGTGATATTTCTTATAGTTGTTGTTATCATCGCCATTCTTGTGTTGATCACAGTGTTGGTCTTGTTTGTTATGATTAAATTCATTAAGCACAAAAGAGATACCAGTGGACTCACGCTCTTCAAATTAAAGCACACAAATATGATTTTTGTTGATATGGCAGACGGTCTGACAATTCACACCAGAAATGAAGAATTTGTGATCACCTATGATGACCAAGACTATGAGGAAATTGATGTTAACAAAGAAATCAAAAATCTGTTTTCTATTGGAAACACAACAAACCACAAAGTGAAGATTCAATTCACTTCTAAAAGTGATATTGAAAAATACACAATCCGTTTTGAACTTTCAATTGTAACAATTCCCCCAAAATTTGCATGCGAATTTAGTCTATTTCTTAATCCATTGTGTACATCGACAATAGACAGTACTTTTGTTGTTAGTTATCTCTTTACCACAAGTGATGGTACATCATGTGCACATCACGTTAATTTTAAATACACCACCAAACTATCAACACGACTTGATCCAGACGAGTTGGTTGAAGAGAAGAAACTTGGAGAAGACTCTTTTGGAATTGTGTTTAAAGGTATTTTCAGAGGAAATATCGTTGCTATCAAAAAAATGAAAAATTTTGTCAATTCTTCACATCAAATGGAAGAATTTGAGAATGAGGTTTCAATGTTAGACAAGTTGAGAAGTGAATTTATCGTTTACTTTTATGGCGCTGTATTCATACCGAGCAAGATATGTTTAGTCACCGAATTTGCACAATATGGAAGTTAGAAGGACTTGATGAAAAATAAAAAGAGTGAAATTATGAATATAAAACTTTGTGTCAAATTCATGTTAGACGCTTCAAAGGGAATTTTATATCTTCACAAGAATGGGATGCTTTACAGAGACATCAAACCAGACAATATCCTTGTGTTGTCAATAGATTTGAATGGTGTAAATGCCAAGTTAACTGATTTTGGAAGTGCTAGAAATGTCAATTTATTGATGACTAATATGACCTTCACAAAAGGAATTGGAACACCAATTTATATGGCACCTGAAGTGTTGAAACAGGAAAAATACACGAAAAGTGCGGACGTGTATTCATTTGCAATAACCATGTTTGAGTGTTTTTCTTGGAAAGATGCATATCCTATCACCACATTCAAATTTCCTTGGAAAATTGCAGAGTTTGTTTCATCTAGAAAGCGTCCTGAGAATGGTGAACCAATCCCAATTATGTTGTATGAATTGATACAAAATTGTTGGGGACAGAAACAAAAAGAGCGATTAGATATTCATTGCATCGAAGAACAGTTGCAATTTCTGTTTAATCATCAATAATATAATTATTGAGACAATAAGCTTTAAAATAATTGACTTTATTAGTGATACAAATAGCAATGGTTTTATATGAAGCGAATATTATTTTAAAATAGGATAGAAATATAATTAATTTTCAATTATTATATAATAAAAGTGTTATTATTAATTTTACTAATAATATTAATATAATTTATAATATATATAATAATAAATTATAGCACTGGAAAATACCAAATCATTTTTAACAACACAGTTTTATAATTCGATTATTTAAATGATTGAATTAATCATTTTAATTAAAATAACTTAATAATCAATGACATTTTCAAACATAAAATAAGCACGAAGTCTGTAATTATTTTTATTTTTAATAACTATTTATTGTTAAAAACAAGTACTATTATTTCATATATGAGTGGAATCAGGGTCTATCAAGTGACAAAAGTGTTTTTTCTTTGTTATTTGCCACGTCACCAAAGTGGTCTTGAATTTATGTTCACTTCGTTCTTTATGATCTAGCGGCGAGCTTAAAGCCGACTTTTGTAATTGAAAAAATTTTGAAATAGATAGTTATTTGAATCAATATTTGGCAAAATAATGGGAAAACAAGCCAATTCAATTTTTAAATATCGGTTTATTTTTTATTATTGCTGTGATTGCCATGATTAACACAAAAATTGTGACAAATGCAGCACTGTTTTACACAACAACCCGATAGTTACAAATAACATTTTAATAACACAAATAACAATGAAATAACAATCTATTAAATAATCATATTTTTATTATAATATGTAATAAAATAAACCTATTCAACTTAAAAATAAACCAAAAAACCAATAATTACTAATTAAAACTGCTATAAAACAACTAATAATAATAGAGAAATGTATATTATCATATTTATATTTAACGTTATTAACTAAATATATATATTTTAAAACTATATTAAATAATAATAATACAAACTCAAAAACTCTAAAATATCTGTTAATTATAAAAAATACTATATAACATATAATATCAATACTATATTTTTAAACTAAACAAAATGAAATAATGTATTAATAAATAATTAAATTGTTTAGTACATGATTTATATTTATAACTATAAACTTATAGTTTAAATAATTATATATTTATTATTTTTGTGTAATGAACATTTAAATATTAGGATAGCTATGTCTACAAAATCGGGCATTATATTTAGAAACGTTTATAAATCAAAAGCAGTTATAGGACAAAATAATAATTTAGTCTCAATAATAATAATAAACTAAAACTATATATTAAAATATCAATAAAAATAGTTAAAAGACAAACATTTTGAAATATAGTTTTTTTTACCCAAAAATGATAGGTAATAAATACATCATTTATCGGGATCGATAACATTTTAATAACATAAATACAAATACTAAAAGAATAACAATTTGAAAAACAAAATTTCTAAAACATTAACATATTTTTAAAATACCATTTGAATTTCAAAATAGAATTAAAGTCTGTTTTTTATTTAACGATATTGGGTTTTTACTATTATTTATAATAACAGTATTATAATTTATAATAAAAATAAAGTTGTTTTTCTAAAAAATGGTTTGTATTTTATTTTTTTGTTCTTTTTTTATAAATATGTGTTAAAAATAACAAAAAACAAAATTGTTTGACAACTGAAAAATTTATAAAGCCGAAACGAAGAATAGGTTGGCGTTGAAATGTGAATATGAAGAAATAAACTATGTCAACTAAATTATTCAAAATGATAAAATGTCATATTAGATCGAGCAGACGCGTCAAATTATCATTTGGGTCAATTGAAGACGACAACAAGTGATTTGGAAAAAAGTCAATGCTTAGGATTTGTTTAACATTAGTTTAAATTAATGACAATTTTATTAATAGTTAATGGTTTTTAATTAGCGATATTGAGTATAGTAAATAATGGTTTAATATTTTCGGTCTAGTTCTTTTCTTTGTTATATTTTTAGAATATCGCTAAATAGAAAACAGACTTTAATATTAAAGACCTTTTAAAAACAACCCAAATATAACAAATCACAACAAATAAAAACCATCCAACAATAACAAATAAATCAAAAGAGGTTCAAAATTTACAATAATAATTGTTAGAACGTGATACACACAACGCAAATTAAAACAAAATCAACTTTGCCATGAAACAAAACAAAGAAAACAATCATAATTTTTTTTCACGCCAAAAAATTAAAAACGTTCGTGAGTAAAAATAATTCAGTGTTTTTTATGATCATTTTTGTATAGATTTGAACTGTTTTGGTTTTTTTGATTGCAACAAACCGATTTGACAAAAAAATACAAAAACATCAATTTATATAGTTTGGTTTTTAGTAAAATTTACTAAAATTGAAACTATATATTTCATAAAAAAATTCTAACACTTTTACTATATTAATTGAAATAAATAAATTATACTATTATAATTATAAACAATTAAATAATAAACAAATACATTCAAATTGATTTACTTTTTGGTACACGTTTATATATTCATTGGGTATTGTTGTTATGCCAACCTGTCTTTGAGAATTGATTCACCTCATTGCAATTAATGTTGTCTAGTAACTTTTCTTCTCTTCAGTCCTTAGATATTTTGTTCCTCTTCTGAATATTTTCTACTTCCACCAAGATCTGTACTCAAGTCTGTTTCAACAGAAATTACTTCTCTACCTTTATCACTCCTGTGTTCTTGACACAATGCATTTCCTTACTCCTCATGCGCCTCGGTTTCCACAGAGATACAGTATCACTCTCTCTCATTATAATACCTTCCATTTTCAGGCTCATCCATTCTGTAAATGAGTTGTTAAACTTTTTTTTTGAAAATTTACAATTTCAATGGCAATTTTTTTGTCAATATTAATAAATATTTTCAATGGTTCTCCTCATGCAAGACTTGGATAATTAATCTGTATGTTTGGTTCATCCCGCATCGCCAGTCCTGCTTACCAAACTAGGACGAATTGAAGTCCCATATGCTCACTCCTAATAAATTATTATCATTTTAAATATCTCGACTATTCATATTTTGTTAAATTGTTGAAAATCAAACTGTCCATCATGCCAATCATCATCTTTACGACTCGTCACTACTTTCTCACTTCAACCTTCTTAAGGGAATATTCAGGTGGAATTAGCTACTTGATAGTTCGATTAGTCTTTCGCCCTTATACTCATATATTGCAAGTAATTTGCACGGTAACACTCCTTAGTCCTTCTACCAAAGTTTCCTTCGGCTTTAAACACCACAAGCATAGTTCACCATCTTTCGGGTCCCAACAGTTTAACTCCATCCTTTTCTAGGTCACTTCTGCTATATGTATAGTCCTTTGTTTTCGCTTCATATCTGGGCTTTCTTCCCTTCCTCTCCTCGTGGGGAAACTGAAAACGTTTCTCCAAGAGGCATAATTATTTCAATTATTAATCTTTGCCAAATATTTTTACATATCATCTATTTATATTATGTTTTTTCATTGTATTTTTAGTTTGTTTCGATTTATATTTATAAAATGGATTTTTTTTCAATGTAAAATAAATAAATAATTTGGTCAAAAAATAAGAAACAAATATTGTTTGGATTGTCTATCAAAATGAAAAACATTCTTCTCAGAAACACAAAGTTAATTAATAATACACAAAACAAAGATTGTTTTTAACACTTAAAATAAACTCAGTTTTTAATATACAAATTTTATTTTAGTCTTAATTCTATAAACTATTTATTATGGTAATGTAACCATTGTTATTAATTCATTTTCTCTTCAAAAATTAAATAAAACATGACTGTTTTATCAATAAATTATTTTATAATCCACAACAAAATGGCGTTTTTTTATGTAAAACACTCTATTTAAGAGGGACAACCCAATTTTATCAAATGCCATCACAAATTAAAAATACTTTAAAAAGCCCGTTTGTTAGAATTATTTATGTTTAAATTAAATACAATTGTGCAAAAAGAATTATCAATTGACAATGAAAACAAACCCGTTTTGGAATTTGGAATTTATATTTAGTCAAATAAAGCATCAAAAAATTTAATTAATAATTAATTAAAATAAATTATAATAAAACTATTTTCTTGTCTTTCTATTTAAGTTAAAACAACAACATATTTTTTTAATTAATCTTTTTTAAGCATCTTTTCAACTTAATAAACTGGTAAAAGGTTTTATTTTTTAAAGTAAAATATATATAATTTCCAAGCTATTTGTCCATTTGTGGTAAAAGAGAATTATTTTTATCTTGTTATTACAAAAATATTTTTCACCAATTTATCGACTATAAAACTGTGAAATTATTTCCAAAATAAATATTTTTGACCCAAATATGTTTTTTTATTGTTAATATACAAACAAAAAACTCATTTCTGAACAAAAAATAAATTCATGTTTTTATCAATTTACAATAAAATATATTGTATATTATATTATAATAATAATACATAATAATATTTTTTTATGTATATTATACATAATAATATAATATATTTTATTCAAATAAAGAAAAAAAATGGACATGGGGAAGAAGGATGGGAATATAGGGGAAATAGGTAATTTGTGTGTTAGGGATGTCCTCCCTTTATCAAGGACGCCCTCCTGTGTATAAAATTATCCTTTTTATAGTGTCTATGGTGTTTTTAAAACAATATAACGAGTTATATTTTTATTATTAATTTACTATCAAAAATTATAATTATTTCCAAAAATACATTTAATAATGGACAAACACAAAACAACAAGTACTTTTGTAACAAATTAATAGTTAAAAAACTAATTCAAATTTAAATTAGTTTTTTTGGGTCACTCCGAATAACTTTGCAAAGATAAGTGAATTACATCAGTCGACCTCCTCTATCTTTGATCCCTTTGTGTCGCTCTTCTTTGCACCCTGTTGTTGTGCACCAGACATGTTACTAGTTTTATTCTGTCGATATCTGTATGAAGATTGGCTTGATCTTATCCTCAGCTTCTTCTGTTTCTGTGTGTATTCATTATTTGATGCCGATTGGTTCTTGTCGAGCCAGTCGAGTATCTCCTTGATAATTGCTTCAATTGCTGCCTTGTCATCTGGTGAGAGCTTTGCTGCAATTTGCTCGTTGAGTGTGTTTTTCATCGAGTAGCAGAAGTTTTCAAGTATATTCTTCCCCTCGATACGTTCCTTCATCTTGTCGTCCTCTGCCTTAAACTTCTCTGCGTCTATAACCATCTTGTTGATTGGTACCTTTAAGAGTCTTTCCTTGTCGTTAGTGATTGTGATCTTGTTCTTCTTTCCCGTTGTCTTGTCTTCAGTTGAGACATTCAGAATCCCATTTGCATCAACGTCAAATGTGACTTCAACTATGTGACTCCACATGGTGCTGGCGGGATGCCACTCAACTCAAACTTGCCAAGCAGGTTGCAGTGTGATGTCATGAATGCCTCACCTTCATAGACTTGGATCAGCACGCCTGGCTGGTTGTCTGCATATGTTGAGAAGATCTGTGACTTCTTTGCTGGAATTGTCGAGTTTCGTGGGATCAGTGCTGTCATCACACCGCCAGCTGTCTCAATGCCAAGTGTCAACGGTGCGACGTCAAGCAGCAACACGTCTTCTGTTGCCTTTCCACCATTTCCAGTCAGAATGGCAGCCTGCACAGCAGCACCATATGCAACAGCCTCGTCTGGATTCATACTCTTGTTGATCTCCTTCCCATTGAAGAAGTCTTGTAGTATCTGCACAACATTTGGAATACGAGTTGATCCACCAATCAACACACGTCGTCAATGCTCCCTTTGTCCAGTTTTGCGTCTTCAAGCACCTTCTCGACTGGTGCGATTGTTGACTTGAAGAAGTCGATGTTGAGTTCTTCAAAACGATCTCTTGTGATTGATGTGTAAAAGTCGATACCTTCATACAACTGGTCGACTTCGATGTTTGCTGTTGCTGCCGATGACAGTGTTCGCTTTGCCCTTTCACACGATGTTCTGAGTCTTCTGACTGCTTGTGCATTGCCTGAAATGTCTTTCTTGTACTTTCTCTTGAAATCGGCAATGAAATGGTTGACCATTCTGTTATCAAAGTCTTCGCCACCAAGGTGTGTGTTGCCGTTTGTTGCCTTCACTTCAAAGACACCATCGTCAATAGCAAGAAGTGAGACATCAAATGTTCCACCACCAAGATCAAAGATCAAGACGTTCTTTTCTCTCTCCGTCTTCTTGCCAAGTCCATATGCTATTGCTGCTGCTGTTGGCTCATTGATGATTCTGAGCACATTGATGCCTGCAATTGTGCCTGCTTCCTTTGTTGCCTGTCGCTGTGAATCGTTAAAATAGGCTGGACATGTGATGACTGCGTTGTTGACTTTCCCACCAACAAACGCTTCTGCTGTCTCCTTCATCTTCGTCAGCACCATCGAACTGATCTCTTCTGGTGTGAACTTCTTTGTCTCTCCCTTGTACTTTACCTGAATCAACGGCTTGTCATTGCCATCGTTGACGACAGTGAATGACTAGTGCTTCATATCTTCTTGAATTGCTGGATCACTAAAGCGTCTTCCAACCAGTCTCTTTGCATCAAAGACTGTATTCTTCACATTCATCGCAATCTGGTTCTTTGCTGCATCGCCAATCAGCCTCTCGCTGTCTGTGAAGGCAACGTACGATGGCGTTGTTCTGTTGCCTTGATCATTTGCAATTTCCTAAAAACAGATTTCGCATGCCTTTTAACTATAGTATCTTTATCTCTCCAATAGTCACTAATGCATCATTCGATGCTATTAAACACTCTGTATTCGTTTTCCCTACTTCACCTTTAACATTATCAATAATTATTAAATGAGTTGCGTGGATGAATCTAACAAGAGGTGATGGTATACTATTACAACAGTACATAAAATCTGTCTAACAAATTTTGACAGACGATTTCTCCCCAAATTTCTTCTAAAGTTTTAAATAGATTTAAAACTTTTTATTTGATAAATGTTATAAAATAATAACAATTTTTTATTTTTATCTGTTTATTATTTTTTTAGTAAAATTATTATTAATATAATATTATTTTTAATTAATATTTTATTGTTTTATTATTATAAAACTATATATTTATAATTTTAATTATTGAAATTAATATTCTATATAATTTGAGTAAATTTAATTTTTTGGTAAGTAATAATAGTTAATTAATTATACTATTATATATCATTCTATACTTATAAATATAAAGAGTACAGACAAACTGTTTTTAATAAAAAATTATGAAACATAGTAAAATATATAATAACTTTAATATGTAATAATGAAAATTATAATGAATAAAAATATTGCAAAAATTCAATCATTGACTAACTAAGGCTTCTACTTGTTATGCGTTATGGATAAACAGGCTCGTTACATTTATCAAATTATGCAAGTAACGATTCTGTTTGTCGATTTGTTTTCTTTAAAACAAAAGAATGAATTAAACAACTTTAAATTGTGTTATATATCTTTTGGTTAGCCCACGGTATGTAAAACTCTTGATCATCAACAAAATAATATTAACAAGTGTTCGATGTTTGAAAAATTAATTCCAAAAAGCAATTATTTTTAAGTGATTTCATTTAACTATATTTTAAAAAAAGTATAGTTAATAACAAATTTTATTCTAATAAATTAAATTATTATTTCATCATTATTAAACAATTTTTAATATTATATAATATTATTAATTATAATTTATGGTTTTGTTTTGTATAATATAAATATTATATTAATAAACCATTGATTTGTATACTATACATTTTAATATTTTATAGTTTAATTGTTAACTATCGTTTTAAGTAGAAAAACGACCGCGGCAAAAAATGTCCATCTGTAAAGAAAAGGTTTTGGAGATCGTAAAAACAAACAATACTATGAATTTTACTAAAACTACTTTATTTTTGGCATAAAAACAAAGAAAATATACCCCTTTTCATTTTAAAATGCATTTTTGCGACAAGTTCCAAATTTTTCCCTGTTCCGTGATAGACCCTGGTGGAATTCATTTTTGTGTTTTTAAAAATACAATTATTTTTAAATTGAAAATAAATATTATCGAAACAAAAAGTTTAATTTTTTTTTTGAAAAACAAACACAACAAAATTAATATCTATTATTGAATTTGACTTCATTTTGTTTTGGTATTACCAAATTATGATAATTTCATTAACTTGGTTTTTATTGCAAATAACAAATTGTTGTTATTTCGTTTGAAAATCACGCAGAAATACCTTCCTATTTTTCAAATAAAATCGCTTGAACAAACTTTGAATAATAATGTCGTTTCCACACTATTTTTCCTCCGTTGTTTTATCGTTCATCGTTTTCATTCTCTTTGTTCTGATAACTCCAACTCAACACGACCTTTCTTTTACATATTCTTTTTCATCGCTGAGTGTCAGTGGAAGTAATCAACACATCGACATTCCATCACTTGATGTATTCAACACCAAGTTTACACACAATAAGTCGACGGGTATGTTTTATTACAAAAATAACTACATTGACGTTTCCAAATTCAATTACAGTGGGGTATGTGGTGATGTCTTCAAATATGGTCCAAATACTAAAAGGGATTTGGTTATTGGGTCATATGATTTCAAAAACAAATGTATCAAAGAGTCTGTTTTCCAAGCACTTGAAATGACACGAATTGCAATGCCCGATTGTCGAATTGTGTTTCTACTTTTCAGTTCAATACCATCAACTTGTGTTGGTAATTTTAAAAGGCTTTCAGACCTCCACGTCGAGACTTATAAAGTGACAAGACACCCCTTCCAAGATGCCGTTGTTTTTAGATTCATTGCATTCAGAGATTATATAACAAAACACATCAAAGAAATTGACCGTGTTGTTATTATTGACTTCAGAGATGTGCTATTCTTTGCAGACTTTTTCAGAACTTTTGGTGCAAATGAAGTCAATTGGCTACTTGAGTGCTATGGTACAAACGACCCAAACGACTGTTTTGGACCAGCCAACTTCCCAGAACACGCAAGGTGGATACGAAGATACATTTCGTCTTCCATTGCAGACGACTTTGTTCAGAGAAACATCTCCTCATTAAATGGCGGTTTTGCTTTTGGTGGCGCTGATAAGATGAAAGAGGTGCTCAACATATTATGTGATAATATGGATTGGAAAGAAATGATGTGGGGGTATGATCAAGCATTACTCAATGTGTTGTATTACACTGGAAAGTTTGAAAATGTTGGACTGCAAGCAGTTGCGTGTCAACAAAGAGTGTGTTATATTGGAATAAATGGATTCAGAGTCGAAAATAAAGTCATCTATTGGAACAACACATTGTGCTCTCCTGTGGCAACACACAAGTTTACAACCAATTCGACACATTGGAGGGTCAGGTAATATTATAACATATTTTTAGCAATTAAATTTGGTTATATTTTTAAATTCAGAGTTTTTTAAAGTAATTATAAAATAATAGAGTCATTTTTTTAACATTATCTTTCATTTTGACATTTTAATAAGTGGATATGATAGGGAAATTTTTTTCAAGCTATTAAATTATCAATTCTTTCGATTTTATTTTTTTTTAAATTCAAAATAATTTGTTCAATATTCTTTGGCAAAGATATAACATTTTAAAAAAAAGTTTTTAGCCCAAATCCACTGAAATTTGGTTTTTTTATTTTTTTGGAGCCTCCTCTAAATTTATAATTCAATTTAATATCAAAACATAATATACATTAAAAAAAACATCTTAAACTTTTGTTAAAGAACATAAAATAATTAATAAATTAATAGCTACATAAAGAATTATTTCAAAAAAATTATTACTTATTAATATATAGTATCGTGTAACAACACAACAATTGATATAAATAACAAATATAAAATGGAATAAATAAATTAACTTTTAATTTGCTTTAAACTGGGGTTTTCAACTTATAATAATTTGTGCAATGTTTAACAATAAGTTTCAAAACGACTAAAAATGATTTTGTTTTTCTCTTATCGTAATATTTTTTGTTATGTAGAGAATAATAAATAATAATATAATTAAAAAGACCAATCGTTGTGAAGTAATTCATGACATAGATTACTTTTCCCATATGTTCCATAATCAATCATAAAAACTTGAATTTGGGTGATAAAATAGTTTAAAGACAAGACTACTCAAAGATGTATTGGACAACCAAATGGTAGTGTGTTATTACTTTCATTGATATTTTATAACAGGCATGATTAAAAACTTAATCTTAAAAAGAAATAAAATAATTAAATAATGTTAACACGAAATAATAAAAATTGAGTTAAATAGATCTCAGTTAGAACTTTTTGAGTATAACAAAAACAATATACATATATTAGATATTTAATTGGGTTTATAAGATTTGATAAATTATTTTCAAACGCGTTTATTTTGTAAAAAAAATACATATCAAAATATAACAAAGTTAAAAAGTTGAGACAAATGAAAGGATTTGAAAAGAAATGATATAATGTTATTCATTTTAGTCATTTTCATTCTGGTTTGGTTCACCACAGGCAAAGAAAAGCAGCTCGCCAAAAATGAGTAGCTCTATAAATGGGAAAGTTGCAACCCATTTGGTTAATTTTGTCCGTTATTTTTTCAAAATAATAGATATATTGGTTTCAATCATTAAAAAACATGATGTTGAGTAAAAAAGTCGATTTTTTATAGTTTTCTTCGAATCGTTGTAGTTACGAAAAAAAAGGTTGTAACGTTGAATCAAATTACTTCATATACAAAAAATCAATAAATACGTTGTTATGAAAGATCAAAAACAACAAATTTACACCTAAATGAATATATTTAGGTGTAAAAACAGTATCTATAAAAATGAATTAACGAAAACTTATCAAAAAAACTAGAGTCGGTCGATAAACGTTGTCTGTTCCCTAAACTTTGTCTTTTTGACAAAAAAATAATTAATTGATTTTTTTTTCAAAAAAATGGGAATTAGGTAAAAATGAAAAAATGGGAAAATATTGAAACGACGATTTTTGGGGTTTTCAAAAAAATTCCCGAAATATTCCATTTATAATGGTCTAAAAATCAGCAGACAATGTTTAGCAAATGACTCTATAATATTTAACGACAACTGAACAATATATTTCAAATGCAATATTTTGTTGTTCTTTTATTTGTCGAGGCATTTGCATATACTTTCTATGACGATTTTTCAAAGTATGAAGCGGAGAGTTTTTTGACTTCGTATTACAACTCTTCCAATGTAAATTTCATGACTAAAACAGTCTTCTCAAAAGTCGTTTACCAGCTCTCTGGTAAAAGCACATTTGTGTGTTACTCGACTCCAAAGACAATCAAATACATAAGTATTGGATCTGCTTCTGCAATTATTGAGCCTGTTGAAAATTTTATGCCGGGTACCAGTTACGGAGTGACGGGGTTGGCACTTCTTGCTACGCCTAGTCAATACTGGTCGCTCAATTTAGTCGTCCAGCCCGAGTCAAACAATTATAAGCACTCTGCTGAACTTGGCTTGATTTATAACAACAGTTGGCCTATCCAAGGAAAATATGTTTCAAAATCACATTATTATGTCAAAAAAGACTGGTCTTGGGCGTTTAACACAAAATACAATATGACTATTTCTATAGATAGAACGATGATATCTGGATTGATCTTTTCCGAGGCAAAAGAACTTCTATATAACGCCACTTTCTTGTTCAATGCAACTGAATCGTATTTTCCGGGAGCACCAACATTCAAAGCGAATGGTGTGAAGACGAATTATTATAAAATTAGTGCAGGTGCATCTGAGTTTTCTGATAAGACATACAAAGTGTTTCCAAAATATGACGCGCGTTTGGGGTGTGACTATCCACCACAACAAGAAGCCACTGGCTTCTTCCGTGTATCAAAAAACAATGTAGACAAGAAGTGGTGGTTCTACGATCCGAATGGGTATCCTTACTTTATTATAGGTGCAAATTCAATTAACCCATATGATGGGTACGACTATGTTTTAGGTAATTCTCCATATAACGAGTTTATAAAGAACTAATATAAAGATTATGAAGAATGGTACCAAGTCCAAACAGATCGACTCAAAAGTTGGGGCTTCAACGCCCTTCCTAACTGGGTTGATACAAAGATGTTCCACAGAGGTCTTCCTCACTCGACAAACCATGACTCTTCAGTCTTTATTGTCAACTTTGATTACATCATACCCAAACAATCATGGACGGGATTTCCAAATGTTTTCAGTGATTTGTGGAAACCCTACTTAGAGATAACTTTGAGAGATGTTGAAGAGAACAAGAATGATTCCTGGATCATCGGACACTTTTTTGATAACGAAATGGAGTGGTGGGGAAAGACTGAAGAACGCGGTACTGAGAAAGGTGATTGGAATTTGTTTAACTCCACTTGGCTCTTACCAAAGAATCACACTGCAAAAATAGCTGCATCGAAAATTATAGAAAAGTATTTAAAAGAGAAGAACAGACTCAATGATATAACAAATTGCTTTGAAGAATATTTTGGTGTCAAAAATATCAATTCGATAAACGACTATTTGGACAGTTATAAAGGAGGAATTGTCTGGAGTACTGAGGGGAAGGAGATTGGGGCACTTTATATGAAAGAAGTTGCCGAGAGGTATTTTAGTGCCATCAAAGAGACTTTCCAGAAGTATGACAAAAATCACTTGTATTTCTGCACACGATTTCCTGGATCTTCCCCATCCATAGGAGAGATTGTTAATAAGTATTGTGACATCAACACATTCAACATATACCCATTCGTCTCTCCTATCAGTGGAGTGCCTGATAGCACTATCAAAAGTGTCAGAAAGATATCAAACTTTGCACCCGATATTCCATTGATGGTGACTGAATGGAGCTTCCCAGCACTCGATGCCGGGTTACCGAGTCAAGTCGGAGCAGGCACACGTGTGGACAACCAAGTCCAGAAGTCAAATGCAGTTAAATTCTTCATGGCGCAATTAATGAATATGGAGAATGTCATTGGTGCTCATTATTTCAGATATTTGGACCAATCACAACATGGAAATGCCGAGACCTTCCAAGAAAACTCGAATTATGGACTTGTCAATGGAACGGATTACCCTTACGATTTGCTGACCAAAACACTGAAAGAAGTCAATGAAAATTACTGTAGAAGAAGACTTGGGAATTTCTCGTATAACGACTATCTTCCAAACAAAGAGGTTTTATATGCAAATACAGTGAAAAAAGAGTTCACTTTTAATGCAACCAAACAAGAGGTGTTACACTTTAACTCGAAGATAAAAACGCGACTTTTATGTACAAAAACAATCGAATCGGGAGTTTTGAGTTTGGGGCGTCGATGTCGTATTACTTAAAAACGACACTCAAACAAAACAACAACATTATATTGGTCAGCGTCTGTTGTTGGATTAAATAAAGTTGTTGAGAGTGACAAGACGGTTGAGTTGTATTATCAAACAGATAATAATCACAATAAAACGATGGAAGTCTGCTTCATCTTACCCAAAGGAAGTGTTTCAGACAGTACAGTGAACCCTTTTATGGCTGTTCGAATTACATATATAACTGACAAACTGTCATTGAGTTCTGAAATAGTGAATTATAGAGTTGTCTCTGTTAATGTGCTCATTAACATGAAGGACTTTGGAAGCGAGGCGGTGTGTGGAGAGACATCTGGAAATTACAATTATTGGAAACCAGAAGAATATGTTAATGTACCGAAATTGAATGTTGGTATGGGTGTGTGGGCGTTCCCAGATGCCATTAGAATTGACAAAAATTATGGGATGAGTGTCACTATTGGCCAATCGTTCGGTGTAGACGAATTAATGGACGAAAACGGGAGTTTCGCCCCAAACAAATTTGACTTGAAAAAAGAACCAAATCTTGTGTTTTTCCCATTTGAGTCAAATTGTTCAATGGGTGGATATGGGTGTTACAATCAAATCTTGATATTATCATGAAGGAAATCACTAACCAATATAACCTTACCGAACCATTTGAAACGCCAAATTAATGTTACACTATAATTGGATTATGGGTATTTCTGATGCTATTGTTGCTAATTTAAATTGCGTTTGTTTTTTTGGTTAAAAAACAATCAATTAATAATGAATAAATAAGGTTACCAGACCGATTTTACATTAAACTTTAATATTTAATTCAAGACGACTTGGTCTTTAATTTGTGTAAACAAAAGTTATTTAAGAATCAAAAATGACATTTTAAAAATAAAATTAACATTCAAGTTATTTAAAAAACAATATTGACATTTATTCGATTTTAAAATTAACACAATTTATTGATTTGTAATTATACAAGCATATAACACGTTCAGAATATGACTTGAATAGGTACATCACTTATTGCTAAATAAATGGAACATGAATGCTATATTTAATTTTTAAAAATATTTATATTTAAAAAAACATAAACAAAATTAAAAAATAAAAATAGTATTTATTGTAAAACGCATTTCTTTGCTTCATCTGTTATTTCATCATCGACTTTGGGTTCTATAACATCTTTTAATAAAATATATTCTCCCAAATAATTAACAATTTCTCCGATTTTGAAATCAGACATTATTTTCTTCATACTTTTAGGTGCAACAATGGTATCAATTCGACTGTTAATTACTTCCAGTAATTCAACACAACTTTCTGATAAATCAAAATTGTATCCGTTTGTTTTTTCAACTACCAATTTACTTGTGCAAATTGGTAAATTGAGTTGTACCATTTCATTTGGTATATTTCCTCGATTTTCACTCTCAAAATTGGTCAACACAATTTCTTTTAACTTGGTGCAACAACTCCAGTCCCTTATTTTTCCAGTCTTCAAAAATTCAATATTTTCGGGCATCTTTTCTTCTAAATTTCCAACAATTTCTAAGTGTTTTACATTCTCCAAATTTGCTTTAAAACTTTTATATTCGTGTGCATATATTTCAAGTCTCTCAACACCACTTGGTATTTTCAAATTGACTGTTCCCAGTGGTTGGAATACACTCAGTGCAGTGAGACTGGTAATCTGAGTCACGTCGATGTTGTTTATAAACTTTTTGTCTTTCAGTCTTAATTCCATCAAATAATGTTTTTCAAAATTTTGGATGACGTCGTTAATAAGTTCTGGGCGCTTCAAACAGTCTGTTGTATATATCACCTTTTCTTTTGTTAAAGAATCGTCGGGATCGATCTTAGAACTTTTCTTGAAAAATTTAGTCGACATAAAAACGACGTTGTCAAACATTAAATCAGTTTTTAAAAGTGATTTTGGACGGTCTGTCACGAAGAAAAATTTGATGTTTTTTAGTGCAGATATTTGGGCGGCGTTTTTTCGAAAATAAAGAAGACCACCATCTTTTGTTAAAACGTCTTTTTTGAAATAATCAAAGCGATTGGAGTCATCACAATAAAAATAAAAAGTTGTGATTTTTGAGTTTTCAAAGTTTGTTAAGTCGATGAAGGAAATGTCTTTACAGTACCATTTCCCTTTATCACATACCTTATTTAACACATCTATACGAACTTTAAAATGTTTCAAATTTGGGAAATCGGTGATATCAAAGAGGTGGTTTTGAGACAGCTCCAAGTCTTCTGGAGTTGATGGGATAAACAGAACCACTATTAATACAGATTATAATAAATACAAAAAAGGATTTGATTTAGTTGATTCACTCACCGAGAGAATTGACACAAAAAAATAAATAGAAGGTAAACTATAGCTTTGTTTTCTGTATGTTAAAATTGGAATATAACAATTTGTATGTTATTATGAAATCTCAAATTCAAATAAAACAATGATACAAACAAAAAAATAACAATGTCTAAACTAAATAAGAATGATAAGCAAAATTTTATAAAATGGGTCGACCCGAAAAAGTTTCCAAAAAATTATGCAAATTTTAGTGAAACAAATGATTTATTATTCCAATGTCTTTTTCATTTTTGGTTTCATATGATGTTATACTTTACCTTTCTTTTGTTTGGCGAATAAAAAAAAGAAAAATTTATTTCTGCTAAACAAATAAAAAGACCAAATATGACAGATAAACATGTTTTAGATCTAAAGTGAGGCGAGAAACCCACACCTGGAGAAAAACCAGCACCCATTTTCCATTTTCTTCTTTGAAAAGCTGTTGAATGAAAAAAGGTTCAGTCTCAGTTTTTTGGTTAATTAAGAATGTTCTTATAATTAAAATACAATATAAAAACTACATGAAATTAACCTTAAATAATAAATATTAATTATTAGGAAATTAAAAATTAATATCTATTATCCTTGTGTTACTAATGAAGTGATAAATAAGCTTTTGAACATATTTTAGGTTTAATTTTAATATAATTTATTAAATGTTTAGATTAAAAATTATAATATAAGGTTCACTTCCTAATACATACGTTAAACAATTAATTACTGATTAGTTTAATATAGTATCTAAACTATAGATTGTTATTATAGTTTATTAACCATAAAAATATCAATAAGAAATCAATAATTTATATCCACTTTAAACCCATTTCTAATTGTTAATAAACTGTATTTATTAGCCACTTAAACATAATAAATGACATAAAAAACAAACAAACATTAGTCGCGCGCAATTTGCATTATCTAATTGTTAATTTATATGCACTATGTGTATAAATAAATAAATAAAATTGCCAAACGGTAATGGGGATCCGCAACAACTCAACACAAACACATCTCTGTTTTTTGTGTTGAGTTTGAATATTTGAACTTGTTTATCTTAATTTTAAGTTTTCAAAAAAGTTTTTGAGAAAAAAATGGTAGATATAAAACCCATCTAATTTTTCAACAACTTAAGTCATTTTAATAGTTGATATTAATATAATTATAATAATATGTATAGTTTGTTGGTGGTGTTTTAATGAATATTTTTATTAAAACTATTTAATTTAAGTTAAACAATTTGTTTAATTTGTAAAAAAAACAAATATTAGAAATATAATAAATTTTTATTATAATTGATAATGATTGTTATGATAAAAAACACATTCTGTAACTTCTTTGTATAATGTTACAGTATGATAAAACTCAGTGATACATTATAGTACTGTTGATGTACATTCGTTTGCATATCAAAATTTTTGTTTTTATTTACAACTTAATAAAAAAAGATATGTGTCAAAAAAGACATATCTTGACTTTTTTATTGTTTTTGAACTTATTTTAAAAATGGTGATATTACAAACACAACCGAGCTTTAATATAACATCTTCACGAAAACTTAATTGATTTTGACTCGTGAGTATTATAGATATAAAAAAGAAAATATTGATCAAAAAATATACATTTTCTGGAAAAAAGCAAATCTTTGGATATTTTTACTATACATTACTATATTATAGAATTTGTCTTGTGAAAATTTAAACTATTTTTAGAAATTGGGTTTTGATAAACTATTACAAGTTAAAAAATATAGTTTAAATCATTAAACTATATATATAGTTTATATAATAGTATATTTATTTTTTGAATAAACACAATTTTGAAACACTGTTATAATAAACTAAAAGTACGTAAAAATCCGGGCCATTTTTGTTCTTTGATAGTTCATTTTGAATCAAACTTGAATCATTTTTTTATTTTTGAATAAAAAACACCAAAAAGGAAGAAAAAGAAATAAAAAGAAACTATAATAACCCGACTTTTTTATTTTTTCTGTGTTTTGGAAGTAAAAAACACAATAATTTGGGTAAAAGAAGAAAAAGGAAAATGGGTGCGGGTTTTTCTCCAGGTGTGGGTTTCTCGCCTCACTTTACTCATTTTTTGCATTATACAATTATTATATAGAATCTTATATAGCTAACTGGATTTAAAACAAAACAATTTCAGATGTTTTTGGTTGTAACCAATAAAACCGGTTTTGTTTTATTTTCTTGTTAATTATATTTGAAGGAAAAAGGTGGGTTTAATTAAAGTAATTTTGTGGCAACTCCAAATTACAATACTAATGTTATGATCCGGGGTGTATTCGGCCACAATTTTAAATTAAAGGTGATGTTTTTAACTGGAATTGTTGAGTCGAAATTTGATATTGAAATGTTGAAAACTTCAAAAACCTTTGAAAAAACGAAAAAAGTTATAAAGATAGAATAACGTTTCAACAAGATGATGCACAGCATCATACAGTTCGTTCAACCGTAAAATGGTTTCAGAAAGCGACATATTATTTAGAGTTAAGTTACTTTACTCATGACCTATTAACAGTTTGGATTATAGTCCAATTTGTTTATTCTTCACTAGTTTTTATTTTTCTTAAAAACAAAAAAAAACTTATTAAAAAGTTAGTTTTTATAAGTTTATATATATAAGTTTAGAAAATACGTGTGTTGATTTTATTAAATAAAAGAAGTATCTAAAAATATATAAAATAGAAATCCATTTTAACAGTTTTTATGCACAAGGCAAAGTTTTGTATGTTACGAGTCATAAAGTAACTTGTTTTTATTAATATTTATTGAATATATTACTAACCGTAATAATTCCAAATTTTAAAAACACAAAATGAATGGTTCAATTCACTCTATAATTATTTATAAACAAAATATACAGTTTATTTTTATTTTATGACCAAAAAATTATAACATTATATTTTATAATATGTTTCACTTTTTATAAAATCAAAAATTTCAAGTCACATTTTTAATTTTTGTTTAAAATAATAAACTTGTATAATAAAATAATAAAAAATAAACTATTATATTGAAAATATAATGTTTATAATAAAAATTTGAATGGAAATTAGAGTTTGTTCAATTGAATTTTACATACAAATGATTTTAATTCTATATTTTTAAAAATAAAAACAATAAACAACAAAAAACTTTTGTGTAAATGTATTTGATAATAAAACTTGAGACAACCACCAAAAAACACCACATTTAAAATAATAACTAGCAAACTCTAAATAATAATCACAATGAATAATTTTCTTTGGCTTTGTGCCGTTTGTACAATAGCACTGAAATGCACAATTGATACCACACAAGCGCCAAATTGTACGTGTTTGTGTAAAGACGAAGCTGGTGATGCTGTTGATCCAGTAGACGATAAATGCACTTTTACAAATATTTGCACCGACTTCAGCGATAAAAACTTAGAAATTTACACCGATGGAACTTCAATTGAGTTGACTTCTATAACAATTGAAACTGAAACAACTTCTGCTGATGAAATAACATCTGAAACTCAGAAAACATACACCCCTGTTCCAAAAATCAATAAACTTAAAATCAGTCAATTTTCTCCAAAGATTGATCCTTTAAAAGAATTGACAATAACAAACACTTTAAAAGATGGTGTTGATAGACTTGTTATCTTCGAAAACACTGAAATTGCAAGTACTTACAGTATTGTTTATATAAGTCTTGGAAGTGTATCACATATTGACTTTAAAAACTCATTTGGGTATATTAAAGATAATTACAAATACATTGTAACGTCTTTAAAAACAGACCTCTTTTTAATTGGTCCAAAAGGTCTAACTTTTTATAGTCTTCCAGAACCCATACCAAACGTTGTTATAACAGAGACATACGTCAGGTATTCAACCACTGCTGGCCCCGAAAAAACATGCACATTAAATGAAGAAGGTGGACTTGATGAATTTGAATGCGAAATGCTTGAAAGTTATTCGCAGATGATACTCAAAGTCAATCAACCAATTTTTGTGTCTTCACCCAAAACTGCTAAAAACTGGTTAGAAGTTGATTTTAATGCAGAAAATGTTCAAATTTCTGGAGATTCTGCGACCAACCCAGTGTCTGCTACAATTTTGAGAATTAAAGGAATTTTCCAAATAAGTGGTGGACTTACAAAATTTTCAGATTTTTATATGAAGACGTCGATATCGAACAAAATTACTTCAGAAGTTTTTGCGCCAGAAAACATCGATATCACCGACTCTGTGGTTTCACCAATGGTATTTTTCTTGAGTTCAACTAAAACAACTGCTAAATATTCAGGATCAAATTTGTATTCAAGAAAGATAAGCACCAATTTTTATAGTATCACAAACGAAGAACAAAATATTTACTGCACAATAAACGCAGACGGTAATGCATTTGAAGAACCGGATTGTATTGATGGTATTTTGGATGATGGAAATGAACTTACTTTAAAATATAATGGAGTCTCTGATACTCTTCCAATTATATCAAATCATTTAAAATTTGTTACATTTTTATTCGACTCAACCAAGAAGATAAAAACAATTCATAATTACGTTTTTACGACTTTAACAGTAACACATGAAAATATTTACTTAACAAACGTCACTATCAATGCAATCGAATTGAAAGACACTTTTGTATATGGCACTTTATACGAAAGTAGTATCTCAACTTTGAGTATAACAGGTTCTGGATACATAGTTCACGATGCCACTTCTTATACGTCGAAATTAAACAGAATCAGTGACACGCTTTATCGAGAAATGAGTGGAAATAATGAATTGAAACTAAAATGTGTTTTGAATTGCGATGATACAAAATGTTCTTTTGAACAACAAGATTGTGAGTCTCTTGCTGACTCAACTTATATGACACTTGTCGCTAAATCCGGTCTGGCCAACATCGACTCAATTCCAGGCGCCAATATCAAAACTTTTGCTGAGTGCGATTTTTCATTAGCTTTACCGCTCACTTTACAAACAGGTGTTGAATTAACTTGCAATAAATTGAATAATGGTGCTTCAAATCTCATTATTAAAAGTGGTTTTTTAAAAATCGTTAACATGTATACTTCAACATCTTTCAAACTTTCAGTGTTGTACAACCTTCCTTTGAATTATGTCATATCCCTCAAATTTGTGTGGGTCAAAAATGAACAAATCGAGACTGAGTATTGTGTGAAAGCCAATTCTGAATTTGCTCGTTGTTCGAGAACTGTTAATTCCGACCTATTGATGGACAGATGTGAATATCAAACATCTTATAATTTCATCGATTGTGATCAAACACAAGATTATCACGTTGACTTTGAAATGATCAAATTGTACCTTAAAGGCCCCACAACATCTGATGCTTTTCAAATGGGAAAAGTATTTAATGTAGAGTATTTATTCCTTGGTTCTGAAAGCTGTACATTTACAACAAGTTCAATAACTGTTACAACAACTTTAGATGTATCTACATGCACTTCACTTAACATCACTTTATTAAATAATGAAGCTCTTAACGTCATACCAAATACCAAGCTTTATGGGATACTTTCAACTTCAAATAAATTTTCTTTGAGCACAACAACAATTCCAGTTTCAATTTCACTCGTAACTACAAAAAAATAAAGGCGGATTCTTTGCCCACACTCAGTTCAACGGTTGAAACCATATCGATAAACAAAGGAAATACTGCTGTCCAATGGTGGTACACACAAGAAGCAAAATGTTCAATAACAGGAACAAACGTTGATTTTAATTTGAGAGATGTATGTTACTCTATATTGAATTTCACTTCAATCGATATCGAATTGACAACAACTGGTACTATTTTAGAAACATCCAGAACATTTAAAACTATTTCCAATTTAAATTCATTGAATAGAATTGATCAACCAAATCTCCAATTGTTGTCATTGAACATTGTTACAGCCGATAAAGAATTCACTTTGAAATCAGTTGAGACATTAACTCTTGGTGCAAAAACAACAATCAACATTCAAAATGTCGACTTACTTACTGTGAATAGTGATGGTTGTAAAGTTTCTATCGGCTCGTTAACCAAAAAAATTGTCTTTGGAAATGAAGGGATATTTTTTAATGGAATGATTACTACTGAGACTGTTGTGGAGACAGAAGTTGCGACTGTTTCATCACAATTCAAAAGATACGGAACAACATCACTTTTGTGTAGTTCAATTTCTGATAGTCAATTTACAGAGTTTGATTGTAATGATCAAACAAGAGTAGACTACACTTTCATGACTTTACAAGTTGGATTCAGTTCGAGTCAAATAGACCAGCAATTTAAGAAATGTATCATAAATGGTGACGGATATTCTGTATCAAATATTAAATGTACAACCACAGAAATAACTGCGAATACATTCACTCTTACCAATTGTCAACTTGGAACACTGGCTATAAACAAAGTTGATAATATCAATAGAAAGATGACTGGTTCAAAAATGAATATTACTGATTTAAGCGCACAAATACCTGATATACCAGTGTTTTATAGTGACATGTTAATAACAATTGGAGATTCGGCCCAGTATTTAACCGCTCAAAAAGTGACAGACACGCATTACAGATACTTCGGAACAAAAACAACAAATACAGCTTGTGTTTATAATAATACCGGATATAATATTGTTGATTGTAACACTGATGCTTCAATAGGACTGGATTTGACAATTAGTTCAAACAATTTTAGAAATATTGACCATATTTTTAAGTCTGCTTTTATAACAACAGATGTCACAGTTATCAATGCATTAAAAGCAACAAAATTTAGTCCGGTTTTCACCGAAAGTTTAACTATTAACGGCCTGCAAGTCACAACTTTGAAACTTCCAACTACATACAAGTCACTTGAAATATTATCAACGAATCTCGAGTCAACAATAACTGAAATTGAAAATGGAGCAGTTCCTCTATTTGTCGGAAAAGTTACAGTTAATTCACCCAACGTGCACAATTCTGTAATAAATGCACAATTTAACAGATATTACATTGAAACACTTGGACTTGATTGTAATTGTGAAGATGGGACAAGTGTGATCGAATGGGATTGTATAAACACTTACGATCTCAGTGTTAGAACGTTTAAATGCACCAAAGAAAATGAGTTCACTTTTGGCGAAACATTCTCTGATAAATTCAAAACTATTGAAGTGTCTTCTAATATTATTTTAAATAATATCAATTGTGACACTCTTAAAATAATGAGCCCAAGTTACACAATTAAAAGTGGTGTTGCTAAAACCATTTCAATTGGAATAAAACATCTTGACGGTACATTTACTGGATCATTCAATACGATCACTTCAACATCTGATACATTTAACTTGGACTTAATGCATTATCTTAAGAATCAAGAAAATGACAAACTCCCAACTCTAGAAATACCCACATCATCATTAACTGTTCATTTTGTGTTACTCTCAACAGACAAATTGAAATATAGAGTATCGACAGTTGATGCATTATACTGCACTTATACTTCAGAAGATACGACAACCCAAGAAGCACAATATTTAGAAGGTGATTGTTCAACACCAGTTGATACCCAGATTCTTAAAATCGATTCAACAAAACCAACAAAAACTACTTTATTCGCAAAAAGTGGAATGAGGACATTTGCATCATTGATGACTGCTCAATCAACACTTGAATTACCGACTGTTAGTTTGACGTCTTTGACTGGAAACGGACTTGATACAAAAATTCCGATGACATACACATTGGGACACGTTGAAACATTCACACCAATTAGTCAGTTAAGCTTTTCAATCAAATCCAATGTAAAAAGCATATCATTTTCTGAACAATCTCCAGATGCTTATATTGAAGGATCTGTAGAAACAGTTTCAACAACAAATTCTTTTGATTCAACACATTTATTTGTTTTGAAATCAACTGCACCTCCCAAATCCACATTATTTACAACTAAAATAGCAACAGATACATATCGTGTAAGTTCTAAAGCAGACACAAATGGTTCGAATAAAATCTGTACATTATCAACTGATACAACTAAATTTGACGAATTTGATTGTAATAAATACTCGGTTAATGGCGAAAACCAACTTAATTTGGTATCAACCAATGTGATAATAGATTTGACCGGGTTGCATTTACAAAACTTCGAAAGTGCAGAATTGCTTGGTGCGACTTCAATTACTGATTTGACAGTGTCGTTACATTTGAATACTGGAATGATTGATGTAACTTTCATAACATGTAACATCTCAACACTTCAAATAAAAGATGAAATTATAGCTCAGTACTTCTTCATAGATTCATTAGTTATCACTCACAATGCAACAAACAACCCTATTTTTGTTTTTGATGAAAAGTCATACACAAAGTTCACTCCACTTGCTTCAACTTCCAATTTGAAAACAACACAAATATCTACAGATACACCTTATTATCGTGTTAGAAAAACTGCTGTTGATCAAATATGTACCGCAGTTGATTCGACTGCTTTGTATTCTGAGTGGGATTGTAATAAATATGCTCAAACAAATCCAACAAATGCATTGATGAATTTAAAAATAAGTGGAAACCAAGTTCAAATAAGTTCAAAAATTTTACACTTCAAAGATATTACTTTTAATGGAGTTGAATCAGTGGAATACATTTTGACCATTTCCGATTCAACTAAATTGTGGATCGATTCGGTGTCTTTTGCATCTACAACGGCAAATGTTTATTATAATTTGGATATGAAAATTACAACCCTCACTATCGCTGAGACTATCGCATTTACTATATTTGGAGGGAATCTTGAACTCACTAATCCACCTTCAGGATCGTCAACATCAAATTTCATTGCATTGATTTCTAATGGAAAAACGTTAACTGGTAATTCCAATCTCAACACAATAAAAATTGGAAGCGAATCAACTTATCGATATTCGAGAATTTCTAAAGCAACAACACTTGATTGTACCTATATATCTGCAACTAATAAATTCAAAGAACTCGATTGTCTCATAACTACATCCGAAAGTTCTTTGTACAACTTTGTTTCATCCAATTTTAACCTCGTTTTTACAGACACAACAGTTGATTTTAATAACAACGCAATTGTGTTTTCCACGATGAAATATCCTACAGATTCTACGACTCATATGTTCGCTTTAACAACACAAAAAACATTAACATTTAATGTTTTAATTATTAAGGATCTTGTTAACATCAACAATTTTATAACAATCAACAATGAAATCGACTTCGATCAATCTTCAAATTATGACTTCACATCAAGATCTCTTTCATTAAACTTTATATCATCTGTTATTTTGAAAGTTAAAACATCTTCTTCGACTGATTACACAACAGACCCAGGAAGCAATTCCTATCCTTTGTTCACTGGAACACAAACAGGAATTAAACCCGAGTGGTTAAATAAGCAAGGGTGTTCCGATAAAGTGTATTATTTCAAAAAATCTAATGCGAATTGTATATGCACTTTAATTAAAATACTTTGAATACCGACCAAAGTTCATTCGAATCAACAACTGCTGAACAATGTGTCAATAAAGAGGCACAAGTGACTTACTCGTTAAAAGTTGTTCAATCAGTTTCAGAAGTAAAAGTCCTTCGAACTGTTACATATTCAGATCTTGCATTTGAATCGTCTCAAATCACATTTACAAATCCAACATTGGATACCCCAATTGAAATTACATTCAAACTTCTGACTATTGAAAAGCCAATTATTTTTGGTAATGGAGTTTCTGTACGCATAGAGGCATATACATTCACTGAAGGATCAAATGGATTTTTGCAACTTGATTCCACACAAGGTATCGTACTTCCAACAACAATACCATCGTATGCAATCATCATATCTGCAATGCAACTTACTTCACTTACTACAGCTGTAAAATGTCAAATTTCTGAAGATGTTACTCGGTATGTCATTAAGAATGGTATTACTAATGGCTGTGAATGTTGGAATCAATTAGCCGATTGTGCAGTTCCTCAATATTCGTTGAGTAAATATTACTTGAAAATATCTCAAAATGTCGATCTTACGTCAAGTTTTTCATCAATTCAAATCACTGGACTGACACCTCAAAGTTTAATATCAATATCATCAGTAACTTTACAAACGATAAAAACATTAGATATTTCAAGTGTTTCAAATTTGAGACAACTCAATATTAAAGGTGCAACACAAGTCGAAAGCTTTATTAATAAAGACATATACACCATATTTGAAAACAAACTTCCTAAACAAGTCGAATCACTTTCTACAGTTGATTATAAGTATGGATTTAATTCTCTTCTCTCACCAATATCATTAAGTACGATGAAAGCAATTGACTGTGGAAATCCATCTTCACATTTCTATAGAAATATGATTGGTGCCACTGATGCTACTTGTGAGTGTAAATATAGTACACCACTTGTCGATTGTCCATTCACTCCAATTAATTTCAACTTGAATTTGGATGTTCCAGATACTTCAACGAGTAAATTCACACTTTCTAATGTCTGGAAAAACGTCTTGTTATCACACACAACGGAGACAAACACTAAAGATGAAATCGTTTTGGCAGTCAGTGGAAACATTTTTATTGTTGGGAGTAATAACTTCAAATTATCATCGACTTTGACACAAAAACCAACAGCAACTGCAGAATTTAAAAGTGAAAACACTGCATATATTGAAACGACAGGTATTTTGTTATCTATTGCTGCAACAAGTCAAAATACGAATTACCCTTTATTTGTGAGTACTGATGATTATGGAAGTGGCAATTACCAAAAATGTAATAGTGTTTATCGACACTTTTCAACTGGAGTTACTAAGAATTGTGACTGTATTTACAGTGAAAGTGGATTATCATCAAAAGACTGTGTTTTCCAATCAACAAATTACAATTTGAAAACGACATTATCGACCATAACGTTGAATTACAATTGGTCGTCATTCGAAACACCAATAACATCTTCATTGTTTAATTTACACATGAACTCAAAGTACATTTCAACAATTAAAATTAAATGTCCGACTAATATTGATGGAATTGTCACACAAAAAGGAACAATTGTTACTGATGGTACAAATTACTTGACCATCTCTACAACAGGAACTGAATTCGATATACCAGTAGATCAATGCAATACTTACTGTGCTACTTATCAAGACAGTGTTACTACACATCCAAACACCGCAAGCTGTGGAACAAACAATCAAAGAGTTTCTAATAACAATCAGTGTTACTGCACAATAAATACAGCGGGAAATAGTTTCTCTGAGACAGACTGTAATCACGACGAATCTTTGGTTGGATATGATCTGAAGGTGAACAACGAAAATCAACAATTGCGGTTGACAAAAACACTGTCGTTTAACAAACTAACACTCACCCCACCAACACAAGTTATTTTCACTTCAACAAACTCGATTTCTTTTAAACTGATTGATGTCAACATTCCAATCACTTTTAATATGCAAGTCACTATAATTGAAATGCTGAATCAAATTAGAGCAAACACTATCAAATTCTTGAAAACAACTACAATTACAAGTGTTACTCCATTAACAAATGGATTCATATTATTTGATACCGATTCTTCAAATACTCTCACGATAAATGCAGTCTCGGACAGTGTTCAATCATGTTTAGACTTTGCATATTCAAATCACCAGAATATTAATAGTGGAAGTTTGAAACAAGTAAAATTGAATGGCAAAACAACTTTAAGAACATCGAGTTGTGTAGATAATAAAGCACTTGAGTGTTATTTCACAAAAGAAAATGAGAATTATGACGAACAGTTTTCGACATTGAATTGTCCGTGTGATGCCGTAATAGGATCTGAGACTACAACCGTTCCATGTGTATTACACGCTCAAAGTATTGTAGAAGGGAAAACGTTTAAAATGCAACACAACATTGAAGCTGAATTTAAAATTGAATCCAACATCATTTTCTCATCTACTTCTTCATTTACTATTAAAAATGTCACATTTACTGGTACAACTTTGAGTTTTAAAGATTCAAAGGATATTACAATCAAGAATTTCACTGTCACAAGAGCAGTTACAATTTCGGGTAATATTAACATAGAAAATCAATTTGGTAATGTCGCTGCTACACTTCAAAATAACAATAAAATCGTTACTTTACAACAATTTAATTTTGCATCAATTTATTCGTCGTCATCATATGAATATATTTTAACTGGAACTGCTTTGGGTTATTCACTCATTTGTAAAAGGTGTACTATTAGAGGAACTAATCAGAAAATAACTTCATTGACAATTGGAGATTCTAATTTGTACCAATTTGAAAAAGAATCAACAACAAACATTTCAAAAATTGTTTTCAATGCCAATGGAGATTTTGAGTTGTTACAAATCGATGGAAAAGTCAATTTTGACTCAACCGTGTTACAAGAAGATTTTAAATTTTCGTACCCAATCGTGATTTCAAAACTAAATAATAATACAAGTGTCACAACACAATCACAAGCAGTGAAAGTGCTTTGTAACAATATGGTTACAATTGCAAATGACTTTTCACATTCGCAATTTTGTGAATCGAATGATTATCAAGAAGACAATGAATTTGATGACATTAATAATTGTAATAAAAACTCATATTGTACACTCACAATAAAATCAAAGAACGAAACTAAGATATCTAAAAATTATAATGTTGTTACATGCAATGACGAGTGCACAATCACCTCGTTTGACTCCAAAGTGACTAAATTAAATATAAAAGGAACTGGTTCAAACATTATTACCATAAAAGTCTCTCCAACTTTCCAAGTAAGAGCACAGGATTGTATTCTCAATGTTGAAACTGATTTGAGACTTTCTGCAAAATCAGTTGCTATAACACGAACTACTGGAACAGTAACTTTAGTCGACTCAACTTTGAAAAAATTGGATGCTGTTAATGTTGTAATAACAGGAGAAGTGACAATTGAAGGTGAAGCATCTATTTCTAATAGTCTGACTCTTTCTTCAGGAAGTTTGACCTGCAAGTCTTTAACTGTAAAAATGATGATTGTTCCAAATAACAAATTTGGAGCATTGACAACTGGTACATTCACATTATCTTCTGGAGGAAGTATTAACGCTCCAAATTACTATAACTATTACTCAACCACATATACTGGTTGTTCTCCAAATGATGGAATTTTGACTGCCGGACGCACATATGATATTACCAACTTGAGATGCGTGACTTTGGTTGATAGACAAATTGACTTGAATTCTCTGAACGCATATCAAAGTCATGTCAACATGAAGTGCAATGAATTTACAATTCCAATACTAGTGAAATCTACAACTGTTAGTGTGTCAAAGCAAACGACAATTAATACTGGAGTGTTTGTATCAACAGCAACAAAATTCATTGGGAATTATATCCTTAAAAACTTTACTACAAACTCGGAAGTCATTTTTACAGATCATATCAACGTTGTATGTTCATCTCAAATCGTTACGACAGGGACAATTAAAATAATAGGAAATGGTGAAGTGCATAATTGTCCAATAGTAATCCAAGCATCAACAAATGATATATTAATTGATCAAGTCTCTTCTATCGAACTTAGTAACACTGGTGTATTCACTATGAGTTCGGGTATTCAATCGATGACTCTTATTATTTCAAAGGAAGAGTTTGATAGAACAATTACTCTTGACAAAGAAATCAAAACATTAACAATTTTGGATGAAACAACAAAACAAGCCGACCATGTACTCTTGGTTAATACGATATCAATAACAGGAGGAGCACTTGGAGATAAATATAAATTTGTGTGTAACAATAAAAAAGTCGTTTCAAATAATTCACAAAATTTCAGTTGTGACGATTTTTCATATTCAATAGAGTACCAAGACACCTCTGCAGCATACACTCCGACACAAGGGTGTCTCAATTCTTATGATATTAACTGTATTGCAAAAGTCACTGTATTACCTGGTTCAACACTCACTTCACTGAATTTAGTCGGAATTAACTCACAAACAGTCATTCTGTATTTAAAAGCGCCAAAAGTATTAAGAGTGAATTTGGATACCGACGTTCAAAATTTCACGATTGTAGGCAATGGTGAAACATATGGTGTTGTTTTACCGGCTCTTTTACCAAAATACACAACTGTTAACAACGCACTGTTAACAGTTGAAAACAGTGGAAGTCAAATTACAATAAAACACGTTGTGTATCTCAAAGCAGACGAAACATCAACAATTGAACTTAACAACTTGAAAGTGAATATCTGGGAATTAAAGTGTTCGAAAGTGACATTAAATGGTATAACAGGAGCCGTTTATTCTCCAATAACAGTTGATTCCATGAAAGTGACTAATACTCAATTGGAAGTGTATGATTCAATTGATATCAATACTTTAAATGTCGACAAAACAGCACAAGACGTTGCTGTGTTTACAGCCAAACAAAACATCGAAATGATTAATATTGAAGAAGGTATTCCATTGACTTCTTTAGACTGTAAATATATAGTCGATTATCAACTTGCTTCTGTTAAACCAATACTGTCTGATTATATTAAATTAAACAATTTCTCGTCATATGGACGCATATTCACAGGAGTGTGCTCATTCAAATTGGACAATTGTTCCATCCTTCCAACTACAAAATGTACAGTCGATGTGCACGAATCGGGAAATTACCAATTCATTTCATTGTGCCCCAACAGCTCCATTCCTATTGTTCTTTCTAAGGCAATATGTGAAGATTCAAAGGAAATTGCAATAAACGGAATATCAGATAAATCATATAACAAATTCATTCTTCCTGAAAACGCGGTGTTACAGTCTTCAGCGACATCTTCAATCGAAATCAAAACCCTTGATATGCAACAAACTGTCACTTTCTTGAGTCCATATATCATCAAAACGTTACAATCAAGTGTTGACACAACGGTAGTAATTAACTGTAAAGCAAACACGCAAATAGAAACGTTGGTACTATCAAAACCAGTGAATATAACCATTTCCCAAGGTTCTGCACTTACGCTTTCATCACAAAAAGTGACTTCATATGAAATAGCGAAATTGGAAATTGGTGGAAATGACTTAAGTGTCTATGGATTAACCGCAAATATAGTTGTTACAGATTTGGTCTTCGAAGCCACTTCTTCTGACAATTCCATTATTAAAGTCAATACACTTGATTTGTCGAAAATAAATACCATCGAATTCAAAAGTGGAGTCAGAACATCACATATTCCACTTATCAACACTGTTGAAAAAATGACAATTCCGACTCAGATGTTTACTGATACTTCTCTTGTTTGTGATGGTAAAACGTTGATATACAAATACGTAGATAATAAAGGAGAGTCAACGGCATTCCAATGCCCAGATAACGTCAAATGCATTATGCAGGACAACACACAATGTATACGATCTTTAACACAAACAGACTACATTCAGAAACATGTCATTGATATACCAAATACTTTCAATGGAAATTCAATTCAACTGGGTGATAACTCTCAAGTTACGAAGATCTATGATGTCGTAAATGTAAATAAACCAGACCTAAATATTCAAGTTGAAAAGGGTGGAATTTATGTGTTTAATATATATGCGAAAGGAATTCAAATATCATGTGCGGAGACGGGATCAACAACAGACTCGATTTGTCATATAATAATCAATAATTTGAACGTCGACTTTAATGAAGTGGTGCTATCTGGGAAGAACATGGAACTCAAAGAAGACATAACAATTGACAATTTGGTTGCTAATGTTGCAATCAGTGGAGATATCACTTTAAGTTCATTTGAAGTGACATCATTAACGATTCGAGTCAAAGATGGAGGTATCATGAGAGTGAAACAATATGCTTCTATGAAATCTTTAACACTTGAAAAGGGCTCGACTGTATATTCGTCAGACTCTTTTGACACAGATGAGGTGATTTACAATGGTGGACAAATTATAATTGATGCAGATAACACAGAAGCTGTTTTGAATGTGAACATCTTTAATATTGTAGCTGGAAGTATCGATATTCCAAGTAATGGGTGTTTGAATGTCATTAACAGAAAGAAACTAAAAGATTTAACACAAGAAGTTGTGATTCCCGAACTTGTTTGGAAAGGAAAAGTAGTTTTTGATAATCAAGGCGAGATGGTGACAAAAGACTGTGGATACTCAAAACTTGACATTTGTGCAAATAAAGACGTGGAAAATGAATGTGAAAATATAGAGTGTAGCCCAACTGACGGAGATACAAGACAAATATGTTTCTGTACATATGATCCTGCTATTAAACAAGACTGTTCTCTTGCTTGCCCGATAACTGAAAACACAGACTGTGTGTTCGAACCTTTACAAACATCAACGGCGTTGTTTAATAAAATTACAATTCCAACAACAAACACTTTGGTGATCAACAAGTTGTTCAAATTCTTTGTAATGAAAATGAGTCAAAACATAAATATAAGAGCAACGAAATCACTTAATATATACCAAATAACTGATGAAGGAGAAAATGGAGCAGGAACAATCGCAATTGACTCAAGTGCAGACATTACAATCGATTCAATTAGACTGACACAGTCAAGTTCCATTCTCACAATTAAAGCAAATGCATTGACTACACAAGAACTGTATGTCATCAATGGAGCAACTTTAAATATCAACTCGGAAGTCACTCTACCAACATCACAATCTGGGTTCGAATTTGATACCAATCTTACTAATGTTCCAAGTGTCACTCGACAAATTTACTTTGGAAAAGACGCGAAAATCAATCTACTGGAAAATGCATACTTTACCATTCAAGGCCCAACTACTAAAGACCAAATCACTAACAAGTTTGATGCAACATATAACAAAATGACACTTGATGAGTGTACTGTCACTCTTGACGCTGATTACATCGGAAAAGTCACAAAGAATTATCCAAATGTCGTGTTTAACTTTGAAGTGATTGGAGAAGTGATTATCAATAAGGCAACAGTGATGTATAAAGATAAAGCTCCAAGTGACAAAAATGTTACTCTTATATTGAACAATGATGTTTCACATATAACAACAACCGAATTTAGTACTAAGAATGTTATTGATGATCAGAACTACGCACTCATTGTTGGACAGTCAAATGCCGTCTTGGACAAAACTGCAATTCCGGAATTGTCATGCGATCTGACGTCAGAGTTCTCTGGGAAAGTCTCATCTGAAACGAAATGGAAGAGAAGTCAGTGTCCATGCAATGGAGAGACGTGTATAGTCAACACTGAATCAGTGGTCAACACAGTTAACTATGAAGTTACCAACATCACTTTTGCAAAGTATTACACGACAAACGGATTGTTGGAAGGAACATCTGCAAACATCAGTGAGTTGATTTCACTTGGTGGAACCACTGAAGTCAAAGTGACAAATTCGAATATAGAAATGGTAACAATGGAAAAGAGGGGAATTATCTCATTCACGAAACCGATGAAGGTCCCAATAATCAATGGATTAGAAGAGTCTGGAACAATTGATGTGAAGACGCACTCGTTGACAACAAAAAGTATCACAAATGTCGACTTGTCTATTTCGACTGGTTCAATTTTACTCGAAAAGGAAACAACAGGCAATTTTAATGGAAGAACAATCACAGTCGCTGCGAGTGGAAGACTCGACATCTATTCTTCAAAAATCATATTTGATGATAAGACCAATTTCAACGTAAAAGTCGAAGCTGGACAACCCGCTTTAATTTCAGTTGATGACGACGCAGTTGGTGACACACTATCTATCACAAATGCACACTACAAAGTCACGATACCAAGTGGGTCAAGTGGAAAGATCTTCACTGTTCTTCGTGTGTTGACTCCAATCAACATTGCAAACTTTGAGTTTACAGAAGATCCGACAACACCAGGTGGAAGTGTGAAAACGCAACTCAAAAGTGGAACGTTTGCATTCAAAGAAGCGTGCAATGGTGTTGTATTGACCGACTTGCCTAATGAACAGATCACGTGTCCAGAAGATCGAATGGCCCGTGTTGTGGAGAAGTTTGAGTTCCCAATGTACATGATAGCCGTCATTATTATCTTTGTGTTGGTACTTGCTGTCATTGTAGCACTTTTGATTGCTTATGTCGTCCACGTCTATATTGTTAGAAAAAGGAACATGAAAGTCTTTGAAGAAGGTGAAGAGATCGCTGTTGATGAAAATAAGCAGGATGAGGAAATTAAAAACGAAGATAACAAGCCAACGAACAATGAAGTAAAAAGGGAAAATGTTATAGCTCCAGTACCTTCTGAAGTTCCACTTGCAAATGATCAGAAGAAAACAAGTGTACTAGACAAGACGTCGGAATCTGGATCAGGAAGCAATTCTGGCTCAAATAAAGACTAAAAAATATCTTTTTGTTTATTGTTGATCTTTTTGTTTAATTTAAAGAAAAAAATAACATAGTTGATAAGTTTTTAAGTGTCATTGTGTGAACTAGAGAATGGCCATGTGTTTGAAATACAACTTTGCCCACAATTTGTTTACTTATAATTGAGATAACAATTTAATAACTTACTAATTAATAGTAAGGCTCTATTATTCTTAATAATGTTTTTCAACTTTAAATATATTCTGTTGTTGAATTAGTAAAAATTTGGTAATCAATTAAAAATTGATTGTTCAATTTCAAAATAAAAACTAAAGTAAATCAGTGTGTGACGTTAATTGACTACATTGTATAACTAATTGTTTTGGCTTGTTTCTTATAACAATTGAAAGTTAAAACAGAAATAAAACAACTCATTAAATACAAAGAAACAATATTTAAATTAGCAATAACAATATTTAGGAGTGACAGAGTCATACAAAGAAACTATATTTACCCTTTTATCAGGATAACTAAACTCTCCTTTTGGAAAAGCTGCTTTAAAAAAGACTTCATTAATACCCTCTCCAGTGTATGAAGAACAGAAAACAAGGGGATATCCGACTCGTTCAGCATATCTTATACCTTCTTCATCAGTAACCACTTTCTCAAGATCACACTTATTTGCAACAAGAACAATTGAGACATCACCGCCTCTTTCTTTTGTGGTCAAGTCGATCCAATAGTCCAAACTTTTGAAACTATTACGAGAAGTTACGTCGTAGACGATTATTGCACCTTTTGCGTCACGAAAGTACAATGAATCACATTCTCTGTATTTTTCTTCTCCATATGTATCAGTCAATTCTAAATTGATTGTATACTTTGGTGTTTTTCTGTGTGTTACTCATGATAATATTTTGATTTATTATTCGAATTATTAATAAATGTTTAATTTTTAATACAAACATCACTTGATATGGAAAATATACTCTTATAGAAGCATGTTCGTGATTATCAAAGTAGTGTAAATAAAATCTGATGAGCATACAAGTTTTTCCTAATAGTTAAAAGTTTGTTTAATGTAAAATTTAGTTATAAAAAAATACAAAGTAGTGATTTTATCATTTACCAAAAACCTGGTTTATATACACTCGAAGCATACCTACTTCATAATCCCCCAACATAACAACTTTAAACTTTCTGTCTGTGTATTCCATGAATATATTAACAAATAAAAGTTTTTGTATTTTTTGGTTAAAACAGGTTGTTGTTATGGGAATTATATTCTATGTTCTTAAAGGAACTTTGAAAATCGAATTACAAAATAAAAAAAATTAATGTAAATTTGGGTTTATCATTTAAAATAGTATTAATATATAACAAATATGTTACGATTTTTCCTTGTTAATCGAACTAATGTTTCTTGTAATCTCGCCATATTTAGCAATTTCAAAAGATGTTAGATAATAAAAATTTTAAATATTTAAAATTATATTATAATAAAAAACATAACAGGCAATTGAAATAACTAACTATAATATGACCACAAGAACTAAAAACATCTTTGCATTGGTTTGCTTTTTAGTTAATTCAACTTGAAAAAAATAATAGATATGGTAAACTGCGAATTTGGAGCAAAAATCGTATGTAATCAAATAAAGTATTTTAAAATGATATTATTATAGTTTAGTAAATCAAATACTTTTAATTAAGTTGTCTAAAATTGTATGTTTTGTGTTTTTATCATTCAAAAATGGAAAATTCTTGTTGTGTATTTGTTTGAATAACAAAAAAGTAATTTTTAATTTAAAGATGAAATAATATTTTTGTTATTTTTTTCATTTGAATTTAAAAATCATTTACATATTTTACTATTGTCTTGATAAATTAATATTATTATATCGAACAGTTATAAGAAATTTAATAGTTTGCCAGATTCATTTAGTTTATAAAAGAAAGTAATGGTAGAGGAGTATAAATACGAATGATTTATCAATAACCCACAATGTTTCAAATTAAAGATTGTACCATTTTTAAGAAATATTATAAGGGGATCTAGTATAACGGCAGTGCGGTCTTTCCTCATTACAAATGAAAGAAGAATGTTGGTTCAACTCCAACGATCCTCATTTTTTATTTCAAACAAAAAAAATTATAAAATTTTTAAAACTGAAATCGTTGCTAATATAAATTGGCAATAACGATAATACATTTTATTCCCATTTTGTGTCACTGGGATGTACCATACCATATATTAAAAAAAATCAATCAAAAATTGGAAATTATCCTGTTTTACTCCTGTCACCAAGACTTGTATGTGATGTTATGTTAAAGTTCTCTAATATTGGATACCCATATGGAAATTTAACACGTGAGACACCTGTGTTTCCAAGCTTGATATTGTGATATGCTTTTGGTTCCAATTTGAGCAGTCCTAAAATTGCGCATTTAATCCATGCGCCATGTGATACGACTACAATCCGTTTACCTTCATTTTCATGACAGATGTTGAGGAGGACCTCTGCGTTCTTTTCCTCCCAATATCTGATGCTTTTCCCAGTGTCACCAATTGGAAGACCATCTTCCCCACGACAGAACTTCTTATAATTTTCATCAGTCAAATCTTCAAAGCGTTTTCCTTCCCAATTTCCAAATGGAACTTCGCGAAATTTGTCATCGATGATGATTGGAAATTTGCCATTGGAAATTGCTTTGGCGGTGTCTAATGCACGTTGAAGAGGAGAGGTGTAAATCACATCAAAACTATTTGTTAATGATTCGGAAACTTCAACGGCTTGTAAACGGCCATTGGATGACAAAGGAATGTCTGTGCATCCTTGGATAAAGCCACTCAAGTTCCATTCTGTTTCTCCGTGGCGAACAAGTATGAGTTCCGTTAATGAATTCATCATTCAGTTTGTATGAAGTTCTGTTTTGTTTTGGAAATAAATATTATATTATTTTTTTAATAAATATATTAGTAAATATGGTTGAACAAAAGTTATAATGTAATTAACAATTAATAATTTGATAATAAACATTATATAATAATAAATTGTATTATTTTGATTGTACTTTTTTTTAGTAATTATTATAAACTATTAATTTCATATTAATAACAAATAAATTATTTTTTTATAATTATAAATATAATAACATAATAAATTAAAAATATAATACTTTATGAAAAAATATTTATAGTTTCTCTAGAAATATACTTTTTTAATTTATTTAATAAAATATTAAAACCAATAAAACAATAAAAAAATATAATAAACAAGCACTTTAAAACCCGATAAATAATTATCGGGTCAACAACAATAATTTTCGACCAAATATTAATTTATTATTTAATTAGTTATATTTATGGGATGCTCCTCCGTCGCATCCCTCCATTTTTTTTTCATAAAGTCAGTCTGGTAACGGGACTTACATAGACCACCACCACCTTAAACAAAAAAATATTTGCCGCGATTGTTTTTTGAAGGGAGTCCACTTTTCAGCCATTGTTTGTGCGTCCCCTGTCACCCACTTTCCTTGTCCGTACTGTGTGGACGCGGATGTGGTTCCCCCCCGCTTGCGGGGGGGTCAGGGGGGGATCCGCGCCAAGGGAGGACTTGGAAAGTGGGTGAAACGATGCACAAACAGACTGTATGAGTGCGTCTTCAGAGCCTTCTTTTCAATGCTCCGTCTCACTTGGTTTCCACTGACTCGAGGTGATTTTTGGCATTTCGTCTAAATATAGAATACGATTACTATTTTTAATAATATTTTAATTATAATTATAGTAAATAGGAAACTGGGAAAATATTATGTCTGTTCCCGAAATCAAGAAATGTGAAAAATTCACCTCAAGTTAGTGAAAACCAAGTGAGACGGAGCATTGAAAAGAAGGCTCTGAAGACGCACTCATACAGTCTGTTTGTGCATCGTTTCACCCACTTTCCAAGTCCTCCCTTGGCGCGGATCCCCCCCTGACCCCCCCGCAAGCGGGGGGGAACCACATCCGCGTCCACACAGTACGGACAGGGAAAGTGGGTGACATGGGGACGCGCAAACAGTGGCTGAAAAGTGGACTCACTTCAAAAAACAATCGCGGCAAATACTTTATTTTGATAAACGGATGGGAAAGGAAAGTGTCAAATATTTTTAAATAAATGGTCTTCTCTCTTTTTTCACTTTTACTTTTTATTATTTTAATATTTTATTATTAATTTATAATAATTATTACCACAGCTTTCAATAGTTTGTAATAACACGATATTTAGAAAATCTTTTAAATACGATTTAAATGTTATATTTTAATGTATAAAAACCGTGAAAAAAATGTAATCTTACAATATAAGAATCTCGAAATAATCAAACATAATTATTTTAAGCAGTCAGAAAAAATTAGAAAAAAAGACTGAATATTGAGAATCAAAAAATGTAAATATTGAAAAAAACTGTCCTAATATTCCCGAATTTAGCTCGATGTTTAAGCTGTTGTAAGCTCGATATTAGATTTTATGACCCCCTCATAAAATTTGAAAAGTTTTGATTAGACTGAAATTTTTTTGGTAATGTTAATTTGAGAAAAAACATCAATAACACTGAATTATATTTAATTTGCATAATTTACTACCAAGATTAGTTAAATTATATTAAATTATAATACTTACATTTCCAGTTTTTTATAATCATAACATGTTACATTCATTTCATGTTTGATTTATTTTAATATAATTATAAGTTAAAGTTATAAATAATTAATTTATCAATAACACTTTATATAATTAGTGTAATAAACCTTGTAATCTTAGAATGTTTTTTATTGTTTTTTACAATATTTCATATTAGTTTTTGAAGATTATTTATTATCATAAGAACTAAAGCAGTTTAAAAAATGAATTCAATTAAAACGCCGTTCAATATGTAAACTTCAATTTAAAGTCAATTTGTATGGTGTTAAACATAAATTAATTTGTTATTAATTTTTACTATTTTATATTCATTTCAAAAATAATATAATTAAATAATTAAAATAGTACTTTAGTATTTTTTGATTCTTCCTTGAGTTTTGTCTGTATGTATGTATGCTCAAACAGATACCTTTTTATTTTTGGATATTAAGTTATGTTTATGAATTATTCCTTAAAATTAGTAGTAAAATTAATTATATAAAAATTATAAATTTATAGTTTAGAGGTTTATTAGAATTGTTATAGTAAATTATGGTATATTATTATAGTAAATTATAGAATTTGTTAGCGGCTTGAAATAGAACAACTACCAATTATGAATTTATTAATTAAAAACAACTATAACCAGAAAAAAAATAAATTTTACATAAATAATATATAGAGGAAATAATATATAGAGGATAAACAGTGATATATTCCCATAATTTTAAAATAAATAAACACAACAAAACTCAAAGATATTATTAAATATTTAATGCGGTTATTTCAATCCTATACATTGTTTGTATGGAATTTTCCTTAACTTGCAAGAATTTGTTTTCAATAGAATCGTGTTGTTATTCAATACGATTTACTTAAAACGGATATTATAGTTTTTCGATTGTTTTTAATTTATATTATTAAATTAAGGGCATGACACTGGATTGGCGTTTTTAGTGAATTGGTGTATTAATAGAAAAAATAGACTGAAATATCGGGCACCAAAAAATTGAAAAAAATAAAATTTTAAAAAAATAAGAGATCGATTATGCCAAAAAGGCTCTTTATCCAAATAATACCCATTCTTTTTCATGGAGAAGATTGGTGATAAATTACCTAAACGTGTTTATTTGCCAAGACCGAAACATTTAAAAAATTCGTAAAAAATAGTATTGTTTTCACGTTTTTAAACACAAGTATGTTTTTTTATATCTTTCGAGATAATTTTTTGTTTTGTTTTTTTATTTTTTATAACGGTATCATATAAATGATCTTGTTAATGATACATTGTAATGATGAGTCATTTACACTCTGATCCACAATATGTATTCCGATATTCCAAGTATAGTTTTATGTTGGTAGTTGAATTAAAAGTATAGTAAAACAAAAAATGGAGAATTTGAAATAAATTTGGGTTATTTTTTTCAAAATTTTGGGAGATCATCCTAAAAAGTTGCGGTGGATGGATCGATTTAGGTGGATAAGTTACAACAGCCACAATTAATTCTATCACTTCAGGATTATTGGTTAATGGGATTTTTGACGTTTTCAACAAAAACTAAAAAAGATATCGGTATAATAAGTAAATAACACCGACTTTAATTATATATGTATATTATATATATAAATATATAATTATATATACAGATACCTGAAAAACCGACCGGCACAGAAAAAACGACCGGCAAACTATAAAAATGGTTTCTAAAAACTATTTAATAGTTTTTTTAATACAAAATTTGAAAAAACAGGACAAAAAACTAAAAACTATAATATACTATAAATTTATGGTTTGCCGGTCGTTTTTTCTGTGCCGGACTATTTTTCGGGTATCTGTATATATATACTTTAATTATATATATAGTTAAGTTTTACAAAAAGAAATTAACTTTGTTTTTAACAAAAAAATATGGATGATTAACCCATCCACAGAAATCGATCCATCCACCTCAACTTTTTAGGATGATCTCCCAAAATTTTGAAAAAAATAACCCAAATTTATTTCAAATTCTCCATTTTTTGTTTTACTATACTTTTAATTCAACTACCAACATAAAACTATACTTGGAATATCGGAATACATATTGTGGATCAGAGTGTAAATGACTCATCATTACAATGTATCATTAACAAGATCATTTATATGATACCGTTATAAAAAACAATTTAAAAAAAAACAGTTTTGTTTTGATATTTTTGGTGTGTTATTTAACGAGTTGTTTTTTTAATAACGAGCAAATATTAACTAACAAATTTTATTTGAATCAATGTATTTAATTAAGTAAAAAATTAACGATATTGTTGATAAAATAGCGTGTAAATTAAAAAAATGTTAAATTAAAATAATAATGTTAATAAAAGTGTTATTTTTAACAAATCAAATGATAAAAAATGTTGTTGTTATGCGGTAGATTACACCATTTGGTGATATTATTTTTTTTAATTTTTTATTATTTGCAAATAAATGCTTTTGTTTTAATGACAAAATTGACTTTATTTTACTAAAAAATATTTGTATTCAGAAAAAAAGAATTTATCCACTGGATGAGCGTCTATCCAGTGGATAGAAGTCCATAACTAGTACACCCTAAATAAAAAAACACCCAAAAAATATCTTAAAATAATTTATCAACCAACATATTCCCATAATATAAAATAAAATAAACACAACAAAACTCAAAGATATTATTAAATATTTAATGCGGTTATTTCAATCCTATACATTGTTTGTATGGAATTTTCCTTAACTTGCAAGAATTTGTTTTCAATACAGTCGTGTTGTTATTCAATACGATTTATCTAAAACGGATATTATAATTATAGTTTTTCTATTGTTTTTAATTTATATAATTATTACAATAATAATATAACTAGTTTATTTTTAACAATCAATTAGTATATGATACTAGTTTAATTATAATAACATATATTAAGTTTTCAAAGTAACAAAGAACTCATATTTAAACTATTTCACAAATAAAGACTTTTCTAAAACTCTGAACTTCAAATTGCAATGGTCAAATTTATTATTCACCATAACGTAGAGGGCACCACAATTTACTTTTCTCAGTTTTATCAAACGAACATCCAGTCCCGCAAGTTAGAAGCGTTAATGGAAATCATCACTGCTCACTTAAAAACCGACCAAGAACGAGAGGGTCCTTCTCCTTCTGACATTCTTCGGTTTTCAACGTACACGATAGAGAGTCAAGAGTATTCCGTCTCGTCTCTTAAACCACTTCAAGAGGAGTTTGAAGGTGTTCAAATATTGTATTGTGAAGTGGGTGGCATAGTAATAACACTTGGTCTTCATGAAAATGACAGTGTCTTTGTAGCTCAGAACTTTGTGACGAATTGGGTGTCTGCACTCAAGAAGTTGTACAAAACTAACCTCCTCAATAACATCTACGACAAAACTGACGAACTTCTTGCATACCTCGACAAACTACTTCCTCTTGGAAATCTGTTACTCATCAACCAATCGTACATCGAGTACTTAAAAACAGAAGCGACAAACTTAACACGGGCAATGTAATCATCAATTATGAATTTTTAAGTTTCTCCTTGTTTTCTTGTTGTTTCAATTGGAGCGTCTTTTTCCCAACATTACTCCACACGTAGAAGATCAACGGAACGTGGAAGGCATAGTAAAACACACTCAAGTCAATCGCCAACACGTCTTTAAACATCTTTGAATGAATATATTGTATTAGTAAGAAGTGAAACAAACGATGAAGAACTGTAACAAAATATAACACAGTGAAACATATCGGAAAGTCTTTGAATGTGAAGGTGGGTTAAAGAGAGAAAACACCGCTATGACGACGTAAGGAAGTAATAAGACCGCGTTTGTGTCGAAGAAAGAATAAGCCATTTGGTACAAGTTGTTGAGTATCAAACACGCGATATATCCAAAAATGTTCAATTTCACATTGAAAAAGAAGAACGCGAGAAGGAAAAGTCCAGACATGAAGACCACTCCCAATTGGACAAGATCAAGCAATGGAAGGGGCAACACAAAAAGTCGTGTTAAGGACTGACAGAAGAACATTGCAGACAAACAGAGGAGTGATGGGATAATTCGCCATCTCTTAAACGAGATAAACACAAGTGTAAAAGTGAATACTGCAACAAAGAAACAGACTAGAGCGGGCCACAAGTTTAATTGAAGTCTCATAAAGTCCATATAACTCTCCGGCGGATTTTTCTTCATTTCTTTGAGAAAATTGAAAATCCGCAGTAACTTTGTTTCTACGTGGTCTCCGCTTTGTGGTTCAAAGAATGCGAGTGAGATGATATCATTCAATTGTTCTGGAGTCTTTGTATTCATCACTTACTATGTGACTTTCTATTTGATAGTTTATTATAGTTATTTTATAGTTGTTTTTATAGTTAAATAATAGTTATTTTAGTAATTATTAAAAATTGTATTATAGTTCAATCATAGTTCTATTATAGTTCTATTATAATTAGTTTATAATTATTATAAATTGATTTTTATTATTATAAAATTGTTTTATAGTTATATTATAGTTATATTTTTGTTATATTATAGTTATATTATAATTATTATATAACTCTATTATGGTTATTTTATAGTTAATTGTTACATAGAATTAAAAACCAATAAAAATAGCAATATTATAAACAAGAAGTCCTTTTCTTGGCTACTGAAAAAAAGACTTTTACAAAGCAAAGCCATTTTCTGACGTCACTTTCTTCTTACCAGTTAAAGACTTTGGTCGTTGTACCCATAGACCTAACCCATCTCCCATGTGTCGCGGTGAGTTGTCGAAGTGATTTGTCGTTCGAGGGAGAGTTTGTTGGCCATGTCTCTTGTCGTCCTCTTTCTTCTCGACTTTTTCCGTTCTGATGACAGAGACGTGCAAAGACCCCGACTGACTCATTGCGCCTGTTTTAGTCGAATTGCTTCTCATCGAACGAGCGAAGAACCCTGATGATTCACTTGCTTCTTGACAAATAAGATTAGGATCAATTGACTCTGAACGGGCTGGTTCGATTTGTATGATTTCAAGAAGTGGTGTTTTTCTTAACGAGCAGAGTCTTGACTGGGTTTGAGTTTCCATCTTCAATAAAGTCGTTGAGTTTGCCTCTTTCTTAAAAACAGAGCCCGGCTTGTCACTTTCGAGTTTTTGGCCAAGAGAAAGGACTCTCACCTTTTGTTCTTCTTTTGGAGCACTTTGGCTGTTATTCAGTAACATTTCATTGTACGGGGGAACAATATTATAAGTCTGAAAATTGGTGATGTCGGTCACGTCACACACTTTCAATAGACAGACTGTCGCATGGTCCATTTTCCCATGAAACGGGGTCGGCGCTGAAGTCAATTTTTTGCCTGTTTCTCTGATATATTTCCTCGAAGGTTCCGTGAGGTCGGCGACGTGTTGTGAGAGTGTTATAACTATTTGGTTCAAGTCGTTCTTGTTCTCCGGAAGTTCGATTTTCGACGTGAAGAGTTTGTCTGCTTCTCTTTCTTTGCTTTTGTACTTGACTGCCCCAGTAAATTGGGGGTCGAAGTTATCATGAAATCCGTCCGTCATAATAATTAGCATATCGTTCGGTTCTACAGTGATGTTTTTTAATTCAGCCTTCTTCAAATTTGGATGAAACGAGATCGATGGGCCAATGGCTCCATATGAGTTCTTCATGTTCTCAAACGACTTGTGAAACCTTCCACTGAGGGGCAAAGTGTGATGTGTTCGTGGTGAATATAAAAAGGTCCGACAGTCTCCTATACTAATTAATAACTCGTGGTAATGTCCCGTTTGTGTTTTTGCTACAACAGATAGAGTGATTGTAGTCAGTCCTAAATCAAAGAGTAACACCCCTTTTCTAAATATCGAGATGTGCGCTTGCTCACAACAGTCAACTAACAATTGAGCAATGTCTTGTAAGGTGTTACATGTCGCAACGTTGCTCGTAAAGTGTTCTAAAGCATTTTCGTTCGCGTCCAGAGCAGCTAGATAAGCCGCGTGTGACCACCCACACCCGTCACACATGACACACTATGTATTAATCTCTATCTTAAACAAATAAAGTATCAAACGCAGGAACCATGCTTGAAGATTCTGACAGCAACTTTATCACAATTGGGGTCGCCTTGTTTTACACCATTTAAAAAGCCGTACGCATTAAACGAAGTCAAAGAAAACAAATTTTCTTTGCCAACAACTCGACAGATGTCCTTCGAAGCTCTAAAGTTGGTTGTATGTATAAAGTCGCCAAATGGAATAATTTTACTTTGTTTAATTCGCTTTACTTTTGACGAGAAAGCCGCTGTGAATGTTTTGTGGATAGCCGCGATATCCAAGAGAGTAGTGGTGCTCATGTCCGGTAGGCTTATTATAAATTGTTTACTAAATAAGTTCAAAAAATTAATTAAAACCAAAAGGGTGATTAGAGTGATAAAAATAAAGGTTTCTTGTGTTTTCTTCTTACAAAAATACTTTGCTTCATGGTTTCGCAATAGTTTTTTATTTTAAATGAATTCAAATGATCTATTTCAGACAAACCAAACACATTTTTTAGACTTCTTTTAATTTAAATTACACTCTGCTTTTGTTTGTCGTTTTTTTTAATATTAAATTGGGCATAACAACACTAGCATCACCTTTTTAACAACCAAACAAAATAGTTTCATTTCAATTAGTAGAATTAATAGGTATAATAACCCGTTGTATTACCGATGAAAAGCGGAAACAAATGAATGTATAACCCCTCCATGTAAAACAAAAAGTGACCAACTGAAATAACTCGCTTTTACTCGGCTGTTTCAGGATAATGCAGCCAATTTTAATTGTTGGGTGAGTTATATCGGACGTTTTTTTAAAGTTGTCTAAAATGTTATTAAAACACCAAAAGAAACGTTTTTGTTAATGATTCAAAGTCGAGTGAAGATAGACACTATCTTCCAAGCGAACTTTTCAAGTCTGCTGTTCGAGGTTTTCAATAAAACAGCAAAATTGATTTGTGAAAATTAAATAGGGTTTCATGAATTTGGTTTATCTTAATTTGGCAAAAAAATTAACAACATCATTTGATATACCTATTTTGCGTAAAACATTTCGATAAATGAAAGTCAATATGTTTTACTTTTTATTTTTTTTTTTAAAATCAAATTATATAAACTAGTTAATATAATTATAATATATTATTTTTATAAATAGTTAATTTTTTTATAATAAAAATTATCTTTAAAATGTTTGACCAAACTCTCAATTTTTACTTATTGATTTGTCCATTTTTTGACCAACTTTATAATTTTAAATTTTTTCCTCAATGTTTAAAAACAATTTAACTATAAAATATAGCCAAACAACTAAAAAATAGAAAAAATGAACAGAAAAAGAACTAGTAATTTGATAACCCATAAAACTATAATAGAAGTTTTAAAAACTATTTATTAAAAGTTTGCTATATAAATCAATACGACGATAAAACAAAGGTAGAGCTTTCTTTTTTCAGCACTTACAGCTTGTAATTATGAACAATATTCCCGTTTTATTGCCAAAAAACCATTTAATTTTAATTGATATTTTAATATAAAAATGACAAATGTCTCTTTAATAATTAGAAGGGGAAAAACAAGGATTTATTTATTTTTTATTCAACAATCGATTGTTTAACAGCAAAAGCATTTTGTTTTTTTATTGTTAAAAAATCCGAATTATTTAATTTCGACTACAATTGGTTGTTAATACAACAGGAATTATCTTAACTAATTTTTTTATAAACAAAAAATGTAATTCAAAAAGTAATAACAAATCATAAGAAAATAGTAAATTAGTTATATATGAAAGTAAAATTTAAATTCTGATTTACCCTAAATAATTTGGTAAAATCATTTTTCAAAAATTGATAATTGCAGAATTCATCATTTTAAAAAATTTTTCAAACATCAAATACAATTTCATTTAAAAAGACGTAGAACTTCAATCAAGAATATATAATGTTGTTTCAGTTTATTCTATTGTTCTCCCTAGCTCTTTCTGAAACATGCACACGTCATCCTGTAGTGATAGTACCAGGAATCATGGCTTCTATGTTAAATGCAGTAGTCCATATTCCAGACGACGTAGACTTTTGTGATCGTAAGTTAGCCTGTGATCGCAACAAAGATGAGTTCCGACTCTGGTTATCCTTAAAAGATGGGATCCCCTATATGAATGATTGTCAGATGGCTTATTTAACATGTCACTACAATGAGACAAGTGGATTAATGGAAAACGTTGAAGGTGTCAATATCTACCCTCCTGATTTTGGAAGTACTTATGCCGTCGATGAAATATGTCCTTCAATTCCTTTGAAAAGGTTTACCAGAGCCTTCCACGAGATCATTAAAGGTTTAGAAACGATCGGGTACGTCGACAAAGTCGATTTGTTCTCTGCACCGTATGACTGGCGTTATTACCATCACGACGATTACTTAGAAAACACTAAGAAACTCATTGAAGAGGCCTATAACAAGAACCAACAAAAAGTCGTCATTTTGTCACATTCAATGGGTGGAATGACTACTTATATTCTCCTCGACTACTTTGGAAAGGAGTTTTGCGACAAGTACATATTACGTTGGATAGCCATGAGCACCCCGTTTGTCAACCTATTAATACCATTAAAACTATACTTTTTAGTATAGAATAGTTGAATACACGTATTTTCTATTAATATAAATATATTAACTATTAACTAATAGATTCATTGGAACGGGAATTGCAAATGACGTGGCACTTGGGGGATATAATATGGGCTATCCTGTTTCTAAGGAACTCATCAAAAAGACGGCAAGGACGTTTGAGGCTCTTGTGATGATGGCGCCAATAGGAGGATATTGGAATTCATCGGATGTTCTAGTGGAAATGGGAGATGGGACCACATACACAGCAGATACTTTGTGGGAGTTGTATGAGCAAATTGATTTGATGAAACCATTTGCTAAGAAAGCACTACAAGAATCGTTTAAACCGTTTTTGGATAAGTGGGAGTCAAAGGTGCCATTTGATGTTGAAATGCATTGTGCAATTACAAGTGGATTGGAAACGTCTGGGAAGATCACATTTAAAGGAGACATCGACTCTGATTTTACTATTGATACTGTTGATGGAGATGAAGAGGTTGCAATTAACTCTTTAGAATACTGTAAGATGATGACGTCTAATTTTACTAATCTTGGGAAATACAATCACCAAGGAATGCTTCTTGAGAAAGTTACCGTCGACTACGTCAAGAACTTGGCTTGTTTCTAGATAAATAAAGCTATAACCACGCACTTCTTTTGGTTATAATTATTATAATTAATATAAAGTAAATCGAATAGTTTACAGATTGATACGTTTAAATTAGTGTCTTACTGTTTATTTATCTATTTATCTATTACAAAGACAACAAAAAGTAAATTATTGGGACTCAACCTCTTCAGGAAGTTGGCAATAGTTGCAATAGATCGGACCCATTCCCTTTGATATTCCTCTTCTCAGATTCATGCATCTTACATAATTCATTCTGACCTCCAATGAGTCGGCATCGGTCATCTCTTTACTGCTCCAAAATCGCTCTGCCAACGCCATGAATCTTGTCTGTGATCTATCAAACCAATTCTGGTCGTCACAACTCTCTCCCCAAGAGCACCCTTCCATCCCATACACTTTACTCAGTTCATCCTCAGTGAATTCCTTTGTTGGATCATTCGCATAGAAGTCTTTGAACGTCCACACCCACATATGGTACAAGTCATAACACGTTGATTCATTATACACTTTACAATCGGGGTCTCCTGATGATTGGTAAAACCCTGATGAATAAATAGTGTTATATCCTGCGTCTACTGCCTGTTTGAGTAATGGGTCATTTTGCCACACTTGTACAATTGTGGTGGTGTCCGCGTTGTTGTTCTTGAACACTTCTTCCCACACAATTGGTGTCTTTTTGTTCGCGATAACACAGTCTTGGGAGTACTTATTGAAGTATGACTCAAGACCAGTAAAGTCTTTAACTGAGTGATTTGTCATCCATTCATTAATGACACTTAACTCTTTACACTTTTTCCAGCAATTTTGGTTCACTTCATCACCGCCCACATGAATATAGTCTGAAGTAAATACATCAGATAGTTCGGCTATTAAAGACTCGATGAGGGGGAACGTGTTTTCATCGGCAGGGTTCATCGTGATAAGGTTCTCTCCATAGTGCATCGTGGGCTTCGAAGCGTAATCCCAACAATCTACACCAACACCAGGGTATGCCTTGCCCCATGATGCAGCGTGTGCTGGCATATCTAATTCAGGGTATACTATGATACCCCTCAACTCGGCGTAATCAATCAGTTCTTTAAGGAAGCTTTGTGTCAATATGTACTTCTTCGAGTAGCTCGCCTTTTTAGTAAACTCAGGATTCTTCTTTGATTCAAACAAGAAAGTTTGTGCGTCGGAGATGTGCAAGTGTAATATATTGATTTTAAACGCGGCCAGAGAGTCAACAATTTTGTAAAAGGTTTTGGGGAGGATTTGATTTCTTGAGGGGTCGACGAGTAACCCTCTCCACTTGAATCGAGGGAAGTCTGATATAGTGATGGGAAGTTGTGAAATATACGTCTTTTTGTCTGACATTCTCACTAATTGAATAAATGTCTCAAAGGCATGTCGAAGACCAAACACCGTCTTTACACTGATAGAAATCGTTTCCTTAGTCACAGAAAGGGTGTAACTCTCGTCAACTCCAATTTTTAAAACAGGTCGAATTTCTTCGGCAGTTTCCGAAGTAAATTGCAAGTCAATTGTTGTAATATCAGTTGGATCAATTGGTGTGATGTGTGGGATATCAATTGCAGCGTGTAAAGAAAGTCTGAAGTCCTCCAAATTTTGAATTCGGCTAAGTGGGAACGTCACACTATGATTGAATATGTTGTCGACAAATGTCTTGCACCTTTCGTTGGTTTTACAGACATCGGGTATATTCAGTGTTATCTCTGGAGTGATATGAATAGAGTCAGCCGACCCAATATTGGCTTCAACTTTCTGTGGGTATGGTACTAACAGCAATTGCCCTATAACATCATTACCATTCCCAGCAAAGACGGTGAATACCAGTAATGCAAATACCAGCATTGTTTTTTGAATATATTCCAGTTCTGCCACCAAAGATCAATTCGCTTTTTGAATCCTTCGTAATTAAAATAATGGTGGAAATTCCAAATTGAAAAGAACTTAGAAATTTGTTAAGAATACGATTTTAAAGTGCTTTTTTAAAATATAAAAAATTTTGGCAATCACAAAAATTCCAACACTATGAAGAGGTCAATAACTCACCTACAAACATGAAATTCACAATTAGTTAAGAAAACCGTTTCAAACTACCACTTGAAGTGTGTCGAAACAACAAACATATGAAATGTAAATGGTTTTGGTAACTTTAAACCAGAAGTGTGTCACATGAAAAGTGCGTTTCATTTGTTTGTAACACTATTTGTCTTTGCACTCTCTGTATGTCCACCTGAAAATATCATCACAACTACTATCGAAACAACAGACGTATGCAAGTTATCTTCTATCAATATTCAGAACAAAGCAACTTTAATTACAAAAGAGTCTTCTTCACTTACATTAGACTCGACACTCACTGTAAACTCTAACTCAAAACTTTATATGAAAAATTCGTCGAAAATCACAACAAGTAGTCAACTGAGTTTAGTTGCGTCAAGTGAACTTTCACTGGAGGGAAATTCCGTTTTAAATGTTGGCACTTTCTATGTCGGTGAAACTATGAATAAAGTTACTCTTAAAGATAACACTCGATTTACACACACCTCACCTTCCCAAATTTCTGATGTAACTGCCATACTCTACGGTAATTCTATATTCACTTTAGGTAATGTTGCTTTTATTGATTCTGCAAATTTTGTTATGAATGACCACTCCACCCTTACAGCAACTTCACTTGTTGTGTACTCCAACGTGAATTTGGTATCCAACACTGACAACCCAATATTAGTCTCTGCTAATCTTAACGTAGGAACGTCTGCAAGTACTTTAACACTCAAAAGTTCTACTCGAGGAATTCAATACATAATTGGAGGTATAAGTTGCATGGGAAGTTTATCTACAGATTCTTTGAGTACAATTTATTCGTCTGTTGTAAAGATAGAAAACAGTTGTGTGTTGGGTGTATCTAAAACAAGAAACTATCGCGACCTTCCTATTTTTCTAGTTGAAAACAAAATTGAATTTGGCAGTACCGTCTTATTTACACACACAAATGGAGACGTCTTTGATATTGCAGCTTCCAAAGAACCAATTGCAGGTTCTATTCCTATGGGATTCAAATTTCTTTTGAATAAAAGGCTATTAAGATATGGGAGTTCTACAACAGTCTTTTGTCACTTAAAACAATCAAATGGAGGGAGTACATACATATTTGTGGAACCATATTGTCCATGTGATGGGTGTTTCATTACTCCATTCAAAAATGGAGAGGGTGTTGTTATCAATAAAAACACATCATTGAAAACAGCGATTGTGTATGACCAAAATGAAGTGAATGTACTTTTTGTCAACGGAGATGCCATTTCTTTTGCACTTGTTGATAACTATGCAGTTAATTTAAATGTAACAGAAGTGTCACAGATCACAACTAAAGGTGTTTCAGCATCTAAAAGAATATTATTAACATCAAAAGAAGGATTCACACATGATGGAATACTTTGTGATGTTGGGTATATCACTGGTGATAAGTTAAAATGTTTGTTTCCTAAAGAGTGTCCGACTGGTGGAGTTAATCCACTCACTAAGAAGTGTGAAACATGCAAGAAAGCGTCTTGTGACAAATGTGATGGTGTTGATGGAAATTGCTTTCGGTGTATTGGTGGTACAATTCTTATTGATGGAAAGTGTGTTCGAGATACCAACTGTCTTTATGCTGAACATCGATTTTGTGTAAAGTGTAAAGAGGGATACAAAAGAGTTGGAGCGTTGTGTGTGAGATTGACTGACCAAAGGTGTCAAATTGGAGTAGAAAGCAAGTGTGTGTTATGTGACACGACTCGTAATTATCTGAATGTTAATGGTGTGTGTGTAGATCCACCAGAGAATTATATCGGTATCAATCAAGGTACTATTGTGTCTTGTATTAAAGGATATTATGTATTTGATTCAAAGTGTTTGGGGTGTTCATCTTCGCTAGCAAATAGTGAACTTTGTGAGGACAATAAAATTACAAAGTGTTTAGTCAATTACGAAGTATCAAACAATGGAAGCTCGTGTTTACCAACCACTTGTTCTGTCACAACAAACACTTTGAAAGAGTCAAATGGACAATGTGTTTCCCCTATTACTAAGTGTCTTCAAATCGTCAATTCAAAATGTGTTGAATGTGAATTTGGAGTCAACTTGGTTTATGACACAAATCAATGTGGGACATCTCTTCCCATTGGGTGTGAAGAAGTTCATAGTGTGGGTTGTCGTCGCTGCACTTCTGGATATTTTTTAGAGTCGGCCTCACAAACGTGTTCAAAGTGTTCGTCGGAATGTAAAGACTGTTTTGGTTCATCTACAAAATGCACTTCATGCGAAGAGGGTGAATACCTTACGAATTCAACTTGTCAGTCAAACGAACTTTTACGTGAAAAGTGTTCAACAGTGAGTGTAAGTGGTTCTTTGTGTTATGTGTGTAAACCCGGCTACTTCAGAGTTGGTCTTGATTGTCAGTCCTGTAAGCCAGAATGCAAAACGTGTTTAACATCTAACAAGTGTTTGGAATGTAATTCAGTGTACTTTAAAAGTAGTGATGGTGAGTGTCTTCTCCGTTCTTCGATCATCGGGTGTTCGACCGAAATAACCTCAATAGGGTGTTCCAAATGTTCTGAAGGGTATTACCAATACAAAGAAAATATGTGTGCTTCCTGTGATTCAAAGTGTTCGACCTGCACTTCTGGAGACAAGTGTAACACATGTCAAAAAGATTATGTATTAGTTAAATCAATGTGTTTGCCATTTAATATGATAGCAGAGTGTAAAGCCGCACGAAATTCCGAGTGCACTCGTTGTTCTTTTTGGTATGTCCCAAGTAGTGATGGGTCATATTGCGAACAACAGATAGTGTGGTGGGTTGTCTTGATATCCATATTATTCTGTTTTCTATCCATTGTATTTATATTGATATCGTTGTACTACTTCATCAAGAAAATAGTGAAGAAGAACAAGATGATTGAGATGGAGAACAAGATGACTATATTTGATATGAATCGTTCAAATGTATCATTCACACGACTTGGAACACTTTCAGTCAACTTACCATTTGTCGACTTCAATTCGGATTCTACAGAACTTCCTGTCAACACAGAAAGCCGCCAACTACTTTGCGTTGGCAACTCAACTTCAGACACTTTAAAGGTTCAAATCACTACAGCAACATGCGAGGAGAAATACACTCTACGTGTGTTGCCACCAGTTGCTGTTCTCCGTAAAGGTTTAGCATGCGAATTTGAGATATACATAACACCACATTACACCTGTACCATATCATCAAAGATTGCAATTGTATCAAAGAATTATGCCACCGGACTTGAAACATGTGAAGCTGTTGAAGTGAAAGGTACAACGTTGATATCCACTCGCATAGACCCAGCCGAGCTTAGTGAAATAGAGGTACTTGGGAAAGGGTCTTTTGGCATTGTGTGGAAAGGGATATACAGACACAACATTGTTGCAATCAAAAAGATGAAAGAGATGAGTGACAGTGGAATGCAAGAACTTGAAAAGGAAGTTGCGATGTTAGATAAGTTCAGGTGTGAGTACATTGTCGCATTTTATGGGGCGGTTTTCATCCCAAGTAAAGTGTGTATGGTCACTGAATTTGCACCATTTGGGAGTCTTCAGGACTTAATGAGAAAACGAAGTAAAAAAGATGTTCAGTTATCACTTCGACTTAAAATGATGTGTGATGCTTGTAAAGGCATTTTGTATTTACATGAAAATGGCATTTTACACAGAGATATCAAGCCAGACAATACCTTAATTTGCTCAATGAGTTTGAATGAGAAAGTTAATGCGAAATTGACTGACTTCGGGTCATCAAGAAATGTAAATTTGATGATGACCAATATGACATTCACTAAAGGCATCGGAACCCCTACATACATGGCACCTGAAGTGTTAAAGAATGAAAAATACACTAAAAGTGCAGACGTGTATTCATTTGCGATAACCATGTTTGAAGTGTTTGGGTGGCAAGATGCTTACAACCAAGACATATTCAAATTCCCATGGAAAATCGCTGAATTTGTGACTTCAGGGCAACGACCAGAAAGACTTGATGACATCCCTCTCTCCGTCTTTGTGTTGATTGAATGTGCTTGGGGACGTGTTCCCAAAGAACGTATATCAATACAGAAGTTAGTAGTCGAATTAGACAAAATAGCACTCTAATTCCTCTTCTTCTGTTCTATTTGTTATTAATTTAAAAAATATTAGTTACTAGTTATTTTTTGGTAGCAATTTAAATAGTAAATTAATAATATTAATTTCTATTATTAATTAATTTTATAATCAAAATAACAATTCTATAATTTTTAATAATAATAATAATAATAATAATAATAATAATAATAATAATAATAATAATAATAATAATAATAATAATAATAATAATAATAATAATAATAATAATAATAATAATAATAATAATAATAATAATAATAATAATAATAATAATAATAATAATAATAATATTATTATTATTATTATTATTATTATTATTATTATTATTATTATTATTATTATTATTATTATTATTATTATTATTATTATTATTATTATTATTATTATTAGAATTTATGTTATTCACAAAGTGTACTTTTTGATGTTCAAAAAAGTTTATAAACTTTTCTTTGATGCAATCTGACTTCTCAATTGAGATGGAGGCCTTGTTCGACCCTCATTATACATGCGAACCATATGAAGCAGTCGGTGCACTAACAGATTCCCTTCAACCAGACTGCTTCAGTGGGATGAAAGTAGAGTATACAACACAACACTCCGAAAATTTGGTAACGGGGCACTACCTCACCATCGACCCCCCAGCTCCAAAACAAAAGGTCAATCGAATCCACTCAATTTTGTATGCCGGGACTTGGGGAAATTTAATCGCTCGTATCGATAACGAACTCCATGGCTCCGTTCTCTCCACTGTTAACACTCCTAACAAGCAAATCAATGCAAGTTTGAGAGCAGCGGTTTGTTCCCTTTATCGAGACTCTATCTATTAAATAGTTACGTATTACTATAAATTTTTCTATTCGTTTTAGTATACTATTGATGGTTAATTATACTATAATTATACTATATTCCACATAACATAGTTAAAGTGACATAAAGCGCAACGAGGATGGTAATCAAGCGGGACTCGATATTAAAGCAACGGGATTTGGTCGGTGTGTTGGGTTTCGGTATGAGAAGGGAGGCATGTATGTAACAAACTTAATGCAGAAGATCAACGAAAAATTTTCAATAGGAGCCGAGTGTTGTTTAGTACCACACAAAAGGTTGCGTACACAGTCGTATGGAGCGCTTTGTATGATCAACCCCCAACTCATCTCTTCATTCATATACTCCGAACTTAACACCACTTTTCTCTCTTCAGTCAAATACTCCCCGTCACAGAGTGTCACCTTTGGTGGTCAATTTGTCTTTCAACAGAAGCCGAATAAGTCGATGTTTGGCGCATTGTTCTTTGAGAAAGTCACTCAAATGGCGCTCCTGAAAACATCGATGAACACGACAGGAACATTTTCTTCATCTTTTCAAACCTCCATTAAAGAGATTGCTGGGAATTTGTTACTCTGCGTCCAAGCGAATCCGTTCATTGGAAGCTACACATATGGACTCTCATTGCAACTCTTCAGATAACTCGTTGATTGTTACTATCGTTATAATAGTACTTTACTAGAAATAAACTATAACTTCACACACCACAAAATCAAATTAGAAGGCAGAATGCGATGGAGATGAGTGCGACCAAGACTTCACCAGCGCCTTCGTAGTAGACTGAATGTGCGTCTTTTGGTTCACACTTGTTCAGGTCGTGTGACTCGAGAGCATTTTCAGTTAACTTGTCTGTACAGAGATAACTGGTGTACTGGAACTTCTTCAATTTGTTACTGTCTTTGTCCTCCCCAAATTTGTACATGTAATACGGCGAATTGCCAAAGCAGACGTCAGTCACTAATTTCACAGGAACATCGACTTTATCTTTGTTCGCACATGTTGTCGAAGTGGTGTCTTCATATAATATGACAGAATAAGACGCCTCATCAAAACTGTCACAATTCATTAAATAAGATGGAGTGGCAGTCCCCGTGCAGTCCGATGATGTGTATGTGTTGTGGACGTACTCCCCTGATACTTTGTTCGTTTTCTCAGAACCTGTAGAAAGCTGTTTGCAGACATCTAACTCATGCGTGGTGAACAACGCGCGCTCTCCGTTGATGTTTCTGTCACCACAAGATATCGTGGTCGATGAAACTACAACAAATAGAAGTGGGATAAAAAGCATGAGACAAGGTATGTGAAAAGTTCTATCAGTTGGTGGAAGATGGAAGAAGTCGAAACAAACTAAAAATTGGGGTTTCCTATATGAAACGACCAATTTATTCCTATTTAACTATTTTTACTATTATAATATTATTTTTAACTATATTATTGTTTCTTAATTCAGAAATATGTAAATTTTACTATTATTTTTTAATATTACCATTTTGAGTACAATTTTTAAAAAATAGTAATTATTTATATTAATAATAATAATATGTTATAATTATCTTTTTATTAGAAATATAATAACAACTTTGTTTTCATGCCAATAAAAATGATATCAATAATAGTTTATTGAATAATTAATAAATTATTTCATTATTATAATATATTTATATAATTAAAAATAAATTATTATTATAAATAGTAAAATTTTTTCTATTTAGTATAGTTTTTATATTATAATGTAAATTTCAAGTGTTTTCACAACAAAGAAATTAAAAATAGAAAGTGATTATTTCTTGTAATTAAAACAAAAACGGTACCATTTCTTTTGATTTATTATATTATAAATAATAATACAAAATTTTTTTATTTCAATTATTCACTAAATCTGCACAAACACACAATTAAATAAAAACTATTTAAAACCTATTGTAATAATTAACAATTATCATTTAAAAACGTCGAATGTATAACTTTGTTTTTAAAACTACATTCTAGTGAATACCACCATTTCTCACATTAAGTGTAACTTTCAAACTGTAATTAATGGATCGTGTTGAAGATAAGAGTTCGATTTTGAAGAAAGTAATGTTAGACGAAGCTTTAAAGAAAATGAACCGAGGTTCTCTGTCCATTCAAAAAATTGAGTGCAGTATCAAGTTGAGTGACTTAGACCGAGTTCTCGAGCAAGGCAAAATCCTACAAGTGTCTTCCAATGTAGAAAAGACTCAATCATTTCAAGCCAAATGGAAGAGTTCAAATGATATCAACAAATTGTTTTGTGTGCAGCCAATACCACGTCTTCCAAGGAAATTCTGTTCGACCATTCAAATTCAAATGTTCTCAATATTCTTCGATAAGGACTTGAAGGTACCAAAACTCTCATTTTACACGTCCCCCAAGACTACAGCAGCCAATTTTATTCAAACTATCATTCAAAAGGTCAATTCGCTTCACGATGAGTCAAATGAAAAAGACCCAAATAAGGAAAGACTGGAGAACTCGACTAAACAAAAGAGAACTTTACTTGATGGAGGCTCAGATGTGTACTTCTTGAGAATTTGCGATGAAGAGGGTGAACCAGATGAGGACTTCCCTTCCTTAGAACCGACGTCGATTATAGGAGAAATGGGGTCTTATAACTACTTCTTGAAAGAAAACAAAGACTATGTGGAAAGCTTGAAACACCACAGAAGAGCTGTTAATATGCCTAATACACAAAGAATTGCTATTCTAAATAATGTGAAGATCGTGAAGGTATTCTTTAATGTCAAAGGGTTTGAAAACACGTCTGTGAAGTATGAGGTCCGTATGGGACAGAAAGTCATCGACTTTGTCAATACCGTCATCGAGGAAAGAAATAAGAAAGTCGGCCAAAACGGAGATTTGATGCCGAAAGACACAAAAGACTTTCTTTTCGAAATGGCTGACCAAGACGGAAAACCAGACGATGACTTCCCAATGAAGTGTCAAGACGACATTTCTATGAGAGGAGACTTCTTTGTTTTTATTGGTAAAGGTTTGTATTATTTAATTTATAATATTAAATATATTAATTAATTAATTAATTAGTAATTATTACTATATGAATAAATGAAGAAAAATTAAGACATCACCATCTAATCTGTAGGAAAATATGCAGCAGAAAAAAACAACTAAAACAGTAATCAATCATTTGTTATTAGAATTATAGTTTATTCAATGGTTTTTTTCTATACATATATAATTGATTAAATTAAACTCCAAAATTATAGTAAATATAAAGTAAGTATTAAAAATATTATTTGATTGTTAATTATTTATTATATAATAAAAGTTACTTTTTTTATTATAGAATTATAACTGTTTCAATTGGTATTTTTTATTACAAATTATAATAAACAATCATCATGAAAATTAGTAGTTTTTAAATAAATAAAATTATAAAGTTAAAAGATAAGAAATCCCATAATAAATAATTAGCGAAAAATGCAATTGGTATAATATAACTAGAATATTAGTTTATATGAATTTAATAGTATTAAACCTATGATGACTTAACCATCTTTCGTCTGAATACAGTTGAAGACACTTTTCAAGCCTGAGGTTTTTAACATTTTTTATTTAATTAGAAATGGTTTATAATAACTTAAAAATAATTAACATAAGTGGAATTATATTTAATGTTTCTTTTACTATTAAAACTACTAATAACTAATACTAAAAGAAACCTATAAATTACCATAAAAATTTTAATACACCACTTTTTAAATAGTTTTGTTCTGTAGTATTTCTACTATTTCGTCGATACTATACCTTTTTTCAGGGATTTGTTCCCAACACTTTGAAATGAAGTTATATTTCCAGTCTTCCATAGTATCCGTCTTTTTCATTCGTTCTCCTGAAGTCACAAATTCAGCTATTTTCCATGGGAATTTGAAGGTTTCGAGTGGGTAAGTATCTTTCCATGTTTCTGTTTCGAACACCGTCACTCCAAAAGAGTAGACATCCGCAGACTTCTTGTATTTTTGCTTCTTTAAAATCTCGGGAGCCATGTATGTAGGTGTTCCAATTCCCTTAGTGAATGTCATATTAGTCATCAACATGTTAATGTTCCTCGATGATCCAAAATCAGTCAACTTCGCATTGATGACACTAGTCTTCTCAATAGAAAATATCAAGATATTGTCTGGCTTAATATCTCTATGTAAAATATCGTTAGCGTGCAAATATTGAATTCCCTTTGCGACGTTATATTCAAAACTATTTAAAATAGCTTTTGATGGTTGCGCCCTCTTTCTCATACAATCGTTCAAACTCCCATACTGTGCAAATTCGGTGACTATACAAATCTTATTTGGAATAAGACACGCTCCATAAAAGATCACAAGAAAGTCACTTCTAAATTTGTCCAACATCTCAACTTCCTTTTCAAAGTCAGTGATTTGTGTTGGTGTAGCTCCAACGTCCTTCATCTTCTTAATTGCAACAACATTTCCTCTGAACATCCCTTTGTACACTATACCAAACGTCCCTTTCCCTATTTCTTTGTCAAAGACTAACTCATCATCATCAAGGGAAGACGACAAGACTGTCTTCGTCTGGATTTTGATAGGAAAGGTGTACTCTTCTCCTTTAGATACATCAAGTGCAACTAACATAATAGTCTCATTGAAGGTCATAGTACACAACGGCTTCAAAAACAACTCAAATTCGATTGCTTTGTTCTTATTCACAGTTATCAGTTGCGGGTTAGTTCGTAATGAATACTTCTCTCGATGCTCTTTAAGAGATAACTGGATCTTTAACGACTTCGACTTTTTGGATCCAACACATAATAAGTCCCGAGACTCTTGACCAACTGGAATCGACCCAATGGAGGGATCGATATCAAACAAGAAGTCTAGTGTTACTTTATTAGAGACTAATCCACACTTCTTATTCACATCGATAAATTCGATGTTACTCCTCCCAATGTCAAACTCTGTTACTGTCTTCTCTGCTAGTTGTTTTTGTTTCAGATGTTTGTATAACACGTATATTAAGAACGAAATGATGATCAAAAGTATTATAACAACAACGATCACTATCACTGGAATCCCTACAAATACGAACATGTTTGGAGTGTATAAACACTCAGTACCATCAGTAGATGGAGAATAATTTTTAGTACAACTACTGCACTTCTCATTGGAAATTGTCACACAATGGGAGACTTGGGAGAGAGAAACACAACCAAATTTCTTTAATATGTACCCACTCATACAACTCACACAGAGGGAAGTCGAGTTACATAAAGTACACTCAATAGGGCAACTCTGACAATAATGATCGTCGAGATAATACCCATTCTCACACGTCTCACAGCCATATTCACTCGCGTTGGTACAATGTAGGAGTGTCGATGTTAATTGGCAAGACGATTTGAGAGTGTCCCAATAAAACCCATTTGCTTTGTTACATGTCAAACAGTCTTCTCCACTCTTACTACATGTTAAACATGCAGCAGAACACTCTAAACAACTCCACTCGGACCAATAATACCCATCTTTACAGAACGCACACCCCATCGAATTGGGTATAAATAAGTCACACCGCTCAAATACGTTACCAAGTGATACACACGAGTTATCTATTGTACTCAAAACATACCCGTAATGACATGTTAAACACATCTGTGAGTGTGAAACACACGTCTTACAATTGGAACTGCATTGGGAACAAAAACCAGAGTCTTCGTAATAGCCATCAGTACAGCGAAGACATCCATGTGTACTCGACTTATCACAGGTGATGTCAGAAGTCGACGAACACGTCTGCGTTTCAGTGTTATTTGCATTGTCTTTGGAAAGGTATTTTCCTGTCACACACTTTTGGCATTGGAAGTCAATTGAATATTCGCAGTCTTCTATTGAGTGAACTACACACGTCCCGGATAACGAGAGCATAAAGCCTGAATTACAGAGAAGGCACTTTGTAGTTGTCTCGTCTATAATTGCACAGTTGCTTGTGAGTAATTTCACACATGTGACATTCGATAAGACATAGCCTTTAATACACTTTAAGCACACCTCTGGACTTTCAAGAGTATGAGTTAAACACGTTGAACAGCCTTCCAGAGAACAATGAACACACTTGTTTGAAGAGATGTAGTACTCACTCTTACATTTGTAACACGTCGAGTTATAGTGGACCTCGCAGGAAAGATCATTCTCACACGTCAATTGCTCAAGAGAATAAGAATTGTCTTTTGTACAAGACGAACACTGTGATGATTCTTTAGTGCAATATGAACAACTTTCATCACATGGAGAACAATTGGGAGGTGTTACTGTGTTTGTCAAGAAATAATTATAGGAACACACTAAACACCTTCCTTTATTTTCATCATCACAATATGGGAGAGAAGTGTCATCTTCAGTTTTCATAATATGTTCCCTTGTGTTATTTGTATGTGACGATTTTGTGTGAGAAGTATAATAGAAATTACAAGACGTATTTGTTTGAGTCACTTTATAATATGAACATTCATTTGTTCTTTCTAATGCACTACATTCACCAGTTTCTGTGATCGAATTGTCACACTCTTCACAACCAAAGTTATCCAAGTAGGTCATACAATCAAATATATTGTAATACATTGAACACAATCCATTCCTTAATATATATCCTATCTTGCACTTGATACACACAGAAGGGGATGTGCACAACTCACAATTCAGTGAACATGAAACACACTCGTTGTTATAGACTTGTGAAGGGCAATATACACAAGACGTGTGTGTGGAATTTTTGAATGAATAATTCTGTATACACTGAGTACACTTGTTTGCATCACAAGTATAGCAATTCGCATATTTAGAAGAACAACTTTGACATTCATATTCACTTCGTTTGTACTCAGTAAATGAACAACTGGTACACTTCGTACCATCGAAGACGGTGTTATTTAAACACAATGTACACTTCAAAGAGGTGCACGTTGAACAATCAATACCATAAACTGAGCAACTAATACATCGATTACTATTTAAATAATACTTCGATGAACATGCATAGCATTTTGTATTATAATTTGAACATGAAGTGCAACCGACGTTAGTCGAACACAACTTGCACACTCCATTTTCTAAGTAATAGTCGGATTTGCAATACTCACAAAATGTTCCTGAAGAACACTCGGAACACCCCGTTTGTGTAGTACATGAACTACACGTTCCCGATGAAGTCAAGTAATACCCCACTTTACACTTATAACACTTTTTGGTATTATCACATTCAACGCAATTAGAAATTGTAGTGCAAGACATACATATATTTGATGAGAGATAATATCCAAATTGACACGTCACACAAGCAGTCGAAGTCTCATTCAATTCATTTGTAGTAGTTTCACACATTTCACAGTGATTGATTTGACAGTTGTTACATGTGTTGGTGACACTGGGACTCATTGTATTATCAGTACATGCAGTACATGTCGATGAGGATGTGGAACATGTTGAACACCCTAAATACGTTGAACAGCTATAACAATTGCCATCAATCAAAACATTGCCATTTCCACATGACGTACATTGTGTTGAACTACACACTTTACACGACGTTCCATATAAAAAGCCACATGATACACATTTGCCAGATTTATATGCATATCCAGAAATACACGACAAACACTTTCCTGTTGTTGCGCAGGTACTACACCCAACGTCAGTGTTACTACAATAGTCACACTCTCCATTCAAATTGTAATACCCACTTTTACATGTAAGACAATATCCACTTGAATCACATGTGGTGCACCCAGTCAATGTTGTACATGAATAACAAGAACCAGAACTGAGGTAATAATTACTTTCACATTCAACACATTGGTATGATGAAGAACACCGACGACATTTTGAAATCGAAGTGCAATGATAACACACGTTATTGAATAAATAATATTCATCTGAAGTGCACGAAACACAGGAATTACTTTTTGTTGAACAAGTCGCACAATTTTGATAAGTCTCAGTACACAACACACACTTCCCTGAAGATAAAATGTAACCAGAAGTACATTCAGTGCAGTCACTTTGTATAGAACAAGCCGCACAATGTTCATGTATTTCAGAACACGACAAGCAATAGTCCGATTCATTCACTCTGTACTTATAGTAAGCAGGTAAACACTCTAAACACTCTCTTGTAGTTGTAGAACAGATGTGGCACCCATGTATCATCTCACACTTCTTACACAAGTTATTCTCTTTGAAATATCCAGAAGCACATGAAGTGCATGTACTCAAGTCACTACACGTTTGACAATTTGCTGTTACTAAACTACACTGAAGACAATTTCCTGAGTAAAGATAATACTCGTTACTCACACAAGAAGTACATTCACTTGTTGTTCGACTACACTCAGAACAATGTGGTAAATTGGTACACAAATCACATGTCAAATTGGATGTCAAATAATACTTCTCAACACACCATGTACACTTTGATCCTTTGCACCGAACACAATATGGAGTAAACGTGGAACACGTCTGACACTTCCCATCACCGTCGTCATCGTGATATAAGTCGTTACAACTCACACACAAATTATTTGTGTTATCACACAACTCACATCCTTCTAAATTACAATACTCACATGTTGTCGGTGAACTTAATGTGTAATTTGTGTGACATCTATGACACACCCCACTCTCTTCACAACTCTCACAATTACTCGAAGAACACGTAGAACAGATTTTCATCGAAGAAAGATAAAATCCAACACCACAAGACGTACAAAAGTTGTGCGAACTTGAGAGGCAGCCCGCATATTCTTTGTATGAAACACAATTCGAATTTTCTAAGACAAACCCATCTTTACATAAAGTGCACTGTTTGTCGATATTTGTGAGACAATTTGGTATCACTTCACATTGATAATTTGATACGTAATACCCACTTTGACATGTATAACACTTCCTTATTGAACCTTCCCCAGGTACTAAATTGTTCTCACAAGTTAAACACCCTTTGAGTGTATTACACGCTTCACACTTTTGCGCATTTGGAAAGAACCCGACACGACAAGAACTGCAGATGTACTCATTTGTGATTTTGTAATACACACTTTCTCGGCACTTTGGAATGTAGTCTGCGTATTTCACACATATCGAATTGACAAGCAAATACCCAACATCACACGTCGAACACTTTAAAGCGGTTTGTGAGAGTATCGTGGTCATACAATTTGCATGTTCATTTGAGATACACACTTGTTCAGTATAGACCACATTTTGTGAGTTACACGGAGATGTTGTAACACATCTGTCATACACTTGAATAGTCCCACTTTCACATTTGGTGCAATTGGAATCACTATAAGAAGTGCACTGATTTTCAGAGGGTAATACACATAACCCACCTTTGAAGATGTATCCATTGATACAATCAATACAATTGCCTTCAAGTTGTGTACACCCCTCATCTCCACACGTCTCTGAACACTTTTGGCACTTTCCATTTAATGTGTAATAGCCCTTCTCACATATTTCACATATTGGACTGATCGCAGTCCCTCCACACTTCTTACATTGGTCTATGGTTTCATGACATGAGACACACTCAGAAAATTTGATATAAAAATTGTCAACACAGTTGGAACAGGAGTCCGGAGTACATATGGAACACCCTCGAGTCGAACAATCAACACATTTCCCATCAACAATGTAATAGCCATCTTGACATGTTTCACATATACTACTTGTTGTTGTCTCTACACATTGATTGCAATATAACCCGCATTTAACACACCCAGAAATTGTTCTGTAATATCCAGTGTCACATGTAAAACACGAATCTTGGTCACAGGAAGTACACGCAGTCCACCGTTGATTACACTTCTGACAAATACCGTTTAAAACTGTTAGTTGATTTGAGTTGCATCGTGTACAAGTAGTAGAAGTACATAAATCACAATTAACTCCACACTTAACACAGAGTCCATTGAGTAAGTAATACCCATCAGAACATGAATTACACGCATTCTGTGTACAGGAAGTGCAACCTTCATATTTGACACCACACGCTTTGTGTTATTCATTTTTTAATTTCAATAAGTAAATGTATTATAATTGTTTGAAACAATAGAAGACAAACTTACACAACGATTATCATTGCTTAGAACTAAAGAATTGTTACATGATAAACACCGGGAGCTATCACAAGTAATACAATTTGAGTCGTATGTTGTGCATTCTGTACACCTTTTATTGCTTAAATAATACCCGGGTTTACATACCAGACATTTAACGTCTCGATAACAGTCAAGACAACCGGGAAATGGGTTGGAACACGCTGGTTGTTATTTAAAGCTTATCTTTATCGAAAAACGGAAAGCAAACAATAGCAATTGTGTTGTAAAATGAGCTGATAACAATGCTCTGAACACGAATTACATTGATTAAATATATTATAACCAGTGCATGAACATCCAGGATCATGTGCTACTGTTAATACACATCCCAGGAAGAATACACAAGCTGCAATCATTGAACTAAAGTATTATTTGAAATATAAGAAATATAAGAAATAGAAAAGGAATGACATGCAATTATTTCTTGTCAATTCTATAATAAAGTAGAACGGAGATGTTTAACTTGTTAACTTCAAATTGACCAAAATTGGGTTTAATAGTATATATTATATTATTTGAAATTAGTAATAATAGAATAAAAGCACTTTTGAATACAATTGAAAATATGTTCTATTGACTGTTTTTTATATTTAAGAAAGAAAATAGTAATTTGAATACAATAATGGAATCATGTTATTTAATTATCATGGTATCGGGGTTGGATCTAATACTCTTTTCAAAACATTTAAATTAATAAAAATTTTAATATTTTTAATATTTTTTAGACAACAAATTAAAATGGTGTTTTTAAGCGCAAATTGCCACTTTTTTTGGTTAGAGAAATATAGAAGTATTATTAAAAAAGAAAAAATATATCGATGCATTGTAAAATTATCATTGTATTAAAAATTGTTTTGTTGAAAAATTGAGTCAAGAATTTTTCTGATTGAAAAAATATCTAAAAAAATGAAATATTTTGTAAACTGGATTTTATGGGTTTTTTTATTAGAGCTAAAAACTCTCACAAGAGTAAAATAAGTTTGTAAATTTAAAGTTTTGCTCCAATTAAAACTGTTTTGTTTAATTCTTAAAATATAATTAAAAGAATTTTCTAATTGTTTTTTTTTAATCAAAAAACGTATTTAAATAGTTACAATCATTTTTATTATAATTAAATTAAAACAAACAATAATAATTATTTTTATTGCGGATTTTATAACATTTGGAATTTAATTGTTTTCCTTTAAAAACATTATATAAATAATGTTTTTCAATGTTGTTTACGAATTTGATTAATAAAATTATTTAATAATGTGTATTTATCTAATTTGTCATTTATAATTAAAATAATAGTAAATAGTAAATAGTAAATCATAAATTAATTTTTAATTGTTTAAATAATTATAATTAACTATAAATTATAATTTATACACAATCTAAAAAGTATTATAATTATATTATAAAAAATTAACAAATTCGTAATGATGTTTAATAAAATTTTATAACTTAAAAAAATATTTTAACTTTGCAAAATTTTAATTTAAATTTTATCTCAACATTTGAGTGTATTTTGAGCAAAACTTTTTATTTATTACCATAAAATAACATTTTTAAATTAATAATTAAAAAGATATGAAATTATTTTAGATTTTGCCAATTATTTTGCACAAAAAAAACAATAATTAACTATTCTAAACAATTTTAATTTGTGATTTAGTAATTAATAATAATAAATAAATTTATTATTTCTAATTTAATGATTAGACAATATTGAATAATCGATTTTCTATAGTTCAAAAAACTCAATCTAACAATTGAATTATTTTTATTGTATAATACGAGAACTATATTAAACTATACTACAAACAAATGTTAATTATGTGACACAATACTTGTTTTCGACTTTAATTGAGAGAATAAAAAGGGTAAATAAATTATATAAAAAAACGACACAATAAGCTTTTCTGTACCTTCAAACTCATTTGTTTATTGAAGAAAGTCTCTATTTTTTGCTAGAAAAAACAGAAAACACCACACCATTCCATGCGAAAACACAAGTACGCAGATTTCTTAATGTGTTGTATAAAAATAGTAAAATAACACAATATAATATAATTATAATAAATATAACTAAATTCAAAAGTGAGTGTTAAATGGACTTTAATATGCCAAATTTCAGATAGAACAAAAAACACAGAAATTGACTCGTGGAAGAAAAAAGAGGAAACGAAAAGAAAATGACGTTCGTGGTACCACCTCTTCATTTTCCACCCATTGAAATATTGAGGTCTAAAGAACTCTTTAATATCATTAGATGAAGCCTGCTGCCGAACTTGGAGTCCCAATACCAACTCACGTTTCATATGTTGTCCGTCAGACCACCAATTTGACTGCAGAAGAACGAGAGAAGATTCAAAAGCAAACTGAGTACAATTGTTTCTTCTTCCCTTCTCAGATGTTACTTGTTGATTATTTGAGTGACTCTGGATCATCTGCGATGACTGACAGTTTGTTTACTATATTATTATTATTTTATTAAAATATAATATAATACTATATATTATAGTATATATACTAATATATTAACTATATATTCGATAGAGTTATTGACATATAGTCCAGTGGAGTGCTTTATTCAGAGGAGATGAGGCTTATGGAAGAAACCAAGGGTACTACGCATTCCAAGAGTCTGTGAGAGATGCGTTTGAACGAGGAGACAAAGCCAAGTGGGTAGTCAAGGACATAGTTAGTGGCATTCCCAACTTCACCAATAATCCGGAAGACCCCTATTGGACCGACGAAGAAAGTGAAGGGTCTTTTGTTAACAAAGGAACACTTCAGATGGAACGACCGAACTTCTTTATCTTACCGCAAGGGAGATGTGCGGAGTGTTTGTTATATGAAGTGATGTCGAATGTCTTAGGGAAGGGCGAGTGGTATTTATTGTCGAATGGCTGGTTTGATACGACCGAAGCGAATGCGCGAAACAATGGGTTCCACACTGTCAATATGTTTGCGAAGAACTATCACGACGCAGTGGACTGCGAAACTCTTTGGACTCAAAATACATTTAAAGGAGATTTGGATCTTGAAAAGGCTGAGGCATTCATCAATGAGAAGGGGAAAGAGAACATCCCATTGATCTTAATGACTATCACGAATAACACTGGTGCCGGACAACCCGTTTCTATGAAGAATATTAGAGAGACTGCAGTGTTAGCCAAGAAGTATGATATACCCCTTTTCTTTGATGCTGCTCGATTTGCGGAGAATGCTTATTTCATTAAAGAATTTGAAGAGGGATATAAGGAGAAGAGTATCAATGAAATAGTGAAGGAGATGTTCTCCCATGTTGATGGATTTTGTATCTCATTGAAGAAGGACGGCGTCTGTAATATGGGCGGCGCACTCAGTTTCAGAGACAAAGGAGTCTTCTGGCGAAAGTTTAGCACTAAAGGAGACATTGGAGTGACTTTGAAACAACTTCAAATTCTTCGCTATGGGAATGATTCATATGGTGGATTGAGTGGAAGAGACATTATGGCGTGTGCGATGGGGTTGAATGTGGTGATGGGTTATAACTACTTGAAAGGAAGAGTTGAACAAGTCCGATACTTTGGATATGAGTTGGCGAAGAGAAATATCCCCGTCTTCTTACCGCCTGGAGGACATGCCATTTACCTTGAAATTGATAAGTTCTTCTCAAACAGAAAGAATTATTCACCGGGTGACTTCTTGGGTGTCGGGTTGGTCATAGAAATGATCCGAATGTACGGCATTAGACCATGCGAGTTGGGTCCATTTGGGTTCGAATGGGATAACAAGAACGAAGAAGACAGAAAGGGAATTAACGATCAAGTCAGATTCGCTGTCCCACGAAACGCTCTCTCAAAGGAACACATCGACTACACCGTCAGAGCCGTCGAACAGTTGTACATCAACAGAGACAAAATCCCTAAGGTCGTCATCTCGAGAGGTCAACATTTGAAATTAAGACACTTCCAGTCTGGCTTGAAGCCCGTCTATGAGTAAATTCACTCGTTCATCAATTTGGGGTTTATATACTATTTTATTATAATAATATTACTATATTTGTTGTATAACTATTATATATAGTATAATTACTATAATGAAATAGAAACTGTCAAGTTAGTTAGTTGTCTTGAATAGTTATGGCTTCCCCTTTCACGCCAGCATAGACGACGACCATCTGCATGGGGACATCATCTCTGTTTTCGCCGAAGTGCGAAGTTCCAATGACCTCTGCCATAGCTTCTCCAGCTTTAAAACAGTGAGTCTCCCCATTCTTTGTAGTCACATGTAATGTTCCTTGGAGAATATAAGCGCAGTTAATGACGGGATGGTGATGGAATGACATCTTAGTGTGTGGCGGGACTGTGATTCTGAGGACTGATATCTCTGCTGGGCCTGTTGGGTATTGGGGCAGATGAGCGCCGTCCCAAGTGGTTTCTGTTTGAAGGATCTTTTCGACTTTCGCGCACATCTAAGTTTCGAATTTTCAGTTTGAGGTGTTCAAGTAGATTTAGTTTCGTGTTAACTTAAAGTATTAAAAAAGTACTAATACAATCATTTAGTTTATCTCCAGTTATATGAAGCAATCAAGACCACTCGCAGTGTACCAAAGAAGTACATCTTGTCGGGAACAAAGTCTTGTCGTTCGACGTTGGTGTACCTTAAGAACATGTTGTTGTCTATGAAACTTGTGTTGTGGGTATTATCAAGCTGAATAATGAAGGCGCCAGTTTGAAACAATTGTGCCTTAGTGTCTGAGAATAAAAGAGTCGACTGACTGAAGCGCTTTGGGTGGATTATTTTGGGAAGAATATTGCCTTTCGCCATCTCATCTTGTGAAAGGCCTTTTAGAGTGTTTTTGTAAGTGAAGAGGAAGTGGGATGAACTCTCCGAGAATGAGTTTTGTTGAGCCAATCGAATGTCATTTGCATGAAGTCCAAAGACGTAGTCTGAATTAGTGAATACAAAGAGAGTTATATTAGTGTATGTGTTGACCTTCTTCTTCACCAGTTCCGAACTCCATTCATCGACGTTTGAGTCATAAACAACACTTTGTAATGGGTTCTTGTGTATTCCATTTGCCAGTTTCAGTAGAGTCTCCACTTTAAAGTCTTGAACAGTTATATCTCGTTGTTTCGAGTCACTTCCATTCATTTCAAATGAGTAAATTAAAACAAGGGCACAGCTATATACCGCAATATAAAAAGCCAAGTATTGTAATATCTTCATTGTCCACTAATATTCTCTTCTTCATTTATTAGTTTCTATTCATTCTTTGTTCCTTGAAAAATGGCTTCACCACCATCGACTAATCCTTTTTATTAATAAGACTATGAAAAATATTAGTAAGACTATTATATCGGTATTGGAATTAATAAAAAACACATTAAATGAGACAGATGTCAACACAATTTGGTTCCGATATAAACCCCGAGTTTTTTCATTCACAATTTTGTGACTCAACACGTTGACAGATACTTGCCATGAACTAAATATTCAAAAAGTGTAGATGACCTCTCTCCTCTTCGACGAGAGTAATTTAGCGCCTTGTTTGTTCAATAGTTAGTTTATATAACAAAAGTTGACGTAAAGTACTTCCGACTTCATCACTTTCGGAACATCCAGAAAAGCGAACTGCCCCGGCCAAAACCATCAACTACTTTAACTTATCGATGATTGTCTATTTCAGTATTGGTGGAGGTCCATTTGGATATGAAGAATCCATTTTAGTGACGAACCCAGCTTGGGCGTTTTGGACGTTGTTCTTTGTGTCGACGTGTTGGGCGCTTCCACAGTCTTTGACGTTAGCGGAGATGTCTGTCCGATACCCTGGGGGATATAATGAGTGGGTATATCGTGCTTACAATTACCACGTCGGGTACTTCCACTCGTTAGTTCGTTCCTTCTTTGGTATTTTGTGTTATGTTGCGTACGTCACTTTATTCTACGACTACATCAACACACTTTACCATGACCTTAATGTACTGAAATATGCAGATTACTCCCCTTTCTATTTTTGTCTCAAGACACTCACTTTACTTGTGTTACTTTCTCTTCTCGTTTTAGTGAATTTACTTGGGACAAAACGCCTCTCGCGATTTGGGTCGGTCTTAGCTTTCATTGTTCTCACTCCCTTTATCGTTCTTTTTATTATACTTATAGTACAGCACAAATGGAGTCTCCACCAACTCACAGACTTCACTATCATGACAGAACACCCCTCAATTGCACGAATGATAAGCATCATCATGTTTAATTTGATGGGGTGGGACTTTGTTGGGAGTGTGACGGAGCAAGCCAAAAAGCCGAAGAGGGATGTTCCTCTTGGGATGTTATTAGCGTTAGGGTTAGTGATAATCACTTATGTCATCCCAACACTGGACTTGATCTTCACGTTCGACTTCTCGAAGAACCCAAATGATCGAGACTCTCCTTATAATGTCAAAGAACCCCTTTATTTCGTGATGGCTAAAAAGACCTTTGAACCATTAGGGTTTGTGATTATAATAGCCACATTCTGCTCGATGTTTGGACTCTCCGCGATGTTTCTTCAGACGTCTTCACAGGCGTTGGTTCATGCAAGTGACTTCAAATTTGTGCCTCAAGTTTTTGGAACAACAACAAATGGAGTCCCACTGTTTGCACTACTTTTTCAAAGCGTCATGTCATTCTTCATCGCACTTTTTGTGACATTCGACATGGTTGTGTCACTCCAGATGTGGGTGCTCAGTGTTTCCACAATAATCATTATGTTGGGGTATTTGATCATACGGTGGAAGGACTTCGTGTACAAGAGGAAGATCCGGTCGAAGTTCTATTTACCAGTCCACCCATTAGTACTCACCTTCTTTGTGTTTCCCACAATCGGATTTTCGATGTTCGAGTTGGTCTATAAAGAAGGGGAATGGATCATCATTTTCATAGGAATCGCTATTTTAGTATTTTGTGAATTGGTCACCCTCACTGTCCTTTATTACAGGAGGAGGAACGTTACTGTCATCAATAGCGATGTATTGGTCAAGGAGTTGTAGAGATGTGGTGTCATCCTCCCGTCTTTTTCGAATAGTTTAATTAATAGTTTGTTATAGTATACTTCTAGTTCAATGGACACAACAATCAACGAATTAGTCAGTGTCTTGTGGTGTCCACCACTTGACGATACTTGATGAAGTAGAAACGAGAGGGAATTTGAAGTTGCAGACGATGGAATTGACAAGAGCTTCATGACTGTTTGAGAATTGGGAAATGGCATACGTTTTTAAGAGCATTGAGCAGACTGAGCCATCGACTCCATTAGAGAATAGCAGTCTTGAGCTGTCCGGTGTGAAGGCGATTTCAGGAGCGTCATTGAGTTGGTTTGTGGCGATCTCTTTCTGGTGGTCAGTTGAAGACTTTGGAGTTAAAGAGATGACAAACGGTGACGATGTTTTGTGGTGTCGACATGTTAGTGATGAGTGACACTTTCCCTTTGGTGTCGGAGACTGCGACGGAGTTTCCGTCGATTGCAACGGCGATTTTCATATAAGCTGACTCGTTATGTGGGAGGTTGAAAAAGGAAGTTTGTTGCTATTGATGAGTCTTGTGATGGATAAACAGTACACATTCACAGAAAGTGTGAAGAACAAACAAGAGAGAGTCTCCTTCGATCAAATACATTGAGTGTGTTACCTAGAACCACAAAGATGCTTGTCCCGTCATTGGAGAACGACACGATTGGTTTAAATCCAGTGAAGAAGACGTCTGAGTTGGGGAGGTCAGGGCATCGTGTGTCCCATTGGAGTACTCTACTATCGAATCCAGAGGAGATGAATGTGTCGTCGATGTTGTTTTGGTCGATTCCCAAGATTTCGTCTGTATGTCCATGGAAGATATGAATGAATTCTTTTGTTTCAAAACAGAGTTGCCCCACAGAGTTCAGTAAATTTTTGTTTGAAAACGTTGTAAGAACGACGTGTGGGTGGTGCGTGTATTTAATTAAGCCAGAGCCATATGCTGTCGACTTTAAAAGTGATGGACGGTCGGGGTTAGTAAGTGTATGGACGCGATATGTGTTGTCTCCACTCGATGTAACAAAGACTTCCCCATCATATGAAAAAGCGGAACTCCGAATTTCGTAGCGGGGCTCTGGTAAAACATACTCGAAACTTTGAACATACTTCTCTACCTCGTCCATTACTAGTATTTGGAGTTATGTTGAATATCTCTTTTTTAATTCTTTTTCTATTAGAGTATTATTCTAGTATAGTTTCTTTTTCTGATATTTTTTATTGGTTATTTATAGATTGATAATAATATAACTCAATAATAGTAATTAATATAATATATTTTACTATATATTTTTATTATTTTTTATATAGGTGTAGTATTATAGTAGTATAGTATAAAATAATACAATAAAAAGTACTGATATTCTCATTCCACATGCTTCATTTAAGGAAGTCTTAAAGAGGGACAGACTTAACACAACATTTCAAACTTATATTCATACCCTTTTATTCTCTCATTAATACAATATAACCAAAGAACTTAAAATTTCAAATTAACGTGAATGACAGAGCCAACACCACACCCCAAAATTACAATAGTGAATGGGATGATTACTGACGTATCCACCCTCGAGACAACTCCACTTCCTTTCACTCATTCAGACACTTTTCATCTCGCTGGCTATACTTTACATCCATATCTTTTGTACTTACTGTATTTAGTGATATCCCTCTTCTTTTTAGGATGGGGTGGTGTTCTCATTTCTCTCTTGTTTTCCATAGTTACTGGGCTCTTTCTTTCGTAATCTTTTATTCACACGTTTATAGTTTCTTATAGTTCCATATATTATAATAAACTATTATTATAATAAACTATTATTATTATCGTAATTAATAAAACTAATACTACAGGCGGTCATAATACAATTACATAGAAAGCTGAACATCTCCAGCAAACTTCCACAGTCGAATCGACTCATCCGCACCAATAGTTGCGGTCACCCCTTGTTTGTTTAAGTCGACCCCTAAGATCCTCTTTTCATGCCCATCACACTCTTCGACCATATTCCACCCTTCCTTCTCAAAGAGAATGACATTATTACTTGGGTTTCCTTGAGTCACAATCAGTTTGTCATTCATCCACTGGACGCCAGTGATTTGAGAGTTTGTCTTGATCTCCTTTGTGATTTTGCGGTCAAGGGTGTCGGTGATTTTAATTGAATGATCAGTGGCACCACCCCCCGTCGCTAAAAGCCGTCCGTTGAATTTGAGGGCCTTCACTGCGGCGTCGTGAGTGAAGGAGAAATAAGGTTGACAGACGCGAACGTCAGTGATGAAGACGAAATTGTCGTTTGCACCGGAGGCTAACAAATAGCCACTTTCATTGATGTCAACACCACACACTTCATTTTTGTGGCAGGCGAGTTTGAACGCGGAATTGCTTTGTCTGAAGTCGTGGAAGATGAGAGTCGAGTCTCTACTCCCCGTCACGAAAAGATTGTCGGAATGTGTGAGTGTATTTATCCTGTCATTGTGGGCTTGTTTCTCTAAGATTATTTTATTAGTTTGCAAGTCGATAACTCTGAGGACCCCAAAAGCGTCTCCAAAAGAGAGTTTGGTGGTGTCAATGAAATGAACTGAAGAGACGTACGTTATTAACTCGGAGTCATTTGAGCATTTGTAGACCTGACTTGCTTCGCCTGATTCGGAATTCCAGACATATAACATGTCTGTGAGCGCAACAGATAATAATGAGTTATCACTCCAATGGATGACATTCATATAAAAGTCATCGATCACCCCGGGGACGTCTAAATATAAGTAAGGGTGTGTCGGCGTCCTCTTTTGAATGGTAACTTTCTCAAGTAATTCCCCATACGCGTAACTAGAAAGCAAAGAAAGGTATGAGGCTGTTGCGGCCATAGACTGAATTTTTTTAAAGAACAGATTTAAAGCAAAATGTCAATATTAAAATTTGGATGGAAAAAATTAATATAACCTGAAGGAACAACAAATGCCAAATTTCTAATTTAGTTCGGGAACTTGAGTTCATCCGTCTTTTTGGAGAGGAATTTATTTTTATCTTGAACGATTTTGGTTTTTGGAATTTCAAAACAACAGAGTCTCAAATAGTTTAAACAATAATATTTATATGACACAGTATAGTTTCCGAGTGGCGCTGAATTCGATTTTTTGTGAAGGAGAAAATGGATTGAAGGAAAGAATTGAAAAGAACTTGAAAAGTACTGCGGATGTCATATAAACCTAGATTTACATTGAAAGACGATGATGATACCGAGAGTTACATCAGTGCTGCTCAAAACACTGAGAGGAAGACGGTGAATGATGCGGAGAAGAAAATCTCTGAGCTTGAGAAGGAGAATACATATGAGCCCAAAACTATGTATAGTAGGAAATACCCCAACGACCTTCCACAAAAAGAAAAAGACGGGTATAAACAACAAGAGCGCGGCAATGGATCTCCCTCAAGAAATTATTCAAAAGAAATGCAACGGAAGTATACGCCTTATAATAATCGTCCAAAGAGTGCAGTCTCTTCCGAAGTGTTTAGTGAAGAAGCACAACGAAAGGAATATCCACGGGAACGACGAGAAGACGACCGTAGTCTCAGAAGCTCAACACCACAATCAAAGACACAAAACACAACAGAAGAGGACAAATATGTACCTCTGAAGTCTACCGACCCATCAAACACAACACAAAAAACTGTTCAAAAAGAGACAAAAGTGGAGGTCCCATTGAAGGAGATGAGTAAAGACGAGCCAAAAAAACAAGTGATAAAAGACAGAACACCGGCAACTCCAAAGGACTTGTCGACGTTGAGGAAAGACACTTCGCAACTCCCAACAAACTGCTCGGCGCATCTTCTGTATGTTCAAAGTCAAATCAAACAGACCGAAATGTTACTTGCGGAGTTGAAGGAAGAAGAGAATCGGTTGATGAATACAGTGACTCGTGGGGGTATTTCAAAGCAGACAGATACAACTGTAGTGTTAGATGTCTTATGTGTTCTACCTAATGGAAAGCAGGCGTGGATTAATGTCACCAAAGATGACAATGCCGAGACTAAAGCTGCGGAGTTTGCAAAGGACTATCAATTGTCGAAAGAGAATGAGGCAAAGATCACGGAGATCATTACACAAGTCCAACAGGAACAAACGGCTTAAATTTCATATAAATTTAATTGACAAGAATTAAAACGAAGTTTATGTAGTTTATTTAACTATTTAAAATTAACTAGTAAAATATGTATTTTAAATAGTTAAATATTTCATTTAACTATTTAACTATTTAATTTAATTTATTTAACTATTTCAATGTAACTAGTAAAATATGTAGTTTCAATAGTTAAATATTTAATTGAACCAATTAACCATTTACCTTAGTTTATTTAACTATTTAAAATTAACCAGTTGCATATGTAGTTTAAATAGTTAAATATTTAGTTTAAAGATAGTTTCAACCAACATCAAGGGAATGGAGGAGGGTCACGTGTTGGGAATTGAAATTGGAAGTATTTTTGTGCATTGATACCATGACGGAGTTGTGGAGGAGGTGTTGTAGGAAGGACAATAGACTGGATCACTTCTTTCTTTTCGAGTTGAGGGCTCTCTTGAGTCTTTTCTCCAGAACAAGTTGAACACATTCGTTGAGTGTAATTCTTCCCATTTCGTGAGATCACCTTTTTCTTGGCACAATTGTCACAGAAAATCTTGTTACAGAGGGCGCAGTGATGCTTTCGATTTAAGAGGGAAAATTTTGAATGACAATTACTACAGTCGGTGTTTGAGTCTTGAGGGAATTCGTCATCACTTTCATCATCGACGAATTGGTACACCTTCTCTTGATACAAAGCAAAGTTTAAAAGTGTCACCCAACTCTTTTTCTCGTCGAAAGTCGGAGCATAGAAGGTCACCGAGACATCCCGCGATTTTAATATAAACCCATTTTTAAGGGTTTCCGTGTCGTCAAAGTCTTTGATGGTGTCCACTTCTAAAACAGCATGATACACCACTTTCTTCCCAAAGTTCTCACCATAGATCACTACCCCGTCGTTGAATAAGTACATGTACCGCTCTTTGAGTGCTTTCCGACATTGTTTAACAAGTCCGCCTTCTTTTAACAGCTTCCGTGGCATGTTGAGTAAATCGTCTTTAACAACAGGGTCGATGTCAACCAACTTCTTCGCGATGTTACGAAGTTGTTGTTTACAACTATCTCTGTCAATGATGTTGTTGACTTCTTTAGTAAACGAGTCTAAATACCTCATCACTTGTTCGGCTATTAAAGCGTCTGGATGGTCTTTATCAGTCGCTTTTATATATTCCCTCATAAGTAATATATACCGAGGAATCCGTTGGACCGGGGAGATCAAAAAAGTTGGTAAATTGGCGTTGTTACACCGCGGGTCGTTCATTTGTTGTTCGCAAAATTCTTCAAATTTTTTCTTCTTTTGAAGACCGTCGAAGAGGAGTGATGCTTTGTCGTAGTTTTGGATGTACTGGCTGAATTGTTTGAAGATTTCTTTCTATTCATTATTAATAATTTTATTAATAATTATAGAATAACAAACATTTAATAAAAACACATCAGCTATATTATCATTCACTTCAAACTCCTTCAGTCTTTCTTTTAATTGTTCAGCAAAGGACTTTGCGCCTTTTAATAGTGTTTCCAAATTACAAAACAAAATTGTTATTTCGTCTTTTGAGAGGATGTTACTCTCAGTGAGTGGTGTGACATACACATCTTCAATTGTTTGTAACACCTTAGCGTAAGACTCTTCTGTTGAGACGATTTCATTGACGACATTTGTTCTCTTCATTTGAATAACTCAAATTAATAGTATTTTTTAGTTCTTTCTAGTATAGTACATTTTATACTAGAAAGAACTAGTATATATAGTATATATTATACTATATATAATAGTATATTTTAGAATTTACCGCTCTTCATACTATTTAATTAGTTGATGAAACTAGAACTGAATAGTATAACACAAAAACAATTATTTCTTTTTTGTCTGAGTCTTCCTTAAGAGATAGTCTCTGTTGACTCGTTCATTCTCTTGACGTATTTTCTCTTCAAAGAGTCTGCGGTTTCTCTCCACTTTAGTTTCTTTCTTAGTCACAATAATTGGCTCGTCATTTTTCTCTGGACATTCTAAGATCAGTGACAGCCGATCCTTTTGGTTGAAAGGGACATTCTCTTTCTTAGTGCTTATAGACACTCTTGGTATTACCACTTTTTTGATTTCATGTTGTGTTGTGTTTGATTCGTCTTTCTTTGTTAAGTCTTGTTTTTCACTTGCTTTTGTCTCGAATTTCTCGATCTTTTGCATAATTTTATCGACGGGAAGAACACTTTTAAGCTTCTCTGCTGTCTGTGACTGCTGTCCTGAAGTACTTTTCTCAAATTTAATTGTCCGCTCAGCAAATGAAAGTAACTCCCCTTCCTCATTAGCATTGTCTGCACTCTCCACGACCTTTTCTAAGACTTCAATAGGGACTACTTGCTTCTTCTCTTCGATAGGAATATCATCCACTTGATTTACAGTCTTTCCAATGAACTCGACACTTAAAATCGGCTCACCTATGATGCGTTCTTCAATTATAAATTCTTTGTGGGTAACAACTGGAGTATCCTCTTTCACACACAACTCAACTTCTTTTTTGACTTCTTGTTGATCATTTTTTAGAGTGTCTTTGTTTTCTTTAGTATTAGGTGCACACTCTTTAACATCATTTTGTGTGTCATCTTGTGTCCTTTGCATTGTGTTTTCTTCGTTCTGAAGAGGATGCGTCGGTACTTCAATACCACTTTCTTGTTGTTTGGTGGTATCCAATTGACTCTCTGCTTTTACTTCTTCTTGTTCAACTTTTTCCTTATCGCGTTGAACACTCATATCACTGGCTTCATGAGTCACCCGATTACTATCCAATTCCTTTTGGCTCACAACATGTGGTTCATTACCATTGTGTTGTTCCATACTGACATTCTCTTGTTTAACTTCTTCATTCTTTGCCTCCATAAATTCGTGTGGGATTTCCGGTTGAATCTTTTTATATCCTTTCGACGGTTTGAGTACTTCTATTGGTTTAAGATCGTTTTCATTAAGACTGTTCTCTAATGGAACACTTTGCTGCTCTTCTTTCTTCATATCAGTCACTCCTTCTCTTGTATTCTCCACAGTATTCAATTCTTCTTTCTTCACTTCAATTTCTATAACATTTTCATTCATTTCACTTCTTGGCGTTTCAAAGAGTTCTTTACTGTTCGATTCGACTCGTGCAGTTTTCGGTGTTTCACTGTCATTTGTGCTCTCGGACTTTTCTTCGAATCCTGGTGAACTCGAAAGATCAAAATCGTCCTTTCGACTCTTTCTGAAGATCCCAAACGACTTTTTCTTTCTTCCTTCGCTCTGAGTCAATTCAAAATTTTTGAGCGCAATAGCTCCTATTGAGAGACTTTGGGGGACGCTCTCTTTCTCAATTGTTTCATCCAAATTTCCATCAGTCGATTTCCGTTTCTTCTTCTCTGCTTTTTCAGACTTTCTATTCTTTGTGTGGCGATCAATTTTTTGAACTTCGGTCTTGTCGACGTCCGACTTGGTTACCTCTGAGTCTTCGGAACTTTTCTCATACTTCTCGAGACAGCGATCACAGACCCTTTCCATCCCACACTTCTTCGACACAGTGATCTTCCCTTTCGAGCAATTGGCGCATACGCACTTCCCGCATTTCCTGCAGTGATGCCTTCGCGTCACTAACGAGAATGGGAGATTACAAAGCATACAATTCTTCGCGAGGTTATCCGGAACCCAAGCTTCTTTCATCTCGATGTCGTCTTTGTCCTCGACGTGGAGTCCATTTCGCTGTATTTCCGCGTACTTTTGAATAGCAGTATACCACGTCTTCATCTCGGAAGAGTCTTCACACAACACACTAAAGCTCTTCACGTTATTTTTGACTATAAACGCATTCTGGTACCGTTGGTCGGGCTCGATGTAGACATGTTTTAAATAGAACCACTCGCTGACATTAATCTTCTTCACCCCCGGGCCGTATAATAACAAATCGTTGAATAAATAGAAGTACCGGGACTTGTTCGTCTTTTTACACACTTTAGTTAGACTCCCTTCAAGCACTAATAATCGATTGGGCTCAACTAATTTGATGTCTAATCCTGAGATGTAATTCTGTGCTATAGTCACCTTCTCCTTCTGTTCAGAGATCTTGGTCTTCTCGTTGACATCAGTCGTCACCTTTTTAATCAAATCAACGGCCGCAGAGATCGAGGGGTAGTCCTCGTGATCTTTTGGAGTGTTTTTAAATAAGTCGACGAGTAACAGTTGGTACCTTGGCAATCGCTGGACGGGCATAATTAAATAACTCCTCAAATCTAAGTGAGTCGATGTTGGAATCTTCTGGACTATTTTGTCAAGTAAATTATTAAATTTGGACTCATTTTCATATTTACTTAACAATTTATTAACAGAATCATAGTGCGAAATATAGAAGAAATAACACTTAAAGAAGGGAAGGTACAACTTAAAGGTCTGTCCTATCGAAGTCGTCATTTGGTTGTTCTCTTTCAGTCTCCGAAGGGCTAAAAAGAATCTTTTATTCACTCCCAATATCTCTTCATAGCGTTCAAAGATCAATGTGACATCTTCATATGGGATGATGGTCGAGCTCTCTTCTGAAATCAGCTCCTGATAGAAAAAGTCAAAGCACGTCTGAAGAGAACACACATAAAACTCTTCTGTATTGTATATCTCATTGATGATTTGATCGCGCTTCGTCGTCATTTCTGGTTTGGTTATTTTACAGTTCTTCAGTGTTCGATATTATAGACTCTATTTTCCTTGAAACTTATGTTGGTAACATTCTAAATCGAATTGAATAACACGGAAAATATAGCTATGTGATCGGGTAAGTTGATACCGATTTAATGTAACTAGTAATCGTTATTCATTTTATTATAAATATAGTTTCTTTTTATTCTTTTGAAAATTATCAGAACTGATTCATAATCAGAAATACAATTGTTGTGAATCATTCTATTACCATTTCTGTAGTTCAAATTATAATATTGGTATTACAAAAAAATAGAAAATATTTTAATTGTATTAAGAAATAGAAAATTTCTTAATAACTTATTATCCTATTTTATTATTTTTATTAATTATATTAATTAATTTAAAAATACCATTTATTAATTATTAATTAAATTAATAATTATTATCAATTTTTTTATTTAAAATGAAATATAAAATAATTTACTAATGAGTTGTGTTGTTAAATAAATGTATATTTTTAGTTGAAAATATCGATTGACTATCGGTTAGGTATTTAAATAAAGTCAGTAAAAAAACGTTGTCCGCTTGTTAAACGTCGTCCGTTCTTTGTTATATTTTTAGAAATGGTGTATTATTTTCAATTTTTGTTTTCATTAAACTTAACATGTATTTATATCGCCCGATATATAACATGAAAAAAACAAACAAAAATTGTTTTTTAAAATATATAACCCAAAGTCACAAATAAAAAGTTAGATTTTTGAAGACTTTTTTCCCTTTAAATGTCAGGAAAAAACAATTCTTCTTGATATGTCATGAATAAATTTAAATACATTCAACAAATTAATATTGATTCAATTTCAAGTTTTAATTTTATTTTTACCATAAATTCAAACAGATTAAACTTAAAATCAAAGAATGCAAACACAACTTGGGTGCGTTTTTATTGTTGGACAACAATTAGAAATGGTTCATAACACATTGAATGAACTTTTACGTCCAATTGAACCATCTTCTGGGACTTTCGATGACTATGATGTATTATTAGAAGATATAGTCTTATTTAAGTCGAAAATGGAAGCAAATGTGAACAGAGAAATATGTTGTTATAACAACATTTTGAATTTCGCTATTGGTGATTTAAATGGTGCTATTGCCGCGTTCAAAAACGAAAAAGAATGGATTGTAAAGATAATTACTACAATACAATCTACAGAACATTTATTAGAAAGGGTCAAACTAATCAATGAACACATCACTAATTGTTTAAATTTCCTCACAAGCTATGCTGTTCCAAGAGCTGGTTTTGAGCAGCTTTATAATTATTTGAGACAAACCATGGTACCACTTCCTGGTGAAAACGAAGTGGATTTTCCAGAACAAACAAACAGACCACACTTGGAAGAAGTCCATGAAATATCCATGGCGAATAATGATGACGTCATTGACTTACTCCACTTAAACGACGATGAAAACGACAATTATAAAATGTCAGAAGAAAACAATGAAGATGCAGAGGAAATATCAGAGTCTTCAGTATCCATGGAAGAAATTGAAACTGGTACAAATTTGGATCTTCAAATTGAAAAAGTTTTTTTGGATGACGAATTCGATTGTGATTATTTATACGACTATCTTCAATCAACAAAAACAAAAATGGACCATGTAGAGATCATTAACATGGTTTTAAGATTTTTGAATCTTAGAAGAAACAGGGAAGCTCAAAATAGGAGGATACAAATGTTCCGATTGTATGAATACTTGGTCAAAAAAACTCAAATTGACAGCTCCATTTTTATTGCAAGTTTAACAAAAAATATTTCAGCGGATATTTGGAGTCGACAAATAAACATGACCAAGAATGGGAAAAAAGTGTCTGGAAGGCCAACCTTGTTTTCTCGATTTGAAAAGGATACAATTGTCGAATTTATCCATCGTCGTGATGAATCAAAAAACCCTGCAACATACAACGACATAGTATTGTTTTTAATCAACGAGCTTGGTAGGGAAGACGTGGACGTGGACGTGAAGATGCTGTACAATTTTGTCAGATCCGAAACTAGAATTCAAACCGTGATGGGTGTATCATTGGAATCACAGAGAGTAGATGTCGACTACAACAAAATAAACGCCTATTTTGATTTACTAGAAAAGGAAATTACTGGTGTATTGACAGCTTTTATTTTTAACTGCGACGAGTCTGGTTTTCAGGTTTGGGCTGACAAAATGGACCAAACTGTAATAATAATGAACCGTGGAGTGGATAAAGTTGAGGTTCCAGTCGAACGTACAGGTGGAAGGACTACCATGATGGGAGCAGTGTGTATGGACGGTACACCATTGAAGCCGTTATTTTTGATTCCAACAAAATCTATCGAAAAGGAACTTCTTGAAAATGGTGTAACTATCAACAGAGCACATCTCCATTACACCAATAAATCTTTCATGAACGGTTATTTATTTATGAGACGGTTACTTCTTGTGTTTATTCCATTAATCAAAACTAAGAGAGAGGTATACAAGTATTGGGGAAAGGCAGTTTTGATAATGGATGGGTATGATCCCATTTAAAAAATGATGCTATTTCGTTGCTCAGTAAAAACAATGTGCGTGTCATGTTGATGCCTTCACATGTTTCACATCTTGTGCAAGTATTGGATGTGGGCTTGTTTGGAAACCAAAAAAGACTCTGTGTCGCAGAGAAGTCTTTTATGAATGACGCTTATTCGTCTTTGTCTGTATCTGTGGTACAAATTTTGTCAATAATAAATTCTTGGGAAAAAGCAACAACAAAAAATACAATCTCAGCATTTGTCTCATGTGGATTAATTCCAATTTTGTTAGACAACCTCCAAATTGTTTGCGAAGTAGTAAAAAAATCTTGTACCAAAATTGATCACTTTTTTACTCAAGAAGAAATTGAAGAGTGTGTAAATAGTCTACCAACGGGACTATCCGATACAATGAAAAGAAAAAAGGCGTTAAAAACACTTAGAAGCAAAGCAAGAAGTTATGACAATTCATTACTAAAATCAAAACATGGCCTTGTTTTATACAAAAGAGAAAGAATACCATTGAGTGTATTGAACCAAACAACAATGTCAATTATATAATTTCGCTAACAGATGTATTTATCAATTTAATTTTTATTTAACGAGTTTTTTATTACATGAATTGTTAATTAAAATTGCTTTTTTGATGAAACATATTATTTTATTTGGTAAGTATATGTTATTTAGTTAAACTTGTTAATTTAAAAACAACTGTATTATATTATATATTAAAAAACAATAAAATAATTTAATGTATCATATATTTTAATAAATGATAAAAACAAGGGTTTTAAACAAACTGTTTGAAATTCAATAATCAAACCTTCTTGTTAATTGTAAGTGTTTGTTTTTGAGATATAACCTCAAGTGACCTTTAGAATGTTTGAATTTGGTTATAGGCTTCACCACAATGACAATTACATTGGCTACAAATAATTATGTTTTTATAGATTGACACCATCAAAATGGTTGATTGAAGCAACACCTTTATACTCTATACTCTCCGAATGACTTGGTCAAGCTAACTTGTATGATTACGAACCCTTTTATCCTTTTCATAGAGCCAATGTTTGTACTCGCCATTTAATTACACTCTTCTCGAGAGCGTCGTTTTGGCGAGGTCTTTGAAAATGATAAAAATGAAAAATTTATGGGTTAAGAAAACTGTAAAATAAATGATGTTTGATTTTTAGTTGTTTTTAATTTTGAAAAAAATACAAAAAAAAACGAAAGAAAAAAAAATATGAAAAAAATAAATAGATTTTTGGTAAATGTTTTTGAATTGTGTAGAAGAATTGTATCTCATGTTAGAAGATTCTGGACCGGACAACGTTTAACAAGCGGACAACGTTTTCCCACTGACTATAGTGAATATTTTTAGTTATAAATATAGTACAGTCATTATTCGATATAAGGGAATACCAGGTACCAATGTTATTCGATATAAGGGAAAAAATGAGGAATTATATATTTAACAAAAAAATACCTCGGTTTGTTTTTTGTCACAAAAATTATTTTTTTTTGATTATAATTTTTTTTCCTGACCAAAATAAACACTTTGCCTATATCTTGAAAACAATTGGCAATTATTTTTATCTTAAATAAATAATTAATTTCATAATAAATCAAAAAACAAAGACAAATATATTAACACAGTTAACATAATAAATAAAACTTTTGTATCTAACTTTGTTTCGACTTAAAAACTTTTAATAAATCTGTTAAATCATTAAGTTTTAATGCAATCCAAATGTGTTAATATAAGAACATCATTGATGTTACGAGACAAAATAAAAAATATTGAATTAATTGATCCTTATCAAAATTCACAGAAAGTAATCAAAGTTGTCGGACAGCATCTGAAAATAGTAATTTCTCCAAAGCAAGTTTATCATTTGCGTTCAATTTCTAAATAAACATTGATAATTTTTATCCTCGTATAAACGAATAAGAAACCACAGAACCTGGAACTTGAGGAAGCAATGATCAATTGGTTTCATTAAGTTCGTAAAGAGGGAATACCAATTGATTATTATATGTTGTCAAGGAAAGTATACTTTTTGAAAGAATGCAAATACATTCATTGTATTATTTCAAAATAAAATTTACTTGTTTATCTATTTTTATTATAATTATTGTATTTTGTTTATTATAATTAAAAATGTTCTATTAAAAATATAATAAAACATAGTTTTTATATTATTTTAATTAACTTTTTAACTTAGTGACAAATTAATCCAATTATTACCATTTTTGGGTTTTTAAATTGAAATAACCAACAAAAAGCAAACACATAAATTTCTTTTTTTTAATTTTTTTTTCTATTATTCGATATAAGGGCTTCCTCTTATTTTTCTCCCTTATATCGAATAAATCCTTATATCGAATAGCCCTTATATCGAATATTGACTGTATCATAGGATTTTGAATTTCAATCGATTACAAGTTTTGAGACATCTTCGACTTCGTTGAGAGAATTTAAGAAAAAATAATATGAATATCACTCTTTTTTTTAATTCGCTTATTTATTAGTTTACAGACCAAAAAGAACCAAACTACTATTTTGAACGAAATATAAATGGAAGTGCTTCAGCTTAAATACCCAACTTATATTTCAACGGAAAATAAAGTTCAAGCTGGTGGTCACGATGACTGTATTAAAATAAGTGGTGCTTTTATTGAAAAGATTATTCCGGTCTACGTCCGTGTTTGTTACAACGTATGACTATCAAACCCTTACTCACAAATAGGAAATTGAATTTTATGAAGAGAACAAAGATGTTAAAGAGTTAAAAGGGTTGATACCAACATACTCAAAACATTATTTAGTGGATGGGAAGAATGCTATTCAGATTGAGAACATAACTTTTAATTACATACACCCATGTGTGTTAGACATCAAAATTTGTGGGCAGTCGTGGTGTGATGACACAACAGCTGAGCGTCTTCCCGGCCGTCAAAAACTAGATTTAAAAACGACGACTCGCACGTTGAATATGCGGTTCTCAGGAATGAAATTATTTGATGGGCACAAAACGTTGAGTGTCGACAATTTGATCTATCGTGTGTTTAATGATCGAGAATCTCTCTGCGAACTAATTCGCCCATTTTTCGATAATATCGGCGAACACAAGGAAACGATAAAATCGCGTTACATTGATCAAATTGTGAAGATCGCAGAGGGAATTAAGACAATGAAGTACTCCTTTTACTCGAGTTCCCTTCTCTTTGTCTACGACTGGAATACAGAAAAGGCGGACTGTCGATGGATCGATTTTTCTCATTATTACAACAACACTAAAAATGTTACTAAATACGACGACGGTGTTCAGAAAGGGATGTCTAACATGATCGATATCATTAAGTCACTTTGAGCTATATTAATTCTTTTCTTAATATAATTTACTATAAAAATATAGTTTTATACTCCCCATAATTCGTATTTTGATAAAAGAATTGAAATTATTAAAAATATATAATTAATGAATAAAATGTATTTTCTTGAGAAAATAGTTAACATGATGACTTATCCAATGTTAGACTCTGAATATGATTGAGGATAACTTTGTGTCTGATTTTTTGTTATAAACAATAAAACATTTTAAATAACATTTTGTTAATTTTTTAGTTGATTTGCTATAAATAAAAATTTTAACTAAAGTGACTTCCCCAAGGTGTGCAAGTTAAAATTATTAGTCTTTTATACAGGGAAAGGGAGTGCAAGACTAAATTTTAGTTGAAAAACATTTTATTAAAAAATGTTATTCGTTTCCAAATTGTTTCAAAAAACACACAACCCTTTAATACTTGAATTAATAAACTACAAAAAGCAAATTAAATTATAAAAATTGGGTAATGGTTTGTCTATGTGTTTAATGTAAAAACTGTTTTGTTTCAAGAACGTGAATAAATGTCGATGTCTCTTGTGTTAGCGTAATTCAAGGCGACAAGAAGAAGTATGATAAACATTATGTTTTTCTCTGTGCCATTTTATAGCAAACAATAACAAATAGTCTGTTTAAAAGGTGCAGTTCATTGTTACAAATCGATGTGTACTGTTGTCCAGAACTGGTCCTTCGATAATTTCCATTGGGTCGCTTTCCCGAAATTGTTGCTTAATTAATTGTATTCGAAGTGTGAAAGTTAAAAATTGCAACGTCACAAGGTGTGCAAGTTAAAGTATAATTTAGTAATAACTTCGAAATTATAATTAATAATTAAACTAAAAATAATCTTTTTTTTTCAAAATTTCAAAAAATTAATGATTCTATTTTTTTAATAAAAAAATTATAAATGAACTATACCTTAACTTGCACACCCTTAAACTAACTTGCACACCTTGGGAAGTCACTTTATTTGCAAATTAATTGAAAAATGAATTTTCGTCGTTTTTGTTTCTGAAATTTTGGAATTTAAAAGCTAAAGTGAATGTTCATGAGTTTAAATACAAAAAATTCAAAATATCAAAATCGTTCAATTGAAAAGGATAATTAACTGTTCAAAAAGACCAAAATTTCAAATTGAAAATGAGCAAAATTTTTACTGTGGTTATACTCTTTTTACCACAAAAATAATTCAAAAAATATGAACAAAAGAATTTTTGTATTAAAAATTCCCGAAAATATACCAATAAACCAGCCAAAAACATTATTACATTATTGAATGTTTACTTGATAGGCAAGGAAGAGAGTGACAGGCACAAAAAAATACGAAATATTGCTGATTGTACTTTTCAAAAATCTGCTCCTGATTAATATGATGAACTTAAAACCTCTCATTAACTCATACCAATGGTCCTATTCTTCATTTTATTATTAACAATAGTACATGCGCAAGATGATTACTGTGACTTCAATTGCTTTATAGAAGGTCTTTCCTTCACTGTTGATATGGAAGGTAAAATGTCTACGATGGGATATAATATCCCAAATATCACATTCAATGGGATGGAAGTTAACACCATCAGTGGTTCTGTTGATGACCCTGCGAAGCCTTCCAAGTTCACTGCGCACGTTTCCTTACACACTTTATATGGGAAAGGTCCAATAGTTAAAGAAAGTAAGAATAAGGAAATTGGGTACATGTCACTTAGTTTGAAAGATTGTTCTTTGACGTTCACGTTGGGGTTTGAGACATACAATTATATGGGGTACAACCTTGTCAAGGGAGTCATCCCGTCTATATCCATAGACTTAAATGTATGGTCTGCTAAGATAGATTTGAAGTGTACGGACTGTTCTGTGGGGGACTCTATAGTATTAGGGTTGGGGGACTTCTTCATAGCTATTGTTAAGAACTTCTTGCAGTTGATTGTCAACTCGAACATCGATAAGATCAACAATCTCTTGAAGACTCAATTGGACGCATTCTTTATCAACGTGAATACCAACTACATTGAAAAGTATATCAATAACACTCACCCCTTAGACATCCCATTCACTTTAAAAGAGAACGAATTGGTTAATATAACAAAGAACTCAATGTTCGACATGTTATCATGGGCAACTACGGAACTATTAGGTGGAAATACATCACTCGGCATTAACAATTTAATTAATAGATTTACTAAAGAGACGGGGTCTCTTGTAGCAGGTGGAAAGGAAGAGGACACATTCCCTTTGTTAACAGACAAAATCATATCTGCGTTAAACATGTCTGGATTGTATATCCCTGACATCAATGGGACTATAGACTTCGCTCTGACATTTTTGAATGTCTCGGGGTTGAACACGTGGAATAACTTGAACTTTTTCGAACCGCTCAGAGACGTACAAGTGAATATCTCAAACGCGGCAAATGAAACATCAAGTGGTTCTTCAAACAGTTCAGAAAGTGTAGAAAACGTCAGTGAAGGTAATATGTGTTCTGAAGAAAAGAAGTGCGACTACCAAATGAAGTTAGCTTCGGGCTTACAAGACTTAGAAATCTCCATGACGTTCTCTATTAATGCGACTGCGGAGTCGCCGAGTGTGAGCACTGGCGGTAAAAAGTTGCACGAAGAGGCCAATTTTTATTTAAAAGTGTCAAAGAACTATATGGAAGGAAGACTGCAAGTTGCGATGCAACAAGGCAAATTCAATAATTATAGCAATTCGATGTGTATGAATGGAAACTGCTGGTTGGCCTTGTTAGAAGAAGGCACGGGGGTACCCATCTTCATATTCAACACGAGTCTTGATGTGATAAAATTGACAGCCGCCTCGGCGTATTTAGAAGATGGCATTCAACAAATCATTAACTCGATTGTGGAGGTCTTTCTCTATAACTATAAAGAAGCCATTCCAGCTCTTATTAATGGGTTGGTCAATGAATTGGCGACAAACTACACAAATCAAGAAATTGAAAAGGTTGTTGGGACTGATTGCAAGACCATTGAAGATGAAATAGTGTTGGGGTATAAGCCCAGTGTTGTTGTATTGTGTTTGATTGTAGCTTGTGTGTTGAGTGCGATGTTCTGTGGCATTGCGTTGATGGTGTTAGTGAAGAAAAGAAGATCACAACACAGCGCTGAAGTCAAAATGAAGACTGAAAAGGTCCAAGCAGAGTTAAACACTGTAGCACAAGAATCGTACACAGATTCCTTTTCAACAGACACTTCAGAGGACAAAGTCGACTTGATTAAGCACAAAACGAAGAAAAGTATATGGAAGAAAATGTTACATTTCCCTGGATGGTTCTTTTCTCAATTTTCTCGAACAGATCCTGAAGGTTCTAGTCTCTTTTTAGACTCTCGCATTACGATTTTAGTTCGAGTTATAGTCCCAATCATTATCTTCTTTAATATTGGGATCTTTATAACGTCCAATACAGGAATTGGAGCAACTGTACATGCGTACATCTTGTTTGGAGGGAATAATGAAATCCAAATGCCTGTGTCGACATTTGGGTTGGTCGACAGTGTCAGAGATATGTGGACTGCTGGGGTTTACCCTCTCTCTATATTAATTCTTGTGTTTTCTGGGATATGGCCTTACACCAAACTCATTTTCTTGTTATTCAGCTGGTTCACTCCAGCCAGTATATTAAAACCAAGTATTCGTGGAGGTATACTTAGTGTCTTGGATGCGTTTGTTCTGTCTTTTTTGATACGCGATCAATTATTTTAAAATACAATCTTAGTGATTGTTTATGGCAAAAATAACAGTGATAATAGTGTTAAAATAAACTTTGTTTTTAACAACTTAGGTTGGGCAAGTGGTCATTTTTGGACTCGTATGTCATGACTTTAATGATTATGGCCTTTTATTTTGATGTTCCCCTTCCTATTCACCACCCCGAGAATGTCTCTGAGCACATTTCCATTCAACTTTATGTTGATCCTGAGTACGGGTTTACTACACTCTTACTGGGTACTTTAGTCTCATTAGTTCTCTCGCACTTCATGGTGTTCATTCACAACCAAATGATGAGTCACCCTTATGATAACTATGGCTCTAAAGCGAAATTATATCGACCACTGATGATGTATACAACATTCTTTGCTACACGAATAGTTATGATTCTGATGATATTGGGAAGCATCGGACTGATAGTCACAGGCTTTTTCATCAACTCGTTTTCATTTGACTTCTATGGACTTGCGGGGTGGGCACTGGATTTACTCGACTTCTCGCAACATAGAGATTTCTCTGTGATGGACTTGGGCGTCGATTTGCCGTCGGCGTGTAGAGAACCGAACAGTTTTGTTGTCAGATTTATTCAAGTGACTTACTTTATCACTATTGTAGCACTCCCTATGGTGCACTTGATCGTTATGTTATTGTTGTGGATCTTCCCATTCAATAGAAAATTTCAAAATTGGGTCTTCAACACGTGTGAAATTCTGTATGCTTGGTCGTGTATTGATGTCTTCATAATTTCTGTCATTGCAGCAGTGGTGGAGTTATCACAGTTTGCGGAGTTCATGGTCGAGCCCATGTGTGGTGCGCCTATAGGAAAATCAGATATGAGTCTCGATGGCATCATCGCGAAGTTCTTTGGCGAAGAAAAATACATTGAAGGCCATGAAACGTGTTTTGAAGTGAAGGCTGTGTTAACGGATGGATGCTGGTACTTATTTGCTGGTGTTGTGTTATACACTATCACAGCAATTGCTATCACAAAAATATCTAAAAGAGTCTTAAAGGAGAGATTGCCTAGTCAGGATGAGGTGGAAGAGTTTAAGGAAAATAGTAAAGAGAAGATGCAAGACAAGATGCCACTGTTATATGGTGTAGATGAAGATAAATTGTAACTTATGATTACCATTAGTTCTTTATGCAAACTATACTAGTAATAGATTGTATAGTTCTATTAATAAATTATAAATGAACTAGAATTAAACCACTCAAAAACAAATAACAAATATTCTAGATAGAAATACTAATTAGAATACTATTATTTGTAATTAATAAATCAAATTAAATGAATCTACTAGTTATTAACTAGAAATGAATTAATAATGAACTACAAAGGAACAAAGTGAGAACAAAGAAAACTTTAATGTCATCTGCGTTCAAATATAACAGTCTTCTAGACGAATTGATTGGGTACAGGAACTGTACGAAGGGTTTCACACTTCCACTGGACGTTTCTGTTCTCCTGTTTGTTACCCTTTTCTAAGTGACTAGAAAGCATTTGGCACATCTAGTCTAACTCTAATAGAGCGAGTTAAAAGGAATAAAAGAATTACATGTAGAGAAGTCTGTTCCGATGCGATTCACACCTTTTCATTAGAACCGACGGTGTTACGCCTGAACACGCCGATAACAGTTGTGGGCGATTTACACGGACAATTCTATGACTTACTCCGAATCTTTGAAACAGTTCAATACCCGCCAAACACGACGTTTCTGTTCTTAGGGGATTACATCGATCGTGGCCATTATGGCGTCGAGGTGGTTACGCTTCTGTTCTTATTGAAAATGAAATACCCCAAACACGTCTATTTGATTCGCGGAAACCACGAGACGGAATACGTCTCGCTCCTCCACGGCTTTTACTCGGAGTGTCAGAAGTTCAAAGACGAGCAAAGCAAAGTCTTCGACGCGTTTCAAGCCGTTTTCGATTATCTTCCCTTGTGCGCGATTATCAAAGAAAAGGTGTTTTGTGTCCACGGCGGCATCTCCCCGTCGCTCAATTCTCTCGAACAAATCGAACAAACCAAAAAGCCTTTCAAAATCCCAAACAGCGGCTTCCTCTGCGATTTGGTGTGGTCAGACCCTAATGACCTCGACATCAACGGTTGGATGAAAAGTGAACGTGGGATGGGCTGTGTGTATGGACAAGACGTCTGTGATGACTTTTTAATGAAGAACGGCTTCGAGGTGATACTCCGCGCTCATCAAAACGTCGACGGGTACAAGTTCTCCCTTAACAAAAAAGTGGTGACGGTATTTTCGTGCCCAAACTACATGGAGACTTATGAGAACACCGGCGCGGTGATCCGCTTCGACGACAACTTGATGGGACACTTCGTCGTCTTCAAACCAACAAAGAAGTGATTGGATGGTTATTTGAATAGCTTTTTATGTCATTTCTCTAATTATTTCTCATATACTATACTAAAATAGTTTTTTTTTATTAATTAATTAATTAATTATAATCGTAAAGGTATATAGTTATAGATATAGTTAATTTTGTTATAAATATGGTATTTGTCTTTATAATACAATACTATTATATTTATAATATATTTATAATATAATAAGTTAGACAAATGAAATTAAAGAAAAAGTTTGAATTATGAACCAATAGAAGAGAGTAATCTCTATGGTACTATATTTTTTATAATAATTTTACTATATATAATCAATGGAACGATATAAGAGGAAACAGCGAAATGAAAGAACCCAGGAGGGTATAATCGATAGTAACGCAACGATAAAACGAATCAGATCAATTGAAAAGGGAAACAATTAGGCCTTGATAGTTTTCTTAAGGGTGACCTTCAAGTTTCTCATTCTTCCGGTTCCTTGTGTTCTTCTTCTAAGTGCTTTGTACCCCCAGTTATATCTTCTCATTTGTGGGTCAGGATAGCCACAGGACGCACATCTCTGTTTTTGTAAATGCCATGCTCTGTTGCCACATCTCTTGCACAAAATATGGGTTTTGTTGTGGCGGGTTCCTCTGCAGCTTGTTCCCTTAGTCATGCCTGTGACGTTCTTAGTTCACAGGGTTTTCATTTTAGGTTATTTATTACTCAGTTCTTGGTGGTGACTTTGTGTTTTTCAATTGTAATAATGTTATTGGTTTTATAATGGACGTTTTATGAATAAGTGTGGAATTAACAGTAAATAATAATTATACTATAAAACAATTATATATTTGTTAAATCGAAAATAGTAATGATTATAGTTTGCTGTATAAGAAAAATAGAATAATAATAATATTATTTATTGTAATATTATAATATTATAAAATAATATAAAAATCATTTAATAATTTTCCAACTCACTAACTCAACCAAAACTTTTTAAGGCAAAAACATCAAATTTCGAGAAATATTTTTGTAGTTTTATCTTTTTTTAGCAAATTATTTCAAAATGAAGAATAGTACATTGCATAGTAAAAATAATAGTATTGATAGAAACAAGAAAAGACATCCTCAAAGTAATGGCGAATGAAAAGAAGTCAAAGGGAGTTGAATTGAAAGGAAGAAAAGACAAAAAACTGCGGGAAGATGTGGGAGGGAGAAAAAAAACAAAAATACAAAACAAAAATAGGAGATGGCAAGAACTTAAAACCCAGTAAAGAAAGAAAATGGGAGCGATTCTGAGTTTGTTCCAAGGAGGAGAAAAGGGCGAGAAAATTATTATCGACTTTGACCATGTACAACCGACAGCAGAAGAACAAGACCTGTACACAAAGGTCGAGGAATGCCTTAAAAAGTCTGCGAACATCTTAACGCAGATCACCGCATATAAAGGATGTGAAGAACTGATCAGGAAAGCTATCTCACAAGTCTCGCAAGAGAATGAAGAAGAGTGTTGGAAGGCTTTAATCCCACGCGTCGACACACTTCATACCTTCTTCGAATTCTCAAACGAACTGAGTTTGTTTTGTCCCCCATTTTTGAGTGATTTCAAGATACCTTAAAGTTATTTTCACCGATATTTTCATCGTAATTGCACAATAATTCGTAGAGGAAAAATTCATTCAAATACTCCAAGTCTTGTCAAAGGAAGAGGCTAAAGCATCTCTTCAGAAATACCAAGCACTCTCAAAACAAGTCGGGTTGGTCTTGGACTTTGTCCTTCAATTCGATAACAAGAAGTTGGGGAACTCTTCTATACAGAACGACTTCTCGTATTACCGACGTACTTTGAATCGTATGAAAAGTGTGAAGAAGGACTACGAGATCACCATTAAAGACGAGACGGCAAACAAAATGTCCATGTTCTTCGCTTACTCATCTCCTATGATGAAGGTGTTGACAGACGCTGTCAACGATTTCACTAAAAACGCCGACGATTTGGTCAAGGGGAATATCTCTGGCATACTCTGCACTTTGGCAAATGTCTGTAACGACATGGTGACTGCTGGAACATTCGAGAATACTCTGACCAATTTGTTCTGTTTGAGAGTCATGACGGGAAGTATCATCTTGAACGACATCATCTCAACCCTTGGAAGTTTCCACAAGAAAACACCAATCCACGTCAAGGAGTGCATCATGCAATTAAAGAACTACGGACAAGAAGATGACGAGGTCGCGGACAACACAAAAAGCTTGCTCGACACACTCAGATTCACCTCGAAGCACATCCAAGACCAAGACACTCCGGGTTATATCAAAGCCCTCCTGATTTAACTCGTTTATTTATCAAGTTACTGTTTGCTTGAATTCGATGTGTTTCTTGTCGTCGAACACGACCGCTAATAAACACTAACTTAAACACACTTTGCATAATGGACAGATGTCGTGCTCATGCGTCCATGAGTCGACGCACTCGCCGTGGAAATAATGCCCGCACGGAAGAAGCTTGACGGGTTGTTTTGATAAGAACGGTTGCATACATATGGGGCACCTTTTTGTCAATGTTATAGACTTATTCATTCATACTATTAACATAACTAATAACTCAAAAATACGACACAAACTCTTTGTAATGGAATTTTGGAACGGAATTGAATGGAATTAATGGGAAGGAGAAAGAAAACACACAGGTTTCTTCGTCATCGTCATTAAGCGCGAATTCGTTGAAAAGCGAGAACATCTCGGTGTTCTTCATTGCAGAGGTGAGGAAGCACCACAAGTCGAAAATGGACATGAAAATCATCACCGACTTGAGAAGATACACATTGTTGAGACCAAAGGTCAAAATTGTGATCATGATGGAGAGGTAGAGATGTGTGATCTTCTCCACTAAGTCGAACACAACGCATATTCGCATCGATGGAAGACAGACTAGGACTGTGACGAAGAGAATGAGTGACTTACAGAATGACCAGAAGAATATCATTAACGTCTGCGGAGATGTCATCACGGGGATCTCGAGGACAACCACCGACATCACTATGATCGCTTGAATAGTCCGGAACACAACATTGGATATAATGGAAACACTCGCCTGAATTGTAGTGTCTATATACCATATGGACATGTGTTTATTATGATTTTTTAGTCAAAATTCTCGCTCTTATCTTCTTTGATTCTGACAAAGATTGTTGTCATTTTTATTTTTAATTATTATTAATTATAATTTATTTTATTATATTATATGGTTATTTGTTTCTATTTTCGAACCTATTAATTAATAACAGTTTTATTTCTTGTATAATACATTTTTTGTTTATTTTGTTGAAAAAAAAACTTTCCAACGGTATTCTTCAAAAAACTGTATTAAAAAATATAATAGTTTATATTATACCTTAAATACATATAGATCAATACAAAGAACTATTTAAGCTATAAAAAAACTATACCAATTATTCCATCAAAGGAGATGCAAAATCAAACTCAGTGAACCATTTCAGTCTTATTTGATTTGAATGAATTACTTCTCTTGAACAACATTAAAAACACTTCCACACACCAAAGTCACACCAAAGTACTAAAACTCTAATATCCAACGTTCTTTCAATTCATTTGGTACATGAAGAACTCCTTGAAGATCAGTTCGTCTGGGTAAAACTTGAGCACTACGTTATATACCAATACCAAGAGTGTCGGGAAACGGTCGTGGAAATACTTATAGAGTCCATCGGGGTATTCTCCAAACAAGTTTTGTTCGTCGATGGGGAGATTGAAATAGTGGTGACTTTTATTTCGAATAGCTCTGAGTAAGTCTCTGGTTCTATTAAAGTCGTACTTCCTGAATTTGTTTAGTGACTCGAGAAGCATTGGGTCGATCACTTGGTTCCATCGTATTCCGATTCCGGAGTTGTCCAATTCTCGCGTAATAATAAGGGAGGGGTCGACCTCGAATTTGTCCGACGCGCATCGAATAAAGTGAAGCTTTTTGTTACAGTCCCAGAAGAGGGGCAGTGACAACACGACTTCAGCGGTTGGTCTATTTTTGGGATCTGTTCGTGTTAAGAGTGCAAGAGTCATTGTGAATTCGTTCTGGTGGATATTCGAGTCATCCGGGTATATTGTCTCGACTTTGCCTTGCATCACATTCTTCGGACGATCTATTAACTCCCCAAAGGGATGTCTCTTTAACGCAATGAAGTAGAACAAACACCCCAAATTGAAGATATCAACTTTGGACGTGAGACGCTCCCCTCGAATGGCTTCGGGGGCTTGCCACCCAGCACTCCCACCATGGGAACACGTGAACGAAGCATCTCCAACCTTCTTAGCCAACCCAAAATCAGTGATACGAACGTCTCCTTTGGTATCTATTAAGACATTCTGCGGCTTTAAATCACGATGGACAATACCTAACTTGTGAAGGTAATAGACTCCACGGGCACATCCCTTCATCAGCAAAATTGTGTGATCGGTGAGTAATGGACTTTTGCCATATTGTAACGTATTCACGTGTTCCTCTAACGTGCAAGTGCAGTACGTCAGTGCTAAGTAGATGAAATTGCGATCAGTGTAACTCGTGTAGTACCTCACAAGATTTGGAAATTCTTCTGTCTCGTTGAAGATATCAATTTCGTGTTGTGCGATGGAATAAAACTCTTTCACAAGTCGCTTCACAGCAACTTGTTTCCCATTAAATCGACCTTCGAAGACAATTGTTCCAAGACTCCCCGTGCCCAACTGCTTAGTTGAAACTTCGAGGGGGACATTCGTGTTCTTCGACGCAATAACGACGAATAAAATGGCTATCAAAATGACGATGAAAACGAGTAAGAAAAAGATGAGGTATCTTTTTGGGTTGGTCTTCGTTGGGAGTTTGGGGACGGTATTGTCATGTACTATTGAAGAAGGGTATGACGGAAACGCGTCCTTCGGCTGTTCAATATTGTCCCACGACTTCTCGTCGAAGTCGATAATATTGCCCTTGTCGACGACGAGTATCCCTCCTTCGGGTAATGCTACAGGAAAAGTCTCATATTTGTTGATACAGACCATGTCGTCCTCGTTATATCTCTCCAACACATCATTATCGTCACTTGATTGTGTATTAGTAGGTGGTGCGATGAGGAGTCGAGTAGCGTGGACATTCTGAGTATTATCGATCACATCGACGTTGTCGTAGTTGTTATTAGAAAAAGGGACAATTGCGTAGAAGCAGCCATTAAAGACATTGACCACCACATCATTCGACAACGTCACGAACATGACTTCGATTTCTGATATCTCATCATTCTCGGAGTCATAGTAAAACGCGTTTCTAATATCAGAAGAGTTCACCTTTCTGTTCCACACGTCCTCGCCATATTCATACATTTGCATATGTAATGTCAACGGGTTGAGCACTAACTTGTGTTTTGTATCGATCTTCTGTGTGATCTCTCCGACAGTCTTATACTCCCCAATTGTCATGTTCCACAGTTCAATACCACTCAAAGGGTCAATCGCTTTGATCTTAAACTCATTTCTCGAAAACGGCAAATTTCCCGAAGTCGAGCGGAAGTGTGTGATCGCCCCCAATTTTGCGTCGACCGAAAACACAGAAGACTCTTTCGTACAGAAGATCATCCCATTTTCTATTAGAGTTGGCGACGAGCGATAGATTTCGTCGACTTTAAATTTGAGCCGACGGAGTTTTGCGTGTTGTTTGTCTGTCACAAAGAGTGTTCGCGTCGTGTCGATCGACGGAATGTACAGTGTCGACCCCGTGAATGACGACGAGAGTAATGTGTCTGATGATTTCGTTTGCCAGACCAGCGCTCCGTCGATCATTCTTCGTGCGGTCAACGACCCGTCCAGTGTTGAATAAATCAAAAGATCGTCATAGTTTTGTGATATGACATGAGTGAACAAAAGTATTAGGATTATCATCATTTGATCAAATTCGTGTGAGATTTCGTCGTTCTTTTTTTATTGTTCCTCTCACTTTTTTTGGTCTTGTTTTGATGTGTTTTAAAGCCATTTTACCTAATACTTTTTCATTTTATTATTATTGATATGAATAAGTTAACAACATCACCACAACTTGGTAGTATCTGGTAACTATTCTTTTTACTTGTTTTTTACTATACTTAATGGTTTTAAGTAAGGGACAAAACTTGTGTTCTATTTTGTTAAGTAACAATTCAATTAAGTCGTTAATTAAACACTCTTTTGTATTGAAAATGATATAAAAACAAACTCGTTAATTAATTACAAGATAGAATAAGAATAACTAAAGAACTAGATTAGTATAGTATTAGGCATGCACTCGGATCATACTTCTTGGCTCAGTCGAGTCATACCCAAGTCCACACTCCCCTGTGTTTCGTCGAATTCTAAAATACCCATCGTCACCCCATTGAGTCCCAAAAGAGTTTCTACCGATCCAATACTCAACACCATCATCTGTAACGCCATATCCAGCTATTGCAACACAATGATTCAATAACATCTTGTGACAATTTGGCTCTTCGTAGATCACCCCTCTCGCTAATAATTGGAACGACTGCTGTGTTGCGTCGATCATCACCGCGACTGGTCCCGTCTTAGCAACTTCTCTTTGTAAGATGTCTTCCCCTCTTAATAAAGTCTTTGCGCTGTATACCGAGACATCGCCGTCAATAGTTAAGTCGCAGTTGACTGGAATACCCGTGTATGGGATTTTCTCTTCGGAAGTCAAGCCGACGTATTCGCTGATATAGTGCATACAATTCTTGGGATGCCCGCCGTGGCAACTGTTGTCGTATGGATCACAATTGAGGATCTGTTGCTCACTGAGGTTCTCAGTGATTCCCAAGTCGGTGAGAGCACGGACTTCCATGACAGCAGTGGTACAAAAGGCATATCCACAAGCACAATCTTTTTGGTCTCCAATTGGTTGCATTAAAGGAGTATAATCAACAGCGACGGGGAGTGGTTCTACGGAACTTGAAGAATCGGAGACGTCCTCTTCTTTCATATCATTCACTGTTTCGATTGGAGACACTTGAATTGGTGCGCCGAAGTGCGTTTTGATGTATTCCTCATTGGTCATATCACTGAATATATTTAATTCGACACGTTGAGTCATTTTGTTTTGTTGAGTGACGTATCTCTTGTTGTCTAAGAAGACGGCGAGACGATAAAGATACTCTGCTTTGTTGGTGTACGATTTATGGTGAGATACACGCCATTGTTCAAATTCTTGAGAGGTGAAGGAAAGTGCTTGAGTTAATAATAAAACAAGTAAAAGAGGCATATTAAATTACAAGTTCTTCGGTTATATAATTATAGAATACCATTAGAGATGCTTCGAATCCTTTATATTTCAGATATTTTTAATATCTATATATTCAACCAAAAGAACAAATAAAATTTAATTATTAATGTCGAGCATCTTTTTAAGTGCAAAAAGTTCATTTGAGTTGGTGCCAAATTCATTGACACTCGAGTAATGACCAACAAGTATATATTTTTCTGTTTTGATTATATTTACTCCACCATATGTGCTCCTCAAATGAACAGAAAGATCTTCTGGGTTTGAATTAAGAAAAGAATATTTAGTCCCTCCAAGATAAATACCATTCTTTGTTATTTCTATAAAGTCAAAAGTAGTCATACAATTTATTATAATTTTAGACTCTTCCTGCGTCATTTTCATGTTATTTTGATATATAATTTCACCACTAAGAGTTAGAATGGAACACCCATCACCTTTACCCTTTGAAATTAAAGAATGGGTAACTGTTTCCCAGTTCATCAATAAATGTTTTAAGTTCATCTTTTCTGATTTTTAAAGTAGTTTGGGTTTTTAAGCGTAATTTAGAAATCATCATTTATATTTTAATAGTTTTTGAAAAAATGATTGAACAAAATTGTTTTTTTATTTAGTTCAAATTCGGGAACAATTATTAAAAACTGATGTAAACCCAATAAAATTATGTTAAATTATGAATGTTCTATTCGATTAAATTATTTATTATTACAGGATTATTGTTCTAAAAATTTTACTAAAGACTTATATACAACTTTTTAAACACTCTTTTATATCCATTATTATTGTGTGATTACTCTTACTAAAAAAGAAAAGGTATAAGCATTTTTTTATTTATAGTGTGGTTTAATATCAATTGATAAATAACAATTCTTTATGTTTTGTATTAGCAAAATACATCCAAACACGAATTAGATGATAAGTATTTAGGGTTGAAAAGTTTGGAATTATAACATTTTGAAACCTATATACGAAATGATATAACTTTTATCAATTTATACCTGAAACCATCCAATCAAATCAATAAATGAAAACTATTTTAAGAATTGTTTTTAAAAAAGAATAATTTGTTTAAACAAATTGAGAAAATATAAACAAAGTTTATAGTTTCTTATTTTTTAGAAGCTGAAACCAATTTATATATAACATTTTATGTTCTATTTCAATGCCATCAAATGTTTATGTTTGATATTATTCTTTTCAGAGTTTAAAAATATATATTTCCAAATTAATGTTTTTTCCTTTGTTGCGAAACTGTTTTCCATTTTTTTGACAAACTCAGGAATAAAAAGGTATTTAAAAACTGACTAAACAAACAAAGGAAACATGCTACTGTTCATTATTCTATCATCGTTTTCAGTTGCTCATTTCGCTCCATGTATGGTTTGTATAATCTTTTGAATGAATTTGAATTATTTTGAAACAGGGTAATAATGATCTAGAGTCGTTTTGTTGTTGGCGACATGGAGTCTTTTGAAGTGAAAGGGGATGAATCACTTCGATTTAAAATCACACATCCATGTGTGCAAGACTCAAATTACGTGAAAGAGAATCTTTCAAATAACAAAGTTAATTTCTGTTTTCTTCACAATCGCTTTGAATTTATACATCAATCTGACCAGATCATATCAAGGTGTGGACAATGTCTTCGGCTTATTGGTCCATCAAATAGAGAGACGATTTGCACCGTATCAGGTTATTTTACAATGTCATCTTCCTCGAATACCACAGACAATTTTGAAAATGTCATTGCAGTACCAAAAAACTTATATTCTCTAATATCTACCAACATTGAAACGGATTCTAGTTGGTTCTCACAAGTGACAGTCAACACGGGAGATTGCAATTTTATCAACTCTCCAACACTTCTCCAAATGAAAAATGAAAGTGACTTTGCAATACAAGCCTTTAATTTTAACAAACCTTTAAAAAAACTTCAAATAGGATATGAAGATGTACATGTATCTGAAGATCACATGTTCCATTTCAAAAAACAACCAACTGGGAAGGTTAAAGTGGAGTCTTATTACGGCGATATCATTTCTGGTAATTTTGATGATTTTGATGGTACCAAGCTGGACCTTGGAGATCAATTTCCAAAAACAAATGACGAAAACTGCCCATTCATGCCAAACGTTCACATTTACCAAAACACTTCAACACGAGAAAAAAACGACTTTATTAAATGGGGATTTTACCAGACAAACCCCGACTTCACAGTGGATGATGTTGAAGAAAAAGATGATGGAATTGATTTTGTTTCTAAAGGAGGACGCATGACAATAGCCCTTCGATACAACTCCCCAATTCAAATGGGAAAATACTACAGTGAGTTGATTATTGAGAGTGAGATTAACGGATCCTTTAATCTACTAATGGCCAATATGGCGTTAAACAGAAAGAAAGAAAATATATACAATTTCGATATTGAGAAAGTTGATGTGTTACTAAAGAATATAACAATTGAAGAAGAAGTTGATGGTGTGAAAACAAAAAAGATAAGAGTATTCTTTAGTAAAGGAAGTCGGGCGTTTTGTTTGTTTTGACTACTGTAACCAATACACTACAATTATAATATGTTAATGTTGTTAATATGTAAATTAACTCTTAGCTAACTTGCTGATGATCACCTTTTTCACCTCCAAAGGAAACAAACTTTCAATTAAAAATGCTTACATTAAACCAAGACTTCAAAAAAAGGAATTGGAGTGTCCAATTGACAGTCTTGATTGTAAAACCACTGAATGTGAAATAGATTCACAGGAGACTGAATTATTTCAGAAAGAGTGTCAACCATATTGTGGGGCCTGTAAGACGGGGTTTCAATGTTCGTCCCAAGGGAAGTGTGTAACACAAGATAATACCAACTCCAGAAATCAAGGAAGTTTGATGATGATTCTGGCATGTGTTGTACTTCTCTTCTTTGTTTGAGTGAATTATTGGGCTATATTTGTTCAGATGTATAATATAAAATAATATAATATAAAATAATATAACAAAAACTGTCAATTAATACTATATAAGGTACGACAGGAAAGAATACACAAAAGATTAGGCGTGTCCGACTAAGCGACTGAGTTCCTCGTCCGTTAGTCTTTTCTTTTCGACTTCTCGAAGTTGCAAACGTGGGGAGTTCTTCTCGCTTCTATATCCCGTATATGCAACATCTTTATCTTCCTTAAGCTGAGCGTCTTGTTGGGTTTGTCCCGTCTCGATCTTTTTTAAGACGATTTTCGAGTGATTGAACTTCTTTGTTTCAGGGAGAGAGTACAACACACTTGTTGGTGTGTTTTCCTCGGCCAAAGAAGACCTTGACTCTGACGATGATAACGGAGCCGAGTTCGTTGTTAAACTTGGAGCTAATACATTTGAAGGGAGCAAAGAGTTGTTGATGACTCTCCCATGTGTGTCGAATCGATAATTCAGTTGTTTGATGGGAGACTTGGATGGCTCGACTTTCTCAAACTTTTTGTCAGTGATTTCGGGACTATTTTCAAAGGAGTCCGGACTGTTTGATAAGTCTGTGAGAGTTAATTTCGATTTCTGTTTTGTCGGAGACAAAGATTCTAAACGGTGCATATTCCGCTTTGCCAGACGACGCGGTGTTTCGCAAGATGTGATCGACTCAAAGATGTGTGGTATGATTTTGATGTTCTTCCGTAGTAACTCCTCACTTTGTTGGGATGAAACATTGGTGGAGGAGTATATCTGGACAATTTCAAGAATGGTCTGTGTCGGAAGGAAGTCAGTGACGGGGAGTATTGGCCCAAACTTGGGCGAACTAATCTTTAATAGTTTCGGAACTATCACCGAACTATTCTTGATCAAGTAATCCAGAACTCTTCCCGACAAGCCTGGGACGGGCATATTTTCGAATAAAAGATCCTCGAAGAATTGTGGTGTTGTAGTTTTACTGAGCGAGTAATGGAAAGCGAGCAGTTGTATGACAACGATCGTAATTGGTTCCATCTCGTCCAAGTCTTCAAATGCTCTTCTAAGCAATTCGTCTTTATCTTCTTTGTCTAAGAAGTCGAATGAGACGAAGTGCTTTGTATGATCTCTTGGGAGGAGTGGTTGATGGAGAGATACTAAATATAAAATAAGTAACCCTGGCGCACTCTCTAAGTGGAACACATTCTTTTCCTCAAACTGCTTTTCGTAGAGTAAAACTTCGTTCTTGTCGACATCAAAACAACTTTCATTCTTCAACACCCCCGAGTCAAACAACGACTTCACTATCGTCAAAAATTTCTTTGGGATTCCCAAAGCGTCGCAACTGATCTTATTCCGCTTTGTCCCAAATAACCGAGTCTTCCGCTGGAACGGACTGATGACGCAGAGCTTTTCTATAAATTCCGAAATGACTTCGAACTTTCCATATAAAGTGACAGGAGGGGACAACGTCGCGTCGAAGAGTTCATTTTCTAATAACCCGAGTCTAATTGAATTTTTCCAGGGATCATATTCGAGAGAGATTTGGTCGATGGGGTAGACACTTTTGAATGTGTTTTCTATATACAAGACGACCATTAAATCGACGATGACCAACGTCGCCATAGTTTCTTCGTGTCTAAGAGTGAATGGCATGAAGAATCGCGTTGTTTTGAATCGTAAAGAATCGTATGAGACATCACTGAGTGTGTTTTTCAACGAGGTGAAGGGGAGAAAGTAGATCGTGTTTTCATCTTCCCATGCTATTTCGTCTAATGTTGCAGATAATTGCATCAAGCCAATTACTTTATTGTTTTTCACTAATATGGGGTATGAAGGAGTCTGTGAAAACATCTTAAGTATAGGCAACATCTGTTCTAATGGTATCGTTGGGTCCATCGGAGCCATCGTCCGACACATCACTCCATTGAATTCAAAGACGACATTCACAAACATCGTCTTATTTAACGCAGTGAGCAAGACCTCAGACTCATTCACGGCAATTTTGATTTGAGAAACGGGAGAAAAGGGACTCGTCACTTCATTCACACTCTGCCCTGAGTAAAAAACAAACAACTGACTTCGCGAGACATCACACCCTAAAGTCTCTAAGAACAGGCGATTTAATGGGACATTTGAATCCCGTGCGGCTACCACTACTAAAGGACGTCCTGGTATATGAAGAGTTAGTCTAGTGCATCCGGACGACAAAGGGACAATAACAGAGACCTTTGGTTCTGTGACATTAGACAGCTCATAACTTCTTTTATCGTCTAAGATATCTTTTTTATCGAAACTTGCGCTCTTCTCTATTAACAATTGAATATCCGGTTGCGGGACTAATATTTGGAAAAACGTCTGTTGGTGCATGAACACGACTTGTTCGAGAATCGAAGAGATTTGTTGGCACTTCCCAAAATTGATCAACCCATTCTCCTTTGTTTTGTTGCCGTAGTTCGTGAAAGTCAAGTCGGACAAGATAAGGCCTATATAGGGGACCATCGGCTTCCCTACACTCTTTTTAGTCTCTTTCCGGAGTGTGTCCCAGTTGTTGTCCGGCACAGAAAACTCTTTTAACGTCTTTAAAACCGTTTTCGACTTTTCGGCAATCCCGTCGAAGGTCCGTTTCAGGCGGTGAATAGCGGAAGTCCCAAATAACAAGAGAATGCAGAGTAAAGTATCAAAATTTCTGTAACTAAAACAAAACCCTGCTATTTTGATGAGCCGCTCGATGATCCCAATTCGCTTCGATATGTCGGTTGCATTCAATATCATCGTCGTGAAGTAATTCTGTAGTCCATTAAAAAAGGTTTGGAGGGCAATGATGTTGACACACCGGTCCTTTTCTCCATTCGCCCATAACAACATTTCATATAACTTCACCTTTCGGAACTTTTCCGACACAACCAAAGTCACTTGACGGGCATATTCTATCGGATGTGTGTTATTGAATACATCCTCCGCAAGTATAGCTCCTGTTATATCGGCGTATGTCGGAATCGGCAATTCCACATTTTGATGCATTTGAACAAATTGAACTTCCACTCCACTCGTCTGGGTGTCAATAGCAAATTAATTATATAGTTTCCGGTTCTATTAATTCTAGATCGCTCGTTATAACTAATAATTACAACTGAAACAACACTGTATTATTTATATCTAATAAATGTATTAAAAGTATGGTATTTACAAGTACACTTTGAAGAAACTAAAGTGATAGAATCAGAATAGTTAAATTAGACCAAATATTTAAACTATATAATTATAATAAAATGTATTATATACTCAACTATTTGACATATGAAGAATAAAAAGACAAACTGCTCTTCGAAAACATGAGGAGATGAGTTTATATTCGCGATTCATTCCATAGACTCGTAAGGTGTTAAGTAATACCTTCATAGTGTCATCGATAGGCTTTTCATTAGTTTTAATGACGTTCCACACATTCTCTATCCAATACTTGATGGCACTTATAATCCTCGCTCTGACCAATAAACTCCCTTTTTCATCATCGTTGCACGCCGTCTCGTATCTTTCGATTATCACATTTAACATTTCCGTTGTAGTGCAAAAACTAGTGTAAGTCCACACAAAGGCTTTCATTAAGTTGTTTCTCTCATCGTTGCAAAACAAGTCGACGATACCAGGAACATCGCCTTTAAGGATTTTTCCTTCTTTGTCCTTTTGAACGAAACCCGACGTACTGGGCTTGATCAATAAATTTTCTGGACTGAGAGCCTTTGCGTCTTCTTCATGATAGGGGAGCTTTTCGGTGTTTGGTGGTGGTGTTAATTCGTCATTTTTTAATACGAGTGGTTCTTCGAGTCTTTGTGACTTGTGAAGCATTTGAAGTTCAACCTTCTCATCCTTTTCAGTGGAGTTTTGAGGGATATGTTGATTACTATATTTTTCATATTGTTTGTCCATTTTTAAATACCCTTTCTTATTACCAGAGAGGTACTCGACCTCGCGCGTTAATCGAATTTGGACACGTTGTTCACTTACTACGGTGCGCGGATTGAGCATGTACCCTTTTAAAGACTCGCTTGTCTTTGTTGTCACCATTGCACGTACCTCTCTCCTTGTCGGGCAATAGTGCGACAAGTTGTAATTGTAACATTGCCTTTGCATTCAGTTTTAAAGATTCTTTTGTTCGCCACTCTCGTCGTTTTGTAGTCTTTTTCGCATATCTCTGTGAGGATAGATTGATTATAATAACTATTACTAGACTTATAGTTTCTTTTAAACCACTTTTTTTTTTTTGAATGACTTGGGTTTTATTTAAATTGGTTTTTAATATTGTTTGAAGTAAATTTTCCATTTCAGATGGCACCGGGGACATATTAATTGTTTGTGGAAAAAGTTGGAAATATGAAGGACTTTATCGTCATGTATGAGAACTAATAAAAACACTTCGACTCTCTTCTTTTGGAGTAATACTAAAATTAATAGTTTTTTTCTGGTTAAAAAATAATATATAAATCATTACTTGAGATTTTTCTTCAAATACTGATGAGATTTTTCTCTATAACAATCGCAACAAAACACGCAAAATAAGCGGAAAATGGGTTGAGATTTTCAGTGAAAGATTCGTTGTGATTTTTTTAAACGATTTATTTTAGTGAAGAAACAATAATAAATTAAAGCAGTTTTGTAGTTTTAGTTGATTTTAATTATTATTTGGTTTTTGGTCACAAAATACGAAACAAAAACAGTAACAAAACGTCAAACGTACAACATAATTAACGAGTAAAAAATATATAATTTATCAATATATTATAATATATTATAATAAACAAAACTATAATACCAATTAACGAAATTTTACAAACGAGTAATTAATATTGTAATTAACGAGTAAAAAATAAGAAAACTGCGAAACAAATGCTGAAGAAAAGAATTAATAAAAATTAATAAGTGCATGGTCCTTTAGTGGTGACTTTTGGGAAAGTTTTGAATGAGATTGAAGCACCGCATTGGCTTGAAGAAACCAAGTCAGCTGGGCAATCGAAGTACTCAGGTTTCATTTTATTCGATGAATCGAGTTTAGTGCACATTCTGAATTCTGATACGGAGTTAGAAGAGCAAGTGAAGAACCCACGAGCGCCGTAGTGTTTTTCTGCGATGTCGAGTAACCATTCTTTGTCGAATTTAGTCTTCCCATCAGCCACAACACCTTCTTCTTTAAATTTGGTCCAAATGTTTAAGTTCTTTCTCATATCGACACCGGCTCTTAAATAATCAATGGGTCCGGTCGATCCAGTGTAAGCCCAAGAAGCACAAGTGCCATGTTTACTCCACTCATACATAGCAAAGCGACACTTCTTCATACTTCCCCAATAGGTCGCAACATCATTGGTCAAGACGGGATCGGCTAATAACATCGACTCAACTTGTTTGTCAGTGAAGTCGTTGGCACAGCATGACGGGTACGAATTGCCGGAGTACTGTGGCCAGAACCCATGGATGGTAAAACCCTCTTCAAGACCAGAAGACTCGGTTGGGATGATGCAACATTTGTCACTGCAAAAACTTCCTGGCCATGTCTGGACAAACATCGCGTAGCTGTATTGCTTCTGTGATGTGTAAGAACTGCACATCTTGAAGTTGCTGTGGTCGCATTTGGAGACCGCAAGTGTCAAGAGGAAAAAGCCAAACATTGGTGTTCTTAGTGTTGAGAATTTCATTTTTATAGTACTCTTACCAAATGAAGACAATTGATATCTATTTTGGTATATCAGTGCGTCGACTTGCATATCCCGAAAAGTACTATAAAGGCGCTTGTATTATTATTGGAATAATATGGATGGCAATCTACGAAAATGAGAACATCTCAAGGAAAACGGTCGAAGGGTAAACAGAAGAATAAAAAAAATTGGAATTTCTATTGTTTTCTTTCTGTTTTTGGAAAACGGACGTTGTATGATTTTGGTTCATTTTTGTCCTATTTGCCGCTTGATAAATATGTCGAAAAGAGTCGCTTATTAGTACTGATTTTGTCGGGGTTTAATATTTTATATTTGACATTTTTTTATAATTGGTAAAACATTTTTTATTATGTCGAAAACTTAAATTTTGTTATTCGTTTTTGTTTGTTGGTGTATTTCATAACTGTGAAATAAGAATAAATAAGATAATAAAATCTCGTCGTTCTGATTTTCGTTAATCCTTGAATTTTCTTGTTGCTGTTTCGGCATTTTCAAGTATAACGGACGTTTTAAAATCAAAATTGCAATAAAAAAATTATTTTGTTAAAAATGAGAAGTTCTTTCACAAGAATTTGTGTTACTTTTTTTTATATTTTGGGTATTTTTTAATTTAATTTTTTTATTTAACTTTATAATAAAATACAATATGTTGTTGTCTGTCTGTTTACAACTAATACATCTATTTTTGTTTTTGAAATAACTTTAATTTCATAAAATAAACTATTATATAGTTACAATGTTAAGTTATTATTTTTTAAGTTTACAAAATATATTAAAATTATAAAACAATTTTTAATAAACTTAAAAAATATTAAAAAATAAAACAATGAGATTTTTAATTTATAAAAAGTTTCAAAATTAACTGTTTGATTTTTTTAAAAAAGTACCAAATCATATTTTCGAATAGATAACCTTAATAAATCGACTACAATTGGGCCATTAAACCTTCGCCCAACAAATTAACCTTAGCCCAAAGAAAAACTAATTTTCTTCTATTGTTATATTCAACTAATAAACTATAAATATATAAAAGTCATTTTTCTAAAAGGATTATTATTTTTCGTAAAAACCCGTGTTTTTATAAGAAAAATATAGGAATTTATCTGGACTAAAGTACATTTCCTGGACTAAGGTTCATTTTACCTACTGTATGGTATTATTAAATAGATAGAGTTTGTTTGAAAATTTTATCCAAAGCTTATTCTCCAAAAACACTTGGAAAGTATCAGGATCCCATTCGAAATATATAAAAAATAATATTTCAGTTATTTTCTCTATCTTTTGATTTTTTAAACCATTATTTTTGTATTTATTATATTTATGAAAAGTTGTGAAAATTTTTAACAACAAATCCTAATCAGCCAAATAATCACATTTTAACAACTTATAATTTCAAAAAGTTATGTGTATAAACTACAATTGTATTACTCGGTAATTATAAAACAACACTTTTATATTTTAATCAAAATAATTACTTTGAAATAACACACTTGTTGAAAGTGTCGTTTTTTAATTATTGTTTCAATATTATTGAAAAAATGTTGATTAACATATAAAACTTATCTACACTTTATAGAGGTTGAAATAAACATTTACATGTCAATTTGTTTAATTAAATAAGATAATAAAAGAAATCACATCAATTAGTTGTAAAAACTAGATAAAGTGTTTTTGTCAATAAATTTAGTACTATTGAGTCTCTTTAAAACATTTATATCGTTTCCTAATTAAATATATCCATTGAACAACATTTTAGATGTTTTTATAATTAAGTCTTAAATGTCGTTTTATTTTTTTGGAAAATAAAAAAACAAAGGTATTTTGCCTTTTTTTTAATTGCCAGAATTAACTCACTTTAATTTACAAGTTTGTTGAATTTTTGTTTTTTTAAACAATTCTGGTTTAGAAGATGATGACTGTATTGATAAAAAATAAAAAACGAAATAACATGGAAATACAATAACAAATTGTTGTATAATCCAAAAATATTTGTAATCAATAGGAATTTCCAATTAAAAACAAGAAAATTTATTATATATTTTTGAATTATGGATTTTTAGATACAGTTAACGGAAAAAGTGGGATGCTGAGAAAAAGGGGGATGCTCATCTTAATATTAATTAATTTAATTATATTAATAATAAATAATTAATATAAATTTTTCAGTTTTTTCTTTTTATTAATTTTTTGATTAATAATTTATATTAAAATTAATAGTAATTTTATTATTTTTCAATTGAAATTAACCAATAGTTATGAGCATCCTTTTTTTTCGAGCATCCCATATTTCCTCTTACTGTATTTGGATTTGTTAAATGTAATTTTAGTGTTAAGGAAGTTAACCAATTGTTCAAATATTATTATTTTCACATTTGTTTGAATTAAAAAAATAATTCAATAATAATATTTTATTTTAATTTATGTGTTCTCTTGTAAAATAATTTATTTTTTCTTATCTTAAATAATATAAAATGCGAAACGATATAATTATTAAAGAATTTAAAAAATTTCAATTATTTTTCAAAAATAGTTTTTTTTACATTTTTTATTAAACAATCTAAAAATTTTAAAATCAAAAATTACTCTGTGGTTGAGTGCAATATGGTAACAGTAAAGTGGCATTTTAACACATCTAACCGCAAGTGTAAAACAAACAATTTAGGAGTTATTGATACAAATATTTTTTAAACTGTTGTAATAGATTTATAAAAGAATAAAGTCGAACATATATTAATTATAACATTATTTTTTGTTTTAATAAAACTGCTTAAAACAAACATGTGGTTTGCTTTGCCCATTTGATTGCTATTTATTCACCTCAATTGTTGTAAATATGCAAGATAGTTTTTTTTCACAAATAACAATTGGAAGAAACGAAATTTCTTTTAATCGAAAAGTATTTAATCATATTTTAAAACTTGATATTTGTAAAATGAAATTGATATTCTTATTGTTATTTGCAACAACCATCGTTGGTTGGGGAGAAATAAACAATGTCATAGGATATTTATATCCTGACTTACCAGACGAATGGACAGTAATAGAAAATACTCCTAGAGACATTTTTACTTTTAATTCCAGTTGTTGTACAAACCAAGAAAAGGGCTACAATGATACTCACCTTACTGTCAACGATGCATCAGTTAGTCGAGACTGGAAATTTTCTGGTGAAATGAATTTAAAACACTTGTTTTTTATGACTCGACCCCAACAAGAAAAAGTGACTATTTATGAAGACGATCGACCAGAAGGACTTGTTATCACGTTTGGATGTTTTGATGGAAGCACTGGGTGCAGACAAACACAAACTTTAAGAACTGAAGTTATTGTTAAAAACAAAGGAGTTGTATTACATTCAAAAATAAATGAACAGTGGATTATAACAATTTCAAGAGATCAAAACCAAGAAAAAATTCCACTTATTTATATCGATGGAGAAGTGCAACAATCTGTATCAATTAATTTATCATCTTTTACTCGAGTAGACAATCATTCTCTTGCAATGTATATTCTTTCTGGTATACTTATGAATGAAAATGTTACGTTATATACATCTGACTCTACTCATGAAATCAAGTCGGTGTGTACAAAAGGAAACTTTTCAAGAATGAATCTTGTTTCCAAAACAGGAAAAGCATATGGTCCATCGTATGATTGTCTTTGCAATCCTGAGTTTTCAAACCCTTTTGATGAATTTGATTACCCAGATTGTAGACACAACAGCACATTCTTTAACTTAAATCTTGTTGACTTCGATTTTTATCTGTTTAAACAAGCGAGTTGGGAGTCAATTATATATCGTAGTAATTCACAACTTACACTTTACTCAACTTTAAAAGCACTTCATTTATTTCAGTTGACAGTATATCCAGTTAATTTGGTATTTGGCGTTTATGTGAAAATTGACAAATTAATATTCATTGAAGGAAATTTGCATTTTGAAATGGGCGCGTCAATAGATTCTATTGAATATTCAAATCAAAATTTAGTAGAAAACGAACTTTTTTGTGTTAAAAAAGAATTTCACACAAATAACAACTCATTTGTAAAACAAGGAAATCAAGTCTTTTACATTCAAAACCCGTGCAATAGAGTTCCTTGTTCAGGAGATAATTGCATTGAAGTTAATGGGTGTTATTTCCGTTTTATTTATAGTTGCGACGATGAGCGGTCGTGTCCAAATGGCATGTTCTATGATGGAACTTCTTGTTACAATTGCACAACACATGACCTTAATTGTAGGCTCTGTGATAGAACCAAATGCTTTGGGTGTAATGATGGTTTTCGTCTTGATTCTGGACAATGCATAACATGTCAAGAAAATTGTAATAAATGTTCAGAAAATTTATGCAATGAATGCAAGCAAGGTTATTACTATGAGAAAGGGCACTGTATTGAATGTTCTATGGGTTGTAACAATTGTATAAAAAATTCATGCAAGGAATGTGAAAAGAATTTTTATTTGAATAATGGAACTTGTGTTGGTTGCCAAACATACTCCCCTAATTGTATAGAGTGTGATGATAATCAATGTAAGACGTGTCAAGAAGGCTATCATATTGATCAAAATGGAATTTGCCAATTGTGTTCTAATAATTATCCAAATTGTAACATTTGTGATGAAACTGAGTGTTTTGAGTGTAACGAGTATTCATATTTTAAAGGTGGAAGTTGTGTTAATTGTTATGTAGAATTTCCATCTTGTTCCACCTGTAACTTAACTCATTGTACCTTATGTAATAACGGTTATTTTTTTAATAATACCATTTGTATTGAATGTTCACAAAAATACCCCAATTGTTTCTCGTGCAACGAAACTTATTGTAATGATTGTGTTGGAGGATATTTTGTAAATAAAGGGCAATGCAAAAGTTGTGATACACAATATGCAAACTGTGTGAATTGTAACTTTGAACAATGTCTAAATTGCTCAAATGGATTTTTTGTTGAAAGTAATGTTTGCAGAGAATGTAAATCAAAGTACACAAATTGCATTGTATGTGATGAATCAAGCTGTCTTGAATGTGAAAATGGGTTTTATCTCGATAGTAATGTTTGTAAACCATGTAATTCCAAATTTGATAATTGCATATCTTGCGACATATCAAAGTGTTCTGTATGTGATAAAAACTCGTTTATAGAAAATGGAACTTGTACTTTATGCTCTTTTAAATTTCATTCGTGTGATAGATGCAACATCACAGCATGTCATTCTTGTTCAAATGGTTTTTATTTGGACAATGGGGTCTGTTCAACATGTGAAACAAAACATCTCAATTGTGAAGTGTGTGATGAAACCGATTGTTATAAGTGCAAAAGTGGACTATTTTTACGTGATGGGAAATGCCTTAAGTGTGGCGACCTATATGAGAATTGTACAAGATGTGATGAGACAAGGTGTTTGGAATGTATGAACCACTTTTATTTGTCGAATTACAATTGTAATGGTTGTGAATCAAATTGTGATATTTGTTACTCCGAATCAACTTGTTCCAAATGTTTTGAAGGATATTATTATAAGGAAGATGACAAGACGTGTTCAATGTGTGACATGAAAGGATACTACATAGACAGTAAAAATTGTAAAAAGTGCAGTGCAACATGCATCGATTGTTTGTCTCAAACAAAATGTGTGTCGTGCATTGAGGGGTATTATCTCGAAAATACCACATCAGAAGAAATGACAGAATTTTTTGGAAGATGTACAGACTGTTCAACAAGTGGTTGCACAACATGCAATTCAACATCGTGTATAACATGTGAAATCAATAAATACATTGATGAAGGTGGGTTGTGTTCTGTGTGTAAACCCGATAATGACAAATGTATTTCGTGCTTCATTGATGAAAACGGAAACAAAAAGTGTGAGAAGTGCAACCCGGGATTTTGGATAGAAAATTTCGAATGTGTGACTTGTGAAACGTGTGGAAGCAGTGGGTGCTCTAACAAAACAAATGGACTTTGTTTCAACTGTTTATCTCCAAATGAAGTTTTAATTGAGGGTATTTGCCAAATTGATGAAAATTGTATCTCCATTGATACCAAGACAAGTGCCTGTATAGCATGTGATTTGAATTACGTTTTGATTGGGAAAAGGTGTGTCAAAACACAACAAAATACAACAGAAGACCTTATTAATTTCGAAGGAAATTATTTCACAAAAAATGAATTTCATTGCAAAGAAGTATCTGATTCGAATTGTGTTTTGTGTTTGGAAGAATATTACTTAAAAGACCTACAATGTCTCAAATGTGATGAAATACTTACAAATTGCATAAAATGCGGACTTTTGAATTACTCAAATTACAACGAAGTTTACTGTGATATTTGTACCATTGGATATTTCCCAGAAGCTGTTTGTAAGAATTGTTCTGAAATTAGTGGGTGTGATCTTTGTGTCAACTACATTGAAAATGATATATCTTCACGAAAGTGCACAAAGTGCCTTGATGGGTATAAATTGTCCAATTACACATGCCAAGAAATATCACATTGTGTAAGTGGTGTTGGTGAGAGCTGTGTCAAATGCGAAAGAAATTTTTTGGTATCATTCGGGGAATGTGCGCCATGTGGTGATGTCGTGGAAGGTTGTGTGGAAAGTCTTTCAAACCAGTGCACCAAGTGTGATGATTTGCATTATTTGAACTCGGACTTTATGTGTGTTAAATGTGATATTTCAAATTGTAAGAAATGTGATGCCACACAATGTGTTGAGTGTTTGACAAATTACACACAAAGCTTAGACTATTCTGCATGTCTTCCATGTGATGATATTCCAAATTGCCAAAACTGTGACAACAAAATTCCAATGAAATGTAATTTGTGTTCCCAAAATGCATATTTCAAAACACCAGAAACTTGTGAAAAGTGCACTTTAATACCAAAGTGTGTGTTGTGTACGTTGTATGGGGAGTGCAGAGAGTGCATTTCTGGACACTATCTGGACAATGATGAGTGTCATAAATGCAACAAAATTGATGGGTGTCTCGAATGTACAGCAACAAAGAAATCTTGCACAAAATGTAATGAGACGTTTTTCTTAGAAAATGGAAAATGTGTGAAGTGCAAAGACTCATTTGCAAATTCGGTGTTGTGTGATCAATTACAATTGGTGACGTGTGAAAAGGGGTATTTTATTAAAAAGAATCGTTGTGTTGGATGTAATTCCATATTTGGTTGTGTTGAATGTGATGTTGACGGAATAAGTTGCACGAAATGTCAAGATGGACTCAACTTGTTTAATAATAGTGGGATAAATGAGTGTTCATTAAACTGTGGCATTTCGCATTGCACTAAATGTTCATCTTCGTCATTGTGTAACATTTGTGATATTCCTTATGTGCCTGATGGAGGGAGATGTGTGTACTGTTGGGACAAACATCCACATTGTGCAGAATGTGACTCACAGAGTGGACAGTGCACATTATGTGAACTTGGACAATACAATTTAGTAGATGGCAGGTGTGTTGAGAATGAAATCAATAATGTGTTGATGACAAAAAGTGCACTCAATTGTTTAGAAGATGAAATTGAAAATGTCGAATGTACTTCATGTGTAAAAATCAAGATTTACGAATATAAGAAAAGTTTAACCGAAGCTGCAAATTGTTCCTCTGTTATTTATAGTTGTTACCGATGCAATTTCACGACACTTGGAGATAATAAACGATTGGAGTGTTTGTTGTGTAAAACTGGCTATGGTTTTGAATCTTTAGAACACAAGAAATGTGTCAAAACGACTAATTTAGTTGACTCAAATGGATATATTATTCATTGCAAAGAAGGATGTTTAACATGTGCCAACTCTACGAATTGTTTATACTCAAACACGTTTGCATTTACAACAAGGTTTAACAATGAGTATCTCTACAACAATCATGAATTTTGCCAGAAGTATACGGTTGGGTTTGGGTGTGTCGAGTGCCTGAATTCGATTAATCAAAAAGGAATTTGTGATTTGAATGATAGAAGCAAATACTGTTCATTCACTTTAGAAAAAAATAACACATTTAAATGTTTTGATTATAATGAAATTGTAAAACAGCAAAAAACGTTGTCCAATTATTATGAATCAATGTTTTACTCAAATGATATCATTCTTTCAATGCCAAAAAATGAAGAAACTGCTTGTGATGTATATACAATGGGCAGGTGCTTGTCGTGTAAATTAAGCTTTTACCTAACACAAGACTCTCCTCCAAAATGCTTACCATGCTCACCAAATTGCGAAATGTGTGATTCAACTGGAAAGTGTCTTACCTGTTACAATGGGTACTATATTGATAACGAAGAGTGTGTTGAAATAAAACATTGTGCTAAAAAGACGGTTGGTGGGTGTTCGTTATGTTTAAGTGAATATTACCTGAAAGATGGGAAATGCCACCCACTTGCTGAGAGCAACTGTACTTCTTATACAATCACAAATACCACTGAATTGATATGTACAAGATGCAAAGAAGAGTATGTTTTACTGGACACGAAATGTGTTGAAAAGTCGGAAGAATTTTGTAGTGAGGTTGATTCATTCACGTCGCAGTGTATAGTCTGTAATATTGAATACACACTGAACGAATATAAAAGGTGTGTTGCAATTGATAAAAACGAGTGTATTCACTCATCTCAGTATAATTGCTTGCAATGTAAAAATTCTTTTTCGTTGGTCAAAGACAAGAACGGAGATGAACAGTGTTCAATTTCCGAGTCGAGTAGGTATTGTCTTGAAAATAAGGAAACTGGTTGTACCAAGTGTTATGAAGGGTACTTTGTTGATGGCAAAAAGTGTTCTTTGTGTGATCAAAAATGCAAACAGTGTTCCACAAGTGCTACAAGTTGTATATCATGTAAGTTTGGGTATTACAACGACTCAAATGGTGATTGTGTTCCGGTTGGAGAACTTGCCAAAAAGTGCAAGACGTTCCTTCCGAGTGGTGAAAAGTGTGCAATCTGTAAAGATGGCTTTGTTGTTAAAAATGCCGATTGTATCAAATGTGTAGACAAATGTATGACATGTGCAAACAGTTCTTCGCAATGCATTCAATGCAACACCAAAGGTGGGTATTACGAAGACATTGAGTTCTCAACGGCTTATGAAAAAGAGTGTTTAGCCAGCACGAATCTCACCAATTGTATTACTCAAAGCGAAGTAGGATGTTTACTTTGTCAAAATGGATATTACACGAATGAATACAACAAGTGCACAAAATGTGGAAACACCTGTGAACTGTGTACAAGAGCAAACGTTTGTCAAAAATGTGTTCATAATTATGTATTACAAGCCAACACAGAACAGTGCATCTTGTGGTCCAATATAAAAAGCTGTGCGTCATATGACTCTTCAACAAGAAAATGTTCAAAGTGTTCTAGGAGTCGTACAGTGAGTGAAAATGGAGATGAATGTATTCCAGTTACGAACATTGTTGCAATTGTTCTTCCAATAGTTTTTGTAATGATATTCATTGTTCTAATCGTTGTTATTTTTGCACTCATTGGGTTCTATATCCGTAACAAGAAGCTTGAGAATAAGAGAAAAGAGTTGGTAAATGAAACATTGATCTCAGATGCAAAGAGCCACAACATCACATTCTTCAGACTTGGTGATGAAGACTCTTCAGTGGTTTCATCGACAAGAAAAATTTATTATGAGTCTGAGATCCCAGTCAAAAAGCCGACATCTTTGGTGTTTTTGATTGGCAACGAAAAGAAGAGAAAATTGAAGTTCCAGTTCACAACAAAAGACCATGAAGGAAAATACGAAGTCGACGTCAAACCACTATTAGTGACAATCAAAAAAGGACGTGCTGTTGAATTTACTGTTTCTGTTACTCCACTGTGTACATGTGAAGCAGATTTCGATGTGATATTGACTGTTTTAGATATGCGAAAGGGGGAGTCGACTGAAATCAAGATACCGTGTTCCTTTGCTTCTGAAGCATCAACTGCACTTGACCCAGACGAATTACACAAAGAAAATAAATTAGGTGAAGGTGGATTTGGTATAGTTTACAAAGGCACTTTTAGAACGAATGTTGTTGCCATCAAAGAAATGAAACAGATGAGTAAAGATAGCATGGAAGAGTTTGAAAAAGAAGTTGCGATGTTGGACAAATTCAGAAGTGAGTATGTCGTCCACTTCTATGGTGCTGTTTTCATCCCAAGTAAAGTGTGTATGGTCACTGAATTTGCCAAATTTGGAAGCTTTCTTGACTTGATCAAAAAGAGAAGGAACGACCCAATTGACTTTAAAATGCGAGTGAAGATAACATTGGATTCTGCAAAGGGTTTAGAGTATTTACACAACAACGGTATATTACATAGAGATGTCAAACCAGATAACACCCTTGTTGTGTCTTTAAATAAAGAAGACGCCGTAAATGGTAAATTGACTGACTTTGGAGCGTCGAGGAACATCAACAGTCTATTGAGTAACATGACATTCACTAAAGGTATTGGAACACCAGTGTACATGGCGCCTGAAGTAATGAACCAAGAGAAGTACACATTTCCAGCCGATGTGTATTCATTTACTATTGGCATGTTGGAGGGAATCAGTTGGAAAGACCCATATCCAATTCAAAAGTTCAAATTTCCATGGAGCATTTCTCAGTGGGTGATAGAAGGAAAACGTCCAGAAATATTAGTTGATAACGAAGATTTAATAAATCTAATCGAACAATCGTGGAAACAAAACCCAATCGATCGACTTGATATTAAAGAAATAGTTCAAGAGCTTCAAAAGATACACAACTATTTGAATTAAAATGGTGTTTTTATTTGGTTATTATTATGAATTGTAATTGTTTTATACATTCAATACAGTAAAAATTCTATCTGTCAAAATGAAAGTTTTGAAATTGCTACAACTAAACATAACAAATTTTAAACAGAAAACGTTATTGTTTCTACTAAATTGTCGACTTATTGTTCTGTGTTTATAAGTTTACAAACATTTGATGGTGGGACGAAACTTAGTTTAAAAATCAAAACATCAAATCCAAATATCAACACACTTTCAAAAACTATAAAATCAATTTTTTGGAAGTGTAATAATTGAATTTACCTTTATGTTATTTACAATTTTAATAATACAGATGTGGTACTAAGGTTTCTAGCAAAATTATGGTTTCGATTAATATTTTATAATTGTTATACCATTGTAAAAACTAAATATTAAAAGTTTTATTGAACCATTCTTTAAAATTAAATGAGAAAACTTGTTTATAATTTTTCAAATAGTATATATAGTAAGTCGAAACCTTAGTCGCACATCTGAAATTGTTTAATTAAAAATGTTTTGGGATTAGAATGATAGCCATAAAGTAGAGCCAACAATAGAAACTTATTTTAAAACCAAAATAATTGATTATCTTGAAAATTAAATAAAAAAAATAAGATAGGAATTTATGACTCTTGTTAACTGATTAAAGTTTATTTAAACAAATTCAATTTGTTTAAACAATATTTGCCATTAAATAATTGTTAACTTCTAAAAGTTTTCAAATTATAGATTCTCGATTTAAAGAACTTATGATTAATGATTTAACTTTTTCTTGTATTACAAAACAGGGCTCCATTGAGTAATTTATTGTACTTAAAATAACTTAGTTTTCGCTTTTTTCATGTCATAAAAAGACTTTATTTAAAATTAAATTTATAAATATTTAATTATATCAATATAATATTATGAATAATTATACTAGTAAAAACAATAATATCTTACAAAACACTGCACTCCACTTTTTATTTTTTTCTCCATTTTTTATGTGTGTTTTAATTATTGTAAGGAATTCGCAAAACAATAAATATAGATCATGATTAAGTCCCGAATGATAGAAGTATAATGATACCAGATTGTCAATTTTCATGCAAACATAAATTATCTTTTATTCATATTTGTTATTTATACCCTTTATGTTAGTCTTCATTTACCCGATTTTACAGTTATTTTTGCTTTTAAATATCCTGAGTTAGAACAAAACAGTTTCCGCATTATTTAAAAATAAGTTTGTGCGTTTTTGTCTTTAGAAAATAATATGATTCAGTCAACATAATCCCTAAAAGACCTGAAAGTAGAGCATTACCACCTCCATGCATTTTTTAATATAAACAACCATTTAAGAAGGTGGTAGAAAATAAGTTAAAAAAACATAAAAATGTACCATATATTTGGTAAACGTGAACTATATCAAGGTACAATATTACATATGGCAGGTGACACCAAACAAACGACGAACATTGAAACAACAATTCGATTATTAAAAATAAATACTTTTAAAGGGTGTGTGGCGCCAGCTCAGAAAACTGAGAGGGTGGTATTATCAACAAGAAACCGCAACTTGCAATTGCATTGAATGCAAAGTGCGTTTCATCATGTCAACATAATATATGAAGGTGGCGGGATGTACCGCGAGATGCGAGAAGAAGAGAAGCAAAGTGAATATTACCGTTCACAGAATCAGAACGTATTAGAGCCCAACAAACATTACCAAGACGAAATGTTGGACGCAAAGCGCCTCTCTAAAAACAGAGACGCGGCACAACAATCTTTTTTAATCGGGTGGTTGGGATATTTAGGATATCATGTTAGAGTCAACCGACTCTATAAAAAAGGGAAAACAACGTCTCAACTGTTCACTGTGAACTCCGTGAGCAAAGATGGGAAAATCATATACAAAAGTTCTGATGTCAAAATATCAGTGGATGATTTAAGAGACCGAAGGAGGTGTATAGACGCCGTCACTAACTCGTGGATGATTGATACAATCAAAGCCAAGACAAATGCTTGTCTCATCGAAAAGAAATGTAGAGAGTCAAAATTTGGAGAAATTGGGGTAATGAGAAGATTAAAGAAAGTCGAGTTCTTAGGAAGTACTCTGATTCCTTCAGATATCACGGAAATTGGGTTGAACGTCCACTCTTTCATTACAAAGTCGATGGGTCCATCGGACTGTTTAATTACGTCCTCTCAGCAAATTCTCAACATTTTTCCATTTAAAATTTAATTGTAATTCTGTTGTTTTTGGAATTTTATATATTTGTCGAAGTGTATGGTATTTATTTGATCTATTTTCTACCCATTATCCAATTATTTTTTTCTTAAAATATACATGAACAACCAAAGCGTGTGTAAGAAAAGTAATTGTATCATCTGTTTGAATAAAAATTACTAAAGCATTTTTATTATGAATAGAAAATAAAAATATTAACGGCAAAAATAATGTTGTGGTATTCGTTCAACCAAACAAATAATTGTGGAATATAAACGAAAATAAATACCGGAATGAAGAACTATAATGGATTATAGGATTTTTATTACGAATAGATTACATATTATCTAAATACATGGGAAAAAAAACAAAATGGTTTTCGCAGTTTTTTGTAAATTATCTATAAAATGAAATCCCAAATTTAGAATAGAATTCAGTCGAACTAAAAATACAATTTATTATTCTCTAATAATAGAATTATTTTGTAACTATTGTTGTTTTTTTAAATTGCGTTGTTTTTTTCAAATAATTCGGTATTTTTACTTAAAATTTCGGGAATAATAATATAAATAAAACTAATTAAAAAATAGTAAACAATTATTAAATAATTTAAATTAAATAATTTAATTAAACAAACCATAAAAATTTAATTATAATTTTTTATTCTTATTTCATAATAAATTTATTTTAATTATCAGGTTGTATTATAAATTTTTATTATATTTTTTATATGAAACACAATGATACATATTAGGCTTCGCGCC